AACAACAACAACAACAACAACAACAACAACAACAACAACAACAACAACAACAACAACAACAACAACAACAACAACAACAACAACAACAACAACAACAACAACAACAACAACAACAACAACAACAACAACAACAACAACAACAACAACAACAACAACAACAACAACAACAACAACAACAACAACAACAACAACAACAACAACAACAACAACAACAACAACAACAACAACAACAACAACAACAACAACAACAACAACAACAACAACAACAACAACAACAACAACAACAACAACAACAGTCACACAGGCTCTACCTCTACCGTCGACGTCATCACTCGTACTCCTCCACTACCGGTAGACGTACTAGCACTAGTACTAGTAGTAGTAGATCGACAGTGAGGTTTCCTTCGGATCAGGAGGTGATTCTTGCCCCGGATCTGGATCGCGATCAGCAGCACTTTCTGCCTCCATCACGATCATCAAATGCAACTAACTTGGAAAAGTAGTTCGTTCTTCTTCTTCTTCTTTTTGAGCTACGATTTCCCACGATCCTGCACGAGTCTGTTCCCCACGGAGTGCACACTCCCATGGCATAAGTACGCGGAGTAGTAACTGTTGGTTTATAAGTTCAGGGCGCGCACCGGGGATGTCGGAGGGAAAAGTGGGAGAAAGTGCCGCGAGTCAATCATAGTCGGCCCGGAAGGCCTCGTGTCGCCTCCTCACCTGGCCCTGGGTCTACTGCGCCTCCCTGGTAGATCTACATGGTGTAGAGACTTGTGTAGACTGACTGTAGTGTAGAATGCACTGCTACAGCCTACAGCCTACACTACAGCTCCAGACTGGTCGACCAGAGCGCCTCGCGTATCGATGGGTCTTGCAATCAGTATCTTGCTTGGTCTATCATGCATGACGTCCATGCACACATTCTGGCATACCATGCCAATTATTATATTCATCATTTTTTTTAAAATATTGCGAAAATGACCCCTTCATTTCCTTCGGCACGAGATTGAGCTGTTGGCACTTGCACATAATCTGGATCGGGCATAGCAAGTAACAGTTGGCAGCTGACTGGGTTGTCTGGATGCTATTTTCCGATCAGATTTTGTTCAACTATAACACTACAACAGACTCTGTGTTCTTCGACCGTTAGTTTGCGACATCATTCTGACCTAACTACTGTCCCATCGTCCTTCTGCGGTGGTCTACGTTTGAATTATTCCAGTGTAGTGGTGTCCTATTCCACTGTTATAATACACAACTGGCGTATTGCCTTGCCGGCAGTTACGCTCCCGTCAGCAGGACAACTCATTGGAAGCGAATGATGCCCGTTAGCTGAACTCCCCAGGTAGCCGTACCAGTGTGCCGTTGGTGGCGTCGCAGCAATGGCTAGTGAGTTTATGTGCTTTTTAGAATGTGGGCTGCTCTCCTTGGAGCGTCGCACAATGGAAGGAATTGCAATATCCACTTATAATTATTCACTTGTGTTGGTCAGGCAAAGTACATCATGGTTTGATAGAAATGCGACGGAAAGTACAGTCAGGAAGCGAATTGTGTGCGCCACATGCACAAGGAGCACAGAGCGAGATGAAGCGCAGCGTGATGTACTTCGAAGTAATTGTTTAATTCCCTCCGGTCAGCAATCACGCCACGACCTGTTTGGTAGCCAATTCGCTACTTAGCACAGCGCCCACCACTGTCAGCACTCGCATGCGTTCACATGTTGTTGCTCAGGCGTCGAGCTTATTATTATTGATGTGAAGTAAAGCGTTGTTCGATCCGCGTAACCACTGGATGCCTGTTCAGTTTATGGCATGGTATAAAATCGTATTGCAAATGTGGACTTCAGATATTAGTCATAATAATTAATATGATGGGTAAGAAATACTGATGAGTGGAGAGAGTCTAATCTAGAATTCAACGTTACCTGACGGCAGTGGTAACAGATAGGACAATCTGCCACTGTGCTGGGTGTGTGTCGGATGTCAGTTGGACTCTTTAGTCTTTAGCAGAGTGTATACCAGTGTCACTGGCATGTTGCACACAGACAGTGCAAGTGAAGAAAGTGCTGTGTCAGGTAGTATGCAAGGGATTCACCATTCTGTCCGTCACAGAAATCTAACGTGTTGTTTACCGTGTGATGCGGAGCTACACAGGTACGTCTGCTGTGGCCGTGTGAAAGTGCAGGATTTCTACGGACACTGGTCACGTCCTTGCATGCATGCAGTGAACCTGCTGACTTGGGAGATATCGTCTGAATGTAGGTGTAATGTGAGTTGCAACTGGGGTATACAGTGTCTGCTCTAGGATTTCAAACCAACCGGGTACACGTGTACCTGGCACAACCACTGCAACAGGGTCAGAGCCCCCGGGTCCGTTCAAGTGCGGCCACTGCGTGTACATGTACATTAGGGAGTTGTAAATATTTTAGGGCTCCTGATGTATTCCAAACCGGGTCACATGTGACCCGGTGTTATTTTTTCCAAATGGGCCCAAGTGCCCCCCAACCAGGTCGTTGACCCGGCTGACCCGGCTCTGGAGCAGCCACTGTTATAGTCGGTGAAATCACAACAGACAGAACTGAAAGAACATCTACTTACCCGAGCCTGTACCAGCACGGTCTGCTTTCGATAAGTTGTGCAGTCACGGTCCCGGCGACGATATGGTTTGACATAATGTGAGTGCGCAGCTTACGGATCCTGTAAAAAAATTACATACACACGCGATGACATGCCATACCGATAGCAAAACTGTTCTGCTTGAGTGTGTGTACATGGCTGGTACACACTTGCCCAAAGTTCAGTATAAACTGCAGCAGCGATGCAGAAATCACGAAGGTGATCTTGTGCATGCAGTGTAGAAGCTAGAGCATACAGTACAAAGACCCGTGAACTTATCTAGTATATCTACTTATTCTCCGGTGATCACACGGCAAACAAAGGGTGATGTAGCCAGTACCGGTAACCAGCCATGGCTTCAAAGGAAGAAAAGAAAGAAACACATGGAACTAATAGCGGAGAAATGCACACCCGGTCTGAAGAGAAGCAGAATTCAAGAATATGACCCAAAAGAATGTTTGATCATCGAGAGTCAGTTGCAGTCAGCAGTCCGATCCTGAGTGAATCGTAACGCTGGCAGGATTGAACTGCCCTATGCTGCTGGCTAGCAACAGGGTAACCACCCGGTAGCTAATTGTGCGTGTGTGTGCGTGACTGCGTGTGTTACTGTTTCAGCCGGCTCCGGCCCCCCTCTGCCGCCCAAACCCTCGACCCGTCTTCCCGGTGCGCCACTCCTCAGTCAATGTAAGGTGGCCCATGAAGCTCTACACTGCAGTTCCCGTGTATTGCCTGGATTTTACTTGCAGTGAATGCACTGCTTTCATTGCTAGCAGCCTTAGCCACACATGCACTCACAACATTGGATTAATGTATGCATGTAACCCGCTGGTGATACTGTGTCCGACGGGGTGAAGTCCCCTGTTAGGTGTGAAACACGTTCAAACATTGTGCACAGCAGATTCAGCATGGTCCTGTTTCGAAACCCATGCACGATACCGGTAAGGCCCAGATGGTGGGACATCTGTGGACCCCTGCCTTATGTGGAAACGCAAGGACTACACTACGGTAGTAGTTAATGAAGCATGGGCTCTGTCAGTATAGCCCAGGCGGAAGGCTGTGCAGGTGGTGTGGCTGATCGTGACATGTGTATTGCTATATGCACAAGCGCTGGCACCACCCCTCACATCCATGTGGTTGACTTTGCTATAGTTTTATCATATACAGTGACTGCACACAGTAACGTGTTGTTAGCAAGGCTCTCCAAGCAGTGACAGTGTCCATAAAAGTTCAAAATTGTTGACTGGCTGCACAACTTTGTATAATCTACTTCGTTTTTACACCATGCAGCATCAAGTATTTCCATAGCATCAACTGCATCCTCTGGATCACGCGGTCTCCCAGCACCATCGGATGAGTATGGTAGGTATCTGCTGTACGTACATGATGAGTATGGTAGGTATCTGCTGTACGTACATGGATTCGCAAATCCAGGCTATGCAGTGTATTTATCAGCTGCAGCCCTGTATGATGTGAAGTGGTGCAGTACTAGATTGTTGATTACTGATCAGCTATGGAATGATTCAGGCCATGGGTCTATGAGACAATGTCTGCATGCTTCGCTAATATACAGCCACACATACACTGGTCGCATACACTGGCCTTGGGTTAAAAGTGCCCTGATTCCACTATAACTTCGTCATTGCAGCGCTTGCATTGTTCTCTTGTACAGAAACTGTGAGCGTTGGCACATCACATTCCGGCGGCGGCGGAACACCGCGTAGCTTCGGCATGGAGTCCAGCGGCCAGCAGGGACCATCGCCCGGAACGCTCACGTGCCAGGTGTCTGTGCCAGAGAATGTACCGGCGTCTCTTGAAGAAGCTGAGTGGTATTGGGGAGCCATCTCAAAGTGAGTGAATCTACTCCTACTTAGCATTGTTTTGTTGGCAAATTATTGCGAGGTTTCCCCAGTACTTATCCATTAGATGGTTACATGTTGGTTCCCAGTGACTCCAAATTAGACCTGTATCATTTTATGAGTATAACAAGATTCACAGTGTCCATTTTGAACAACAAAAGACTTCATGCAATACTTCCAAGAGGTGTGGCACGCCATATGTGCCTTAGAGTAATATAAGTACTAATGTGAAGCATGCTATTGTCCCAGCTTGGAACACACTCTGAGTGCCGCGGGGAAACAGGCTGGTCATCTTGCCTCTTTAGGGAGCATTGCCGGTAGGCTGAGCAACGTCTCCCTGTGCAGCACATTCACATACATACCCTGCTGCAGAGAACATTGCTCCTTTAAGTTAGGTCTACACTACTAGTACTTCCACATAATATTATAGTGAGGCTGGCAATTATTATTTACGGTATCATCCAGTATGTCTTTCTACTAGCATTCAAAGTACATGATTGTACTGATCCGACCACCACCCAATGTACTTGTGCCTTGTCAGTCCTGCTGGAGAATATCGATATCCCCACTGTCACTTTTGTCACTCTCCATTGTCTGCAGGGAAGAAGTCCGGGAAAAGATGACCGACTTACAAGATGGCTCCTTTTTGGTTCGTGATTCGTCTCAGAAGCCCGGTGAATACACCTTGACTGTCAAGTAAGACTTAAGGTTGTGCTGCATCACTATCATTGTTCTGTCAGCCACTCTCATCAGCTCAGATCAGAGTTGCGGGCATGATGTAACTTGAACAGATATCAAAGGCATGTCAATATTTGGAGCATTTAGGGACCTTCCTTGCACTTCGAATTCAGTGATGCCAGGCTCCATGGAGAGAGAGAGAGAGGGGGGGGGGGGCAATGAGACTTTTGTTGTTGCGCTTACACCCAAGTACGTTTATGATTGCTTCTCTAGCATGCTTGTACCATGACCAGTTAGGTCCTACCATTCGTTTCACCTATGACTAGCCACACTCGCCAGAACTTGAAGCAGTAATGCATAATAATTTGCCTCATTGTGCTGTAGGATAGCTTGAGGTTGCTGTCACTGACGCTCTAATACGAAAAACTGCTGTTGATCTTCTGTTTCCTGTTAACAATGTGCAGGAAGGGTGGAATGAACCGATTAGTTCGCATATACAACGAGAATGAGTGCTATGGGTTCAGTCCACCTTGCGAGTTCAATTCCGTTGTGTCGCTCATCATGTACTTTATGAGTCACTCGCTGGAAGAATATAACAGCAAGCTGGCTGTGAGGCTGTTATACCCGATTGAACGATCAGAGGTAATCATACAAACTATTCCTCTCCAAAATCACAGCGGCATGTGATTTTTGAGCTGAGTGTATCTGGCCATGTTTGCCTTTACTACAGTGCAGCTTCATTTATTGTTGCCTCGCTTATCTGGAAGTTGCGGCTCACGGTCTATCGAGGCAGGGAAGCCCGTGCTCACTTGCACACCTTGGATCCGAGTGCCCTGATCTTTTTGGGGACTCTGCTCAGAATAGAGCATAGAGCTGATAGGCAAGGGTTCCTGTAAAGAAGCATGATCATCATCATCACCACCACCAACACCATCACCACCACCAGCAGCACCACCACCAGCACCACCAGCAGCAGCAGCACCACCACCACCACCACCACCATCACCATCATCACCACTATCACCAGCACCACCACCACTCCTCACCAATCGGTGACAGGCTGCAAAGATAGTGCACGTTGTTTACAACGCCTGTTATTTTAAAGTGATGATTATACACATGTCACACTCTATCTCTATTCCTGCACTGAAGTGTATTTCCCTGTCTGCTGACTTGCTCCTTGCAACTCATAGGATGGGCGCAACATGGGCAGTTTGGAGGAAACGGTGACGCAACTCAAGACAGTCAGTGTGTCGCTGAAGGATTGTGATAAGGAATATTCGGTGATTGCCGTGCGCCTCAACGACATCCAGTCGGTACGTAGCCTGCTGTTGATGCTGCTGCACTGGTGTTGCGTCGCTATGTCCTTACAGGCAGCCAGTTCTGGTGATAGAGGACAAGAACAACTTCCTCTGTATGCAGAAATGAACAGTGATTTCTCAGAGGTTGCCATTACTGAAACTAACTACTATGAGTAGCAGTGGTGAGGCTTCCTGCAGCTTCATTCATAGGAAAAAAAAGGTTTCGGAGCAGACTCGCTCTCTTCCCATTCACTCTGCAAACTCAAACTCATTTCTCAATCAATTTGTTTAAACTACTATTATCTTGGTATAAGTATGTACACTGCATCAGGGCTGGATGGAAACTAGCCACAGCACTTGTACATACACTCTAGTGATGTAGCTTGTTCTTATAGGGATTGATATCGTTCTCATACATGAGCTACTAGTATACTTGCATCCCAGCACAGTGGTGTACGAGTACTAATTGTCGGGGTCGCCCCTAAATTGCCAGGCTGCCCTACTGTGCATGCCTGTTCAAGAAAATATGGTGCACGTGCATGTATTTTGTTTGCACCGACTTTGATTTTGATTCTCGCATTGTATTCTTCACTGGAAGGGAAGTATGGATGTATGTGTTTGTGTACATGGTGTGTGTGCTTGTGTGTACATGGTGTGTTTGTGTGTGTGTGCGTGCCTGTGTACATGCATGTGGGATCGGATATGCTGTATCTTTATCACCGACATCTACTGCCGGCCTTGCAGAAACAGCAATGTCTACGCAATGACGTGAAGTGTCAGAAGGCTGTGGTCGAGGTGATTGAGCGGCAGCAGCGATTTCTGGACGCCACAATGAAACAAAGCGTATCCGGCACCAGTGACACGTAAGAGAACTGCACTATTGGCACCGGTGGTAGCTTTGTGGCAGCAAGGCGTTGCTCGCATGGAGGAGTGTACCAATGATGTAATGGGCTCTGTGTGATCTTAGCTACATGTTTTTAGCTTTGCTTAACCCTTTAAGAGCCACAGGAAAATTTCAAAATTCTGCATTTTTTCGTGTTCCTCGGATCATAGCTTCAGTTCTACTCACTCAATCCTCACAATCCAGGGCTTCCTGGAAAGGTCTCCGCGAGAGGAAGAGAATGAGGTCGACCATGATAGCCAGCACACCGTCTATCCAGCGCTAGATCGCAGCGACAGTACGAAAAATGCCCCAAATGCGTCCAATTGCGTCCCGCTCCAGATATTTAATTTTACTCGATCATGGAGTTCCAATTTTTTTCGCTGTGTACTCTTGACAATATCAACAGTGAAACCCGTGCAAATTCGAGTAAACCAGCGTGACGAAAAGTCTCAAAATTCTCAATACTAAAGACGCACTGCGCGCTTTTGAAATTGCCGCGATCGCGGCTCAACTTACGAGTAATTTATCTCAGGAACCGTTGCTCGCAGCGCTTCGCGGATTCTTTCTCCCGACAGGTGAGAGTTTTCTCTTCGCCCTGGATATTTGGATCACTGGATTTGAGCGAGATTGGACTGAGTTACGATCTTTGAAGTTTTGCATTTGAATGCGTCGTTTACGACGCATTCAAGTATGGGGCGGCTCTTCAAAGGGTTAATAGCATAGGACCTACTGTTGTTGATTGGCTGGCGATGTGTCTCACTTCTAATTGACTCTTGGTTCTGTACTGCGTGTTATTGCCAGGGCAACGAGTTTGAAATCGAACCGAGAGGAGCTGAACCTATTGCTGAGCTCGTCAAAGAAAACCCTGAGTGACATGATCAAGAAGCTGAGTGGGATCAGTGAGCAGGAGCGAGAGGCAGTTGCGCACGTGACGCAGCTCAGACTCACGAGAACCGAGATTGACAAGGAGCGCACGAATCTTGTCAGGTATGTTACATCACGTCACCGTGATTGCATTCGGCCAGCACTGTTGAGACAAAGACTGTCAGTTCCATTTGCAGGGTGTTGCGTCCCCAAGTACAGTACATGTATTGTGTTCATATTTGTGTTGCATAGCATGTCATGAGAACGTGCTCTGCCATAGTGCAAACAACCTTTACCTGGAATCACAACTCAGTTACTGATGGAACACGAGTGATGAAATACAAGTGATGTGGGGTATCAGCTATGTAACATCCACGCTCCACTAGGGTCGTTTTAGATAGCAATGCCATGCTGGGTGTGTTGACGTTTCTCCTCCAGCTCTCTGCTGTACAATCACAAGGTCGACCCGAGTAGCCATTTGATCCTGCTCCAGGGAGCGGCAGCGACTCCCATGAATCCGACTGCACAGTTGGTTTCATCTGCACGTATGGATGGCGGGTAAGTGATAAGAGCTTTGGTAAGATGGTAATTGGCTGCACTGACGGATGCTGGCTCCATTGATACTTAAAGCTACCAGCCGCTCTGCGTAACTGGAGTACTGTGCTGAATTGCAGGCAGTGTGTGGCATAGATGAAGCCACAGGCAGCGAAGAGAGTGACACTGGACGTTGTCGTCCATGGCCCTTACGTTGCTAGCGGCATTTACATGTATACCCCTACTGAATTCTACGCAGCCAACACCGTGACTGTGGAGACACAGTGTTCTCGAAAACATTCCGGGAAGCACTATGAACTGACTGCAGTAACTCACACAACACTACAGTTCAGGTTGACAGTGCATTGTTTCGAACATTAGCGACTTGTAAAGTATAGTACATTGGGCCACTTGTAAAGTATAGTACATTAGGCCACTTGTAATATTGCTTGGGACAGTACATTCTTTAAGTAGTGCTCGTTGTGCTTCAGAAGGTATCGCTGGCATTTCTCCTGCCAGTTGCTGGATGCATGTAGCCTGTTTGGTATCCGGTTTGTCCCGCGGATTCACAGTTGACAGCTGATAGCAAATGGTGAAGCTCCGTCAGAGCAACTTTTCACTTAGGCTCGCCTTTTCTCCTGCCTTTGTCATTGAACGAAGTCATGCCACACATACATTCTCTAATTCTTTAACCGCCTCCATTGCCATGCTGACAGTTTGGCTCTCCTCCTGAATGGAGAAAGAAAAGAACGAGTGAAGAAGAAGAAAATAAACCCGCACACGTGTGCTCGTAATTCAATACAGCCCTCTGAACCCTGGCTTTGCCCAGAGTCCTGCCTCACCATGTGACATCATCCACCTCTGGTGGAGCTCTGGGACAGGGGTAACCACTGTGTGTAGTGAAGCAGTGGTCACGTGTTGTCTGGCAATACACGATATACAGTAAAACCTGTAACTAAACACCACCGGTACTAGCGACCAGCCTGGTACTACAGACAACTTTGCCAGGCACAGACGGTCTCACCTTCATAAATTACGGTTGTGCGGTGCAAACCTCTAACTAAGGACCACCTGCCACTAAAGACCGCTTTCTTTGGCCCCAGGGGGTGGTCGTTAGTTGCTTGTTTTACTGTAAACTGGTGGTCAATGCAGCAGTGCACTGTCAAACCTGTACACACATACACTGAATACAATGTGATAGTGAATGCACCTTGTGCCGCTTTGGCTGATGTACAAATATATTGTCATCATGTGAATGCTGTGTGTGTGTGTGTGTGTGTGTGTGTGTGTGTCTGTGTGTGTGTGTGTGCTGTGGCTGGTTTGTTGGCTACAGAGCAGCGCCACCACCGGTGCCACACCGTGGAAGCGTACTGAACGGGGCCGTCATGAGTCCTGTATCAGCAGGTCATCCAATGAGCCCCATGGCTCATCCGACCACGTCTAGTCCAACCAAGATGGCAACCCTGCCTGGACGGCACTCGCCGACAATGGCTGGCTCGCCGAGGACCCACTCTCAGTTTAGCCGTGGACTCAGTGTGGATCAGAGTGGACGCTCCATGCCTGTCCCTATCAGTCATGTAACTCGGGTAAGTCTGTGTAGATTGTCTGTGTAGATTGTCTGTGTAGATTGTCTGTGTAGAGTGAACCACCTGTAACCTGTATAAGAGTGGAAAACACCTCTCATGCCGGTATCGGTGTATGCTGCGACATTTGTGGTGGGTTCAGCACCTTGAGACATTATCAAACGTTACTTTCGTTATTTTAAAACTCCTAAGAATGTGCAGCTCTGTGTTGGAGTCTCTGATAGCGAAAACTCACATCACATGGGACTACAAGCACTGCTTGTATTTGTTTTACCACATACAGCGGGGTCAGTTAACGTACCGCACCGTCTTGAGTTCCATAGGTTTCATCCAGTTTCCTTCAGAGAGGGTTATTTGGTTATTTGAGCACTACCTTGCTGGTAATAATGTCCTGGGTGCGTACATCTACATCAAAACACTGGACTGCGATATGAGTTTTCACCGCCAGCTTGCCCATGGAAATAGGAGACCTAGGTAGCGCTGGGCACTCTTGAGGCATGTAATCTTCATACTCTGGATGTAAAGCAATCTCACGTATCAGCTTATTAAGTTAATGATAGCTTGCATGCCGTCCTACCGGTAGGACCGAAGAAATCGCGCTGCAAAAGTTATTTTGGTTGAGAAATTTCTTGAAAAAATTGTTGAGATGAGGTCTTTGTCAGGCAAAGTAGTGGCGCAAAATGCAAGGCTATGTCCAGTGCATTGCGTATGCGCAATTTTAGCAATTTTCAAAATGGCCGCATATACTCCTGTCGGAGCACTAGCAACTCTGTCCAAAGTGAATTTTGACCATGGAACATCAATCTTGGTGAGGTCCTAATGTTTTTATTAGCTTGCCAAGGCAGCAGAATGCATAATTCCATACTCTGTTTCCATGGTTACCATGGGCTGTTACCATGAAATTTCGTAGCATGCCTTGTGCGATCACGTCTAAAATTTGTGGACTCCTTCATTAGCCCCTGAGCAACAGTTTAGGGTCAAGTTTTAGGTCAATTTTAGAACAGAGGCCATGCAGCATGTCTGTGTATGATGGTCCTACCGGTAGGACCGAGGTCTATGCAAGCTATCATTAAAACACTCTTCTTCTTGTCTAGAGGTGCTCTTCTCTGCCTGTTTCTGGTCCGATATTGCTGCAAACAGCAAGCACGCTCGCCGTCACTGCCCTCTGTTGCACCGATTCCATCGCCACATTCTCGGCCGGAAGCGCTACAACGTCGGGGAACGGTGGCTACCCTCATGATGTCACCTGAGATGGTAGCTGAGATGACTGGCACACCCACCGACACTGTGTTTAACTCCAACGTCGACATCACTCCGTTCGTGGACCGAAGCAACTGGTTCAGAGCTCAGTTCGGACGGTGAGTTGACCTGTCGTCCTTAGCCTATTGGATGTGTGTGTGTGTGTGTGTGTGTGTGTGTACGTGTGTGTGTGCGTGTGTGTGTGTGTGTGTGTGTACGTGTGTGTGTGTGCGTGCGTGTGTGTGTGTGCACGTTGGAGCAGGTACTAGGTGCCACCGTGAGCAGTACATCTACTGTATTTGCTTCATTCCTTTCGCAGTAAACACAATACGTAGCCCGAATTTTCTTGTTCCATTTGTTGCAAACCATCTGGTAATGTAATAGCTTGTGGTTCCAGATTGTATCCAGGCCTGGCTTTAGAAACCCTGTATACCTTATCTCTTGAATGCTCTACGCTTTACACTCTGCAGTGACGAGGCTGCAGCACGTCTCAAGGATTTCCCGGACGGCACTTTCTTGGTCCGAGGCAAGCCTGGTATTAGTGTTGATACATACCAAGGCGGAGGCCAGGAAAATGCCCACTGTTGTACCATTGACCTTGTGTAAGTGCTGGGTAATGCTTGGTTTACACGACTCATGAGTGGGTGATGCTTGGTTTACATGACTCATGAGTGGGTAATGCTTGGTTTACATGACTCATGAGTGGGTAATGCTTGGTTTACATGACTCATGAGTGGGTAATGCTTGGTTTACATGACTCATGAGTTGGTAATGCTTGGTTTACATGACTCATGAGTGGGTGATGCTTGGTTTACATGACTCGTGAGTGGGTAATGCTTGGTTTACATGACTCATGAGTGGGTAATGCTTGGTTTACATGACTCATGAGTGGGTAATGCTTGGTTTACATGACTCATGAGTGGGTGATGCTTGATTGACATGAGTGGGTAGTGATCCTTATAGAAAAAAAGGTTTTAATGCAAGGCAATAATACCTGGAGGAATCCTGGCACAAGCATGTGAAGTAAGCAGAACCAGGCTGCATGGTGTTCAGAAGCCATGAACAAATTTACTTATGCGAAGTAAATGTACATGTAGCTCTCCCCCCAGGCCTAGCTGGAAATGCTGAGTGCACGTTCAACGGTAGTTACTTGTGAATGCTGATTCTCCACAGCTCGAGATTTCTGCTGCCTTTCTTTAGACTCACTAGTGTCACATTGAGTTTGTAGCAAGCAACGAGCATTCTTCCAACCATTACCAATCTAGCCTGACAGTGGCTGCGTTCGTTCACACGTCACCCTCAAAACGATTTTGTGAATTGATTCTGGTCATTCTCATACACTGGAATGAGTGGATTCCACGTGGATTCGAACTTGATTCACGTGCCGCTAACAAACAACAACCCATCTGGGATCATGTGAATCGATTCAAGCGTGTAAGCAAACCCAGCCAGTGCATGTGTTATTAATTACGTTCTAATTCAATGAGCTTGATTAAAAGCATACATGTACTGGTAGTAGCAAGAGTACATAACCCCCAAGAGTGTGCAACTCCAGCTATGGGGTCTGGGACGGCAGAAGTTCACATCACGCGATGAGCCCATAAAAGAATGATAGATGCAGAGTTGTCCGCAACCCAGTTTTGGGTTCAACTCTCTTGTGGTGACTTTGCACTGTTTGCCAGCATAACCTTTTGAACCGTGTCACGTGATGTGAAGTTCTGCCGTCGCAGCACTGCATAGAGGTTGTGCAAGCAGTTGCACACTCTTGGGTGAAGTTCTGCCGTCGCAGCACTGCATAGAGGCTGTGCAAGCAGTAGCACACTCTTGGGTGTTATGCACTCTTGCTAGTAGGCATTACAAGAAGGTTTGTCACATCATGAAAAGTGTTCTTGGCTGTCTGCGTGCGAACGTCTCCTTGTAGATACGACAAGAAGATTCGACACATCAAGGTGCTGATGGCACCGAATGGTCGCGTCGGTTTTGACGACGACCCAGAGGTGCACGGTTCTCTGAACGAACTGATAGTGTATTACGCACGCGTCTCTCTGCTACAACACAACCCCACGCTGGATACGACACTGCTCCATCCAGCATTCGCTCCCAAAACCTAGGTCGTTGTTTAGTCGCCTGCTCCAGCGCTGTAAACACTTACATGCAGCTTTCGAGCAGTTATTTGAAATGTCATTATCTTTGTTGAATTGAGTTGATCTTCCTAACATTAATTTTCTATTTCTTTTAAGGGAAAAAAACCTGTTGAGCACATGTCCAATTTTACACAGGGTTGCTGTCACTGATATCGTAGCGCATTTCAAATCAGCAGCTGCCAGCAGCAAGCACCAAACGCAGACAATGACATGACACTCGTGCACATACCTATTTGACCAGACTTGTTATTCTTATAGCTGCTGCTGCTCCTGCCACACACACACACACACTGGTCACGAGGAGGATTCTGTTTGTTTCCGTTTAGCCTAGACAAAGTCAGTCAATGAAGTTCAACTAACTTGCTCACCTCATATTCAAACACAGCTGATATGAATACACATTGCTACAAAGTTGGAACAGACCCACCTTCTTGCCAAAATTACTGGTACCGGTATTCTTGTTAGTGTCTTCAAATGTTGTCAATTTCGTTATTTTTTGTTTATTCAGTGTTTCAAGTCATATCAGTCAATGTCACTGGCCTCATTCAGCTCCTGTACTGCCCTCGGTTGTATGGTGTGCAGATAGAAACAGCAAAGTCTGCATACATGTGCCATACACCTGGGTACCCATCGAAGCCAGGGTCAAACAGCTCTAGCTCACCATCACACCAAGAGCAAATAAGCGCGCAGAGTTTATGTTCTTTTGATCACACTGAGCTCCTCTTATTAAGGCCGATTCACAATACAACTTCGTGCGACGCGACATGCGACTTGCGACGAGCTGCGACAGCGGCACACGGTTCACAATATTCTTCATGTTTGCGACATCCACATGCACAAGTAGTACTATGCACGTGCACCCAGGGTCGAAACTGTACTGTAAGACATGTTATTATAACGAGTCGCAAATTTAACGATTGTCCAAAATTCATAGGTTAACGAGAAGATATGTTAACGATCTTGCAGTGTTCTGCGATATCCACACACAGCATATATGAAGCAGTACGGCCTCAACGGATCTTATTATAACGAAGAAATGTCCTCCGTTAAAACGTTAGATTTGCTTCCTCGTTATATATACATGTCTTACAGTACTCCATTGGTGTATGTCGCGTGTCGCGTTGCAGAAAGTTGTATTGTGAATCGCCCATTACACCTTTAAAAATTTCTTATTGTTAATTTCTGAAGACCATTCAAATGATTTAAGAAAAAGTTGCGACATGCATTCAGAAAGTGAAAGCAAGCCCAGCAGTTAGAAATGTCATGCAGCCAGAATATGATACAGTATGAAAGGTCTAGGGGTGCTTTCCAGAAATCGCACATGGCCTGCTAGTATTTACCTAGTTCTGGTATGCTGGAGGTTTGATAATAATATGATGATAAAATGGAGGATTTCATGAGCAAATTTCAGGGTTACGAAAGTATCAGGGAAATTAGTTAGGGTTTCAAGCGGTTTTTTTACTCCATCAACTTGAGTGATGCAATGGCTTTCTCCATGGCTGCAATCTCTTGCTGGGTCTGATCCATCTATACAAAGCAAAGGCACACACCCCACACAGTACAGACAGGGTAGAACATGATGCAGTTTTAAACACACACAAGTTGGAGAAGGCTAAAAAAAGGCAAAAAAGGCAGAGAAGATTCGACTGATTGCCCAGCGATTACACATTCTCCCTTACGAACATACTTTCTCATTTTCCATACTTACTTAGGAGACTCCCTTCGATAGGCATCTATTTGCCTCTGGAGGATCCGCGAAATAAAAATCAATCAACAAAAAATAAAATCAATCAACATAGTTCGATACGTAGCTTTGGTACCACCAACTGCAGTATCACAACAAGAAAACCGGTGATGACTGATTCGACAGCGAAAGCCAGCGGTGCATTTTAAAAATTCACCGCACGATATGCTTACCTTGGAAGAGTTACTCTGCCGCACCTTCTCAGGCACCTGAGGCACAAACACACCGACAGGGAGTCAAAAGGGTAAGATGCTTTATACACATTCCACACAAATTAAAATTACGGGTACGCGGCAACGGGAAACGACATTGCACCAAAGATTACAAAGTTGCAGAAGCCTCCAAGCCTGTACCTTAGTGTCGTAGTCAGGCCGTGCCATGTCCTTGTTGAGCTTCTGAATCTGTTCATGCAGACGCTGTAGCTTGCCCTCCTGCTTCGAAATCTCCTTACTCACGTCAATCAGTCCCTACAAGAAGTGAACGTGCATGAGAAAAAAAGACAAAAATGACAATCACCGAATTATATGCTTTATCACAGTAAAAGCTGCATGCAACATTGTACCGCTACCTGAGACAAACTCATAAAGGGCAACAGTACAAACGCCCCTAATGAAGGCACAGCATAGCTTAGCACACCCAACGAAGCACACCAGCTTCATAGAGAAGAAAAGGCAAACACAGCAGCTTTACCGACTAGCTGGTTTGCCGGCTTCTGGCCATCATGCTAGATGCTACATGCATGACTTGATAGATGCTATAGAGGGGTTTTCCTGGGCTAAAATGATATCAATCATATCGGTCACTTGGCTTGTTCTGCACGTATTACACCGTGACATCACAACATTCTGTGTCGCTCTGTGATTAATAGCTACAACTTCCCGTCCTCCACCATTACTGCAGTGTTAGCTACCTGTCATACTGGTGAACATATGCCACAGTACTGCCGGGTGCCGAAGAACGTACTACCAAAGAACAAACAGGCTAGAATGTTCACCGAGCACAGCATACCAATGTATACACGGTGACTCGACTGTGCATAGACTGTAGTACATGAAAATAAGAGTGGCCTGGGCTACACGGCTGCTCCCCAGTTCTTCGGAACCAGACAGGACTCGTCGTACTGGACCGCTTACCTTGACCAGCACGTGCACCTGGAGTTTGTCGGAGAGGGAGATCATAGCGCAGCCAGCTGGAGCAGCCTCGCCTCTCAGCACTGTCATCCTAACGAACACAAAATACACAATAGCACAAGCAAGGTGAGGAGTCAGTGTAGTGGGTAACTGGAGAAGAGGACAGCAGGATACAATGCAAGTACTGTAAACCGTGAAATTATTGCGATGGTCTAATTTCTGCGAAATTCGCGACCGCGTGGAAATCGCGAAATTTAGACAGCGCGAAAAGGAGATCCATGAAAGGTTTAGCAAGAATGCCATTCTGCAATCGCAAAATTAAAACCTCGCAAACCTGTCCGGATTCTGAAAACGCGAACTAAAAACGCCGCGAAAATTTCACGCTTTACAGTAGCAGTAAATTGGCTATTGTTTAGGTCATCACGCGTTATCACTGTGGATGAAAGCAGCCATAAGAGAAGAGGACATATGGATACGAGTTAAGAGTAACTCTCCATCACTGTAACATGATACTATATACAGTCAGAAAGTGCAATAACTAGGCACAAAACTGTCCTTTTCTCTTCCACATTTATTTATGGCTCAACATCCGAGTTTCATAAGAGAAGAGTATGGATAACTTACTCTTTCACACCACCAAGCACACACAGTTGCTGAGTGAAGGTACGTGTCGTAGTAGCAATCTCCTCCGTGCTACACGTCACAAATGCTAACAGCGCGCAGGCACACAGACAGAACACAAAGCAGTGCACACAACACGCCTCTCAGCATCACGCAGAGGGAAAGTTGGACATGAGCTCAGGGGCGCAGCTCGTACATCTGTGGTGTGGTGACTATGCACCACTGGCAACGTCATAGCTGCAGCTTTGCCCATTTTGACTATGTAGTACGTGTGACGGCCATTTGCTGCTGTGGTGATTGGACTACGCTGACTACACATGAGCTACACGTCTGGAGCTATTATTAGCACAGCGATCCATGGGCATACAAGTCACACTTGAAGTACTCTGAGTTGAAATAATCAGATGATGGAACCTCTCCATGTTGCAAATAGCTCATCATTTTGGATGTCACTCTGTGGGGACTGTGTTTCGTGGCTTTTATCTCTTGACAGGAGTGAGTAGTTCAATGCCCGTGTACTTGTGTGTTTCAGCCCTAGATAAGGTGGAAAGGCACCCACCCAGGGGGCTGTCATGACAGAGTAGCTGTGGTGCAAGAGTGAGGAAAAGCTACACTGACAACATTCTAAAAAAGAATCTGAAAAATGTGGCGAGCGGTACCATTCGGCCTCTCAATAATACATTATTGCTCTACTCCTCTACTCCATGTGCTTTTCAGACAAGAAAAAGCCAAGAAGTCAAAGATTAAAAAAAGATGTGAAGACAGAAAATAAACAGTACTGTCCAGAGAATGGGGGAGGTAATGGGAGTTGTAGCAACTAACCTTGTGGCCTGTCCTTGGGAGTGAGATACTCAGAACGCATGGAGCGGAGAGAGTGGATGACATCCTGCACCGTCTGCACATCTCTCTCCAGAACCTCATCTCGGTAGCCCAGCTAAGCAAAGAAGTAAAACAAGACAGTCAACTGTTGAGAGAGTGTTCAGAATAGCATACGGTAATGACCACACTCTCAAGCAGATTGTATCAGTAGCACAGAGTGGTTGGCATGCATGGGCACATGACTAGAAACTTATGAGAAGAATGATAAGACAAGCCGTTGCCGTCACTCAGGCTAGCTACACAAAGCGCCAAGTACAAACATACATTCTCTGGGAATGGGCAGACAGCGATGCTGGGTGGAATGCTATCGCTTCGCTTGGGCAAGCGCTGGAAAAGCTCCTCAGTCAGGAAGGGCATGAACGGCGCCAACAGACGCAGGCCATTGTCCAAACAGGTGTACCTAGGAGAGGAAGAACACCCACACACGCACACCCACACACAATGCACACCACAATGTGCAAGGCCATCAGTTGCTGCCACTTTTATAAGAGTTGAAAAAATCTAGAATTTTCCCAAGCCACAGCTAACTTACACATCAGAACCCCTCCTTGCGTAAAAAGTTTGAAATACTGCATTTGCCAAGCGGTGTCCCTGCTAGAGTGTTTTCCTTTTACTGTAGTGGCAAAGAGGTGGAGTCTCTAAAGTCAATACGAACACTTACAGGACATTCCTGGAGGCGGTCTTGGCAGCCTCATCATCTGAATTAACCACTGGCTTGATTGCCTCCTGCATCAGTGTTGAGTCACAGACAGCAAGTGAGAGAAAGAAAACAATCAGCAGCGCGACACAGTGTACATGAACACACAGTACAGTGCTGGATGCCCAGTGTCTGACCACATCACTTTCACAGACCACAGTGAACATGTGATCACGTTTTCCTGGTCTCGCACACGATCTTCCCATACGCAATGCACACAGTCATACAGATCACACCAGACCACCTCCAAAGCCTGTGCACATAACAGTTGTCTGGAAGATGGTCGGATTCACGAGGCGCCACTGTATTCAGATTGTAACCTTGTTAGCACATCACATCCTTCATTCTCCAAATCCAGCGTAACACGTTGTTGAGGAAAGAACAAAACTCTCCAGATTCCAATGGAGCAACAACAAATTGCATGACCTAAACGACACGACTACGAGTAGGAACGGTACAAATGCAGAATTATTATTGCTCAGGACATGCAGTCCTGTGACTTGGAGCAGAACAAGTCTGGTCAGTAGCGAAATAAAAAAAACTTCTGTTTCATCCAGCTCAATACACGGCCACCGCATTCTACATTTACTGCCTCCGATAAGAACGATTGGATGTTTCAAGACGGGTGGTCCGTATCGAGAAAGATTCACTCACCAGGTATACATCACACAAGTCGTACAGCCAGAAGTTGTAGCATGCGGTTGTTGCCGTGGGGAAATCGTACTTCTCAAAGCCAGTGTTCACTTCATCCACAGCAAACGTTAGCCGGCTGAGAATCCATCTGTCCATGTGCGCCTCCATGTGCGACCTGTCTCCGGAGAGCTACAACACACACAATGGGCCACAGCACATACACTGGTTTATCAAGACGCCAAATAGAGGATACAAGGAGAGTAAAATTTAATGTAGAGAAACGTATCACATGCTGAGTGCTGCGTGCTTCTCTTGCGACGGGCGTGTACATGGTACATGGTGTGTGTATGCGTGTGTGTGTGTGTGTGTGAGTGAGGTGTGCTAGGGGTGTGAGAATGTATGGTGTGGCTGCACACAGGAGTGAGAAAGAGAACGTATCACGGGTGAGTGAGAGAAGAATAGTCACTATTCCCAGTGTGAAGCGGGTATGGCGTCGAGAACAGGGTACGGGCGAACAGGGCATGAACTCAATTGTTTAGCCTACTCACACATCATGACAGACATGACATTACTTACATGTACAGTGTCCTCTGCTGGTGGCTGGTAACCATCACCCAGACTCATCTGTGCAAACTTGCAGGCGTTCCACAGCTTGTTGCAGAAGTGGCGATATCCGACAACACGGTTGACATCAAGGTTGATATCGCGGCCTGATCACACAGCACATACAGCAGAGATGAACATGCACACACACACACACACACACGCACACGCACACATGAAAACACCCAAAATAGTTTAAAAGCGCCAACAAAACCAAGCACCACGACGGCAGCCTATGAAACCTAGAAATCCAGACTCTTGGATCTGATCTTCGACGTACTGTTCTGCCATTGTCAAGGAACGACTGCTTACAAGCTTTGAAAAAAGAGCGCACGTTTTTTCGGTAGCTCGAAGGAAGTAGCTATATTGTACATAACAACATGGACCAGTCGACTGCTGGATTTTGGTATTCGTTTCACCACTAGTACTCAGACATGCCCATTGTGGAAGCGATGATAGCGAACAAGCTATGTTAGACACAGCGACTTGTGCTGGGATTATACCATTCAACAGCTTGCAAGGCTGATGAATTGACCGCCACTAATTTTAGCCTGGTCTACACCACACAGCTGATTGAAGCACTAGTACATGGCCGCCACGCGCAGCTACAGCGGTGGCAACATTGGGAATATTTCCCGACCCCGTTCAAGACAGTCATCGCCCATACAAGGTCTTACCCTGAGCGGTGTAAGCGCAAAGAGCAAAGCGAAGCGCGTCCGTTCCGCACTCCGGGATGCCACTCGGGTAGTCCTCCTTCTGGCCCTTGATGGCACGCTCCACCTCCTTGGGGTCCAAGTTGCCGGAGCGCAGCTGTTCGTGCAGCTGCTCCAGCGTGATGCCATGGATGACGTCCAGCGGGTCAATCACGTTGCCAAGACTCTTGCTCATCTTACGGCCATGAGCATCACGCACCATAGCATGCAAGTAGACCTAGCGCGCCAAAGGCAGAACAAAGAGATCAACAGCAGCAGAACTTGGCTTAGTTCTTCATATCACTCTGCGTTCAACTTGAAAACATACAGTTACGACAGGCTCAGCCATTCATTGTAGTAAACGGCCTTGCTGTTGCAAAAAGTACCAGGAAGACCCCTACTGCACAACACCATGTACTTTATACTAAATAATAGGAAGTGAAGAATCCGGTAAGATCTGCCTTAGGAAATAAAAGAGAGCACACATTTCAACATGAGTCGCATCATACCTCCGGGAAGGGCAGCTTGCCCATCAGCTTGGTTCCAAAGAACACCATGCGGGCCACCCAGAAGAAGAGGATGTCGTGACCAGTCTCCAGAAGAGAGTTTGGGTAGAAGCTCTCCACGTCAGCCGTCTAGTTTCAGTGCAAAGCAAAGAGTCACAAATGGTGAGTGGCTCTAGAGTTAAACAGAGTTGAGGATGGCATTCAAGCCTAATCTATACCTACGATATCAGGGGCGTCGCACACGGTACAGTCACTACGGTATTGACCGTACCACTATTTGCCCCAAGTACCCCGTGAATCAATCAAATGCACTGATTTGGGCTCTACATTTCCAACATTTTCGACTCAGCCATCCCTCCCCACGAGTAAATTGTAGTTCAGATGGCTGACCGTACCACACTAAAATACCTTCCGACGCTCCTGATATACAAAATCACTCTTGTATGATGGTGACAGCACACCGCAAGGTGGAGCACACACTATATGTATATGGAAAACAGTGTTCCTGACTGCAACCAGAGACAGGGTTGGTAGGATGTGTACTCCGCCTTGTGATGTGCTGTCGCCGTCATCATACCTGGTAGACTATCAAGCAGGGCTTACATATATCGACATCAAGCAAGGCTTACAAATACCGACATCAAGCAAGGCTTACATATATCGACATCAAGCAGGGCTTACATATACCGACATCAAGCAGGGCTTACATATACCGACATCAAGCAGGGCTTACATATATTGACACCACTGTTGTAAAGTACTCATAGCTACAGGATGTTAATCAGAATGCTGTAGATGCCGGTGGCCACTTTCCCTTCTCCTGCTCATTGCTAGCACTTTACATAATCAGTGTTTGAGGTAATGCTGAACACTTTCTGTACTCCGTTTTGGAAGTAATGCTGACCACTTTTTTTCGTACGCCATTTTTCTCTGCAGGGTATGTTCCTTTGCCTTGATCCTTTCTGATGGTCTATTCTCTGAGGTCTAGCCTTGGTCTGGTAGGGGACGTTTCGATCTTCGAATCCTCCTTCCCCATACAAAAGAAGTGTTGCTCTGTGTGTGGGGAGAGAATGTGCTTATAAGTCAGAGTGCACCTATCTCAAATACAGGCATGTGCGCCTAAAATAGAATTGTGCGTTACTACGGTACACACACACATTTCATGCCTTGAGTTACATACCTTCTCTGGCCATCCAAAGATGGAGAAAGGGAAGATAGCAGATGAGAACCAGGTATCCAACACATCTTCATCTAAAAGCAGGAACAGAAGAAAGAACAGCAATATGCCAAATCAGACAGTGCACTACGCAGCAGCTGTCGCAGCCAGTGAAGGCACAAGATCACCTTGACCCAAACCTACACATCTGCCCACTGGCACACCACATTCACACAAGCTTGTCAGGTCAGCTAGCCATTATCCTAAGAGTTGAGAAGGCAGTTCATACCTTGAGTGAGGATGATCTGATCAGCTGCAACGTTGAACTTTGCTGCAGCTCTCTGCAACGCTTCCTCCTCATTGCGGCCACTAGACAAAGAGGTCAACAAAATACCCTGATTAGCAAAATCAGCATAGCACATTCGAAGTCACAGAAATAAACTAATAGCTTTCTCAGATTCTGAAATTGTTTCCATAAAAATATAAAAAATCCAAACCGACAAAACCGCAAGACAGGAGATAAGTTACACTGAGGAAACTCACCTCACCCAGAAGGATCCATCAGTATCCTATAACAGAAACAGCACAACAGGACAAAATACATTACTGAAAGTGACACTGTTAGAAACCACTCAGAAAGCATGTACTACTCGTAGTACTGACCAACATACACAACAATGGTGCTCTCTCTGTCTCTTTCTCTCTCTCTCTGTCTCTCTTACACACACGCACACACAAACCATTCTGAAAATCAATGACACATTACCTCTCCAGATGGCTTCGATGCGTCTTTGAACGTCACAAAGTAGGCAGGAATGCGATGGCCCCACCACAGCTGACGTGAAATACACCAGTCACTGTCAAGGACAAAACAAACACATAAACAGATAATTATAACTAATTGTCTCTACAGTCTCTACATTGGCTGCAGTGGAGTACTGAAGAAAGTCTTTACAGTATTTCTATCAACTGTCCACCTCCCAACTAGCACACCGTTTGATTTATCACTTCAGCCGTGTTGAATGAAATACAATCTCATGAAGAAGTTCACGCTCTGCACCAGTGCATAGACCAGTTTTCACAGGTCGGGGGCTGCGCAGCACTCGCCACTGACTCAGTCGATCGGGTTCCATTGAGCAGCACCTTGAGAAGTATTTCCCATGACTACAGCTACCAATGCTAACTGGTGGAGCAGATTGCCAAAATGTTCCCCACAGAACACATTGCAAACCGTGATCGACATGATACTTAGTATTCAACATGTGCTGCGAAGCCATTGTGGAACTCTCAGCCCAGGGAGAACGAGAGAGAAAGCGAGAGAGAGAGACAGAGAGAGAGAGAGACACACACACACACACAGACAGAGCCAGGCTCTTATTCAAGACAAGGGAATAAAAGGAGGAAAAAGCGGATTCAGCTTAGTTTGGCTCAGTTAGGCAGAAGAGACATGGTTGAGCACCGACTGGACCACGAGTCAACAGTACAGCAACTGCAAGCACACGTCCCACTCTCATGGATGACCTCGGAACCCCTGCGGTTCTCATCATTGCCAAATACACACGTACACACATACAAAGACCCTCTGCAACAGCTGAATAGCACAGTCCTAAGCCGACCCCTCAGACTTGTCATAAGCACATACCGACTGTTCTCCAGCCATCCAAACCACGTCTTCTCGTGCATCTTGGGCACCAGACGCAGTTCACCAGACTTCACAGCCTGGGCAAACACAATGAAGAAACGGAGCAATCAGGGATTGCCATGTCCTAGCCCACATGCAGCAACAGAGACTTGCAGGCAACAAGATAAATCACCAAGTCCAGCTAAACCAATACCATATGCTAGAGGACACCATACCCGACACTTTCCACTATAGAGTATAGTGCTACGTGCAATAGTTATTGATACCATGCAAAACAAGCCATGTGTAAGAGGAGACACAACATGGGACAAAGGCTAGTCTAATCAATACATGATAAATACCACCTGCCCATAGCCCCCCCCCCCCCCCAAACACTCACCCACACACACATGCACACCCACACACACATAGTGCACATACATTCACAGCGTTGCTGGCCATCTCGTCGCACTTCACAAACCACTGCGGCTTGATCAGCGGCTCAACAATGTCCTTGGAGCGACTGCAGACGGGCACAACCATGGGGTGATCCTTGGTCTCGCGGTATAGACCTTCTTTCTTGAGTGCCTCCAGTACGGATGTTCTTGCGTCGAAACGAGGCATGCCCTGAATACAAACACCGGCAACAACAACTAAAACACTGAACATGGGCCACCAAAACTACTCATACAGTAAACAGCGGTAGTGACTGCAACTCTCCACCAAACACGCCTGTCCTGAACTGGTACACGCATGGGGAATGCACTACCTACTGTAACAATGGCATACCTTGAACTCCTCAACAATGTCAGTGATGAGACCGTCGTCTGTCAACATGGTCAAGAAAGGCAAGTCGTGGCGGTGGCCAACGTCGTAATCGTTGGGGTCGTGGGCAGGAGTGATCTTCACAGCACCTACAAACAGGTGACGGGTCATGCAGGAAAGAGAAAAGAAACAAATTGAAAACATTACAAAACTGGAAACAGTCACCACAACTCAAAAGCCAGTGAAAGAGAGAAAGAGAGACACACACACAGAGCATACGCGTGTGTGTGTGTGTGCGCGCGCAGTGTGTGTGTTTGTACACAGCACGATAAGTAACGGTATGGCCATAATTTGCTTGGCTCAGTCAGGCAGAAGAGACGTGGTTGAGTGCCGACTGGACCACGAGTCAACAGTACAGCAACTGCAAGCACACATCCCACTCTCATGGATGACCTCGGAACCCCTGCGGTTCTCATCATTGCCAAGTGATCATATTCAGGAAGGAGAGAGAGAGAGAGAGAGAGAGAGAGAGAGAGAGAGAGAGATGGAGAGAGGGTAGCTATAAGCTGACAGAGGTGTGATTCCAGTCCAACTAACTGTTATTCACAAACATGGCGTATTGCCAACAACTCACCGGTTCCAAAGTCCATCTCGACGAAGTCGTCCGTGACAATGGGAATGGTAGTTTTCCTGAACGGATGCCACACAGACTTTCCATGCAGATGCTGTAGAGATATCAGGCATCAAGACACCAGTAATGACTTTTTAGTAGCTGAACCATAATGATATTATGGACCACAATGTCCACAAGGAACTACAATACACAAGCACGTGAATGGTGACAGGATTACTAGTAAACCAAGTGAGGACAGTAGGCAAACTGTCCCTAAGCATGGGCTACAGGAGCAACATGGTAAAACTGATTGTGTGAGTGAGTGTACAATTACCTTGTAGCGCTCGTCTTTGGGATGCACAGCAACAGCGGTGTCGCCAAGCATAGTCTCGATACGAGTGGTGGCCACAACAATCTCACCCTCTGGAAATAAAACCAATCGTGGTACACATGCACACACGCACACCAGAACATAGCAGGGTCAGTTGAGACAAACTAAGCACTTCAGGAGACGACTAACACACAAAGGACCAATGAAGGTCAGGACAGTCGGAGGTGTTCTTGCACATCAGAAAATCAAAAATAACACAGTCATAATACAGCTACCTACCTCCTTCGTGGATGCGGTACGCAAAGGACACAATCACACCAAACTCAATCTTCTGCTCATACCCGGGGACAGACAGCAGTGTTCGACCGGGCAATTCAACCTTGTCCACCTGTAGTGAAAAGAACAGGAAACATCACCAACAAACAGCAAAGCCACGAGATTTCAACTGGAAGCCTTATGGCGCTGATGTGTCGTCAGCTGCCCCAGCTTTGTTACTCTGCTGACATTGATAGGCTTTCAACATAAACATTAACACAAATACAATCGAATGGAAACAAATTACAGCGTATGGGAACAGAAAGCCGAGACCGACACCAAGTTAGTGTACAGTGAGTCACTGTGCCAATGCAAACACTACAACAACTGGCCATCAGCAACACTGCAATTTACCTCAATGTCTGCAATAGCAGACTTCAAACGAGTGGACCAGTTCACCAAACGCTTGCTTCGGTAGATGGTGCCATCGTCATGAAGACGCACGAAGGTCTCTTTCACGGCAGTGGACAGTTTCTGAAATCGAAATAACACAAGCACAGTTATGAGCAAATCCTGAAACTGTAAGCTACCAGCACATTCTTCCAAGACGGGCCTGTTCACCCCCCCCCCCCCCCCCCCCACCTCCTTCTCTAAATACAATCGGTTCATAATACTCTACTATGGGAAAAATCCCGAATATTCGAATGTTCGGTTGGCAAGCTCAAACGAGCACGAATATGAGGGGTGAGCGTAGTGCATGCACTCTGTATATTTGCAGAACACTTCTAAATGTGTAAGCTCACAACTACTTGTGCAAAGTCAAAGTGGCCGGCATCACGCATACAATGGGCTTGTCCAACCGGTGCGCGAATACGAAAGGATACTCGAATAGTCAATAGTCATAAACTGTTCTAAGGACTCACAGACTCCATGTCAACAGTCATATTTTCTTCACCCCAAACTCATTACCCACTTGCACGTCAATACACGGAAGTAACCACCACACATTCACAGGAAAAATCTGATTTGGCCATACCGGGTCCATGGTGAAACATGCTCGGTCCCAGTCCAGGGCGCATCCCATTGCTTTCTGCTGGTTGTAGATGCGGTCACCTTTCCTACAATGCACAAGAACAGGTTTGCAACACACATACACATACACAGACACACGCACACCACTTATAGGAAGCAACTAATGCAAAGAAGTGAAGGCATGCCTGACAAAGCCACCAGCATAACATGCATTATACAGTACACCCAGGGGAAATGCTGAAGTTAACACAGTACTGTCACTCAGATACGTACTCATTCTTCCACTTCCAGACCTCCTTGACGAACTCCTCTCTGCCGATATCATGACGAGTCAAGTTTCGTTCTCTCTTCAACTTCTTCTCCACAACCACCTGTTGAGCATGGCACCAACAGGATATGACCAAAGTCAGAAAATTGAACAGCTACTTCTGAAGTACTTTTGAAGTAGTACATGGGCTACGTACGGTGAGGAAATGAACTATGTACAAAGTGTGTAGAGCACAATAAGCAGCAGTTTGAACAGTTGGATTGGCTCAGTCAGGCAGAAGAGACATGGTTGAGTGCCGACTGGACCACGAGTCAACAGTACAGCAACTGCAAGCACACGTCCCACTCTCATGGATGACCTCGGAACCCCTGCGGTTCTCATCATTGCCAAGGGATCACATTCAGGAGGGAGAGATGGAGAGAGAAAGAGATAGAGAGATAAAGAGATGAAAGCAATCCATACCTGGGTAGCAATGCCGGCATGGTCACAGCCTGGATTCCACAATGTCTCATCACCGCGCATGCGATGCCTGTGGACAGCAAAATAAATATATATGAGATGTAAAGATGAATCTTTTCCTTTGAAATAATATACGGGAATTGGGAGATAGCGGCATCAACACAGTCATATTCATACTGCAATTCCCAGTTGTTTTCACCGGGGATGGGCCAAAATGCTCCTGGAAATCTCACAAGTCCAGAATGGAATAGATACCGTTTCCCTCACAATACTACACTGGACTATTCTCTGAGCAGTCTTACCATCTAACCAAGCAATCCTCAATGGCGTTCGTCAACGCATGTCCCAAATGAAGTGACCCGGTGACATTGGGCGGTGGAATGGGGATCACAAACTTGCCCCGTCGAGGTGCCATACCGGAGTGCTGCATGACAGCAACGAGGTGGAGAAAACAAGAGCAGGCAGAGATGTCATCCAATGTCCAAATACACGCCACAAAACTGGATACTAAGGTATTACGACTGCAGTTATGGCCACAAGACCTAACAACAAGAGTACATACCCTCCTCCCAAGAGTGTGCAATTCCTGATGGGTTGCTGTCACGAGTCACGGCTCCTTTAAAGAATCACATCATTTACCATGCTGTTACCAACTCAATGCACGCAAAAGAGATGTGAGGTTGAACACATGCAATGTGCAGTTGGTGTGTACATGTCCAGTCAAGTGGGTTACATCATGAACGATGATATAATTCTGAAAACAAGGCGCGACAGAGATTTACGTGGAGTTACACACTCTTGGGAGTTATGCACTCTTGCAATCACATACCAATCAGAGTAGGTGTCTCTCAAAGTACATCTGCACAACACTAGCCAAGTTTTAGGCATCTATGTGACTTTGGAAGATCAGTGAAATAAAACGAAATATTAAAAATGAATGAAATGTTGCCTATCCATTATCCAAACTTGTCAATTGGCCGAAGAGGTTACAAAATACCAAGTGTGTAATATCACTTAACACTGAACATCACGTGAATGCAACACAAAGACCACTGTTGCCATTGATCACTCACCCTGTATTCCGGCTTGAAGAAGCCCTGCGAGAGGAGAGAACGGTACAAAGAAACACACAGACACCAACACAGATTCAGCAGAGACACAACACAAATCCGTACAAAGTACGTACTACATGCAGGTCACAGGGACGTTATCTACATTTCAGAGTGATAGCATGCACTTGTACTGAGGTCATCCTGCTTTCCTACTTCTCAAATACTTGTAACTTACTTCTTTCTCCCACCAGGAGTACCAGGCTGCCTCCACGTACTTGGGACTATAGCTTGACGGCATAGAATTAGACACATCTGCAGTAGCAGCACACAACAACACACCAAATCCAGATGAAGAAGGTACACTCTTGCATGCACACAAACACAGACACATAGGCACACAGTCACACAAGCACGGACAGTCACAAGCACACACATGCACGGACACACACTTGTACTTGTACTTACTTGTTGCTCACTGCCAAAACTGGTCACGTGGGTCTCCCCGGGAGAGGGGAGAGAGACTCAAAAGGAATCTTGGAAAGATGACTCAATTGGCTATTGAACCGCCCAACGGCCGACACCCCCTGAAATCCCCAAAACTCTGGGTGGACTTGAAAATGATCCCACTTATGGGCTCACCACACCTCAGTAAGTGGGTGAGGACAAGGTGCAGAAAAAGGATTGACGGCATCAGGGTATCCGTCCCGGGATCCAACTGCAGTTACCCCTGCCCCCAGTGAAGGTAATACTTGCTACTAGTGTGGATGACACACACACACACACAACCAATGTCACTACTCCACAGAGGAAAACAAGCACAGGGCCAGTGTGCTTCAGAGTTCAGACATACCCTTCTTGCTTCCAGGTGCAGTGTCAGCCGTGTATTCAATGGTCTCCTTTTCTTTCGCAGGCTTCTTGGACTTCTTTTCTGCTTTCTTCTGCAAAAGCACACATTTATTGATGGCATGGAGTACATTAAACAGCAGGCAACAGATCATCTTCTCCTGAACAAGAACAGGATGCAGTGCAGCTGCAGCTGCAAGAAGACTAACACAATCATGTACCATTGCAAGGAGAACTCCGCAAAACAATTCCCAGTTGTAGACCATGAACGAACAAAAGTAATACCGGTATCATCAGAAGATAGTCAGCGAAGACACTGTCTTACTAAACTAGCCTCATTAGGTAATTGAGAAAGAAATCCACTGCCAATGCGGACACAGCAAGAACTGAAATCAGGAACAGTGGACTTCAGAGAACAATGAGCGCGTGAGAGCTTGTTGGGAACAGAGCATGTGCCTTCTGTGTTAAGCGCAAAACATCATTATAAGCATATTCCGGAGGGTGTTTGGGTGTATGTGGGGGGGGGGGGTCGCCTTGCCCTGTATTGTACCTAGTGCTGAACAAGAACTCTAGTGCGAGTGCAAGATCCAGAAATAACTGAATCGGGACTCCATTGCTGATGAACTCAAACCAACTCTAAAAAAATTGTCCTCTCCCCACTAGTACTTGGTGTCCAGAAATTGAAAGAGATGGATGAATACAATCATGAATACATGAGACAGAGTCCACATGGTACCAAACAGTAGTAGTGTCTACAGATTGACTGCGTTTGCTTGCGCATCTGCAAGAATTTTTTTGTCATTCTGAGTGTTCTTATTTCCAGAGTTCATGAATAAATCACAGTGTACTACAGCTGTAGTGCCTTCAATACATGATCAAAGTAAGAAAATAACACAATGCCAATGGATTGATTGAATGATCTTGCACTTCTTACATTTCTTACACATCTTACACTTATCGGCTGAAAGATACTACAAATTACAATGTAGGTACGCCGGTGACAAATTTACACCGACAAAATTACATACCTCAGACCCGGCTGCTGCAGCAGCTTTGTCAGCCTGCGCTTTCTTCTTTTCTTCGAATTTAGCTAATTTGGCCTTCTTCTTTTCTTCGCGCTCCTTCTCTTTTCTAAGTTGTGCTTCGGTCTTTTCCACCGGTGCTGCGGTGGCAGCAGCTGCCCCAGGCTCGCTCATCGCCTAGTATGTTGCACAACCACCAAACTACCACCAGTCCAAGGTGCGAAAGTCAAAACAAAGAGAACTGACCTGTTCGCTTTGCTCATCAATAAGATGATGTTTTGCAGTCAGTGTTTCACGGACACTCAGCAAAACAGAAAAATGTGTTGCACATGATCTTGAAACTCTCAAATCGCCATTTTTCCGGCAAGCAACCGTCTGTCCACGTGCTCACCCACGTGCCGTCATGATCGATAGTTGCCATGAGAACGTGTGTACACGTGCCCACGCGTACGCGATCGCGAGGCCGCTGACTACGACTGAGACTGAGCAAATCCGTCATTGCATTGTTGCATTTTCATTAATTTTGGTTTGTTCAGTTTTATGACCGCACTGTCATTGTTCTTAGCTTCGAGTAGATATCTGCTCATACTCGTGTCGCCGAAGCCGAAATAAGAAAGCAGATGCAAGCAACCATGGCCACGGTCGGTGGTAGTCATCCCGCAGCATCGTCTGGACCATTATTGTTGGCTGGGTCTGCACTCGAGCTAGCTACTCAAGCCAAGGCAAGGCTGTGCCAGCTTCAAGCTTACTTGATCACAACTTCACATGAGCTGGTTCGCTAAACAATTTTCGTTACTCGTCTCCGTCCAGGCTCTGGCAACATGCCTGTCATGTTGCTGACGCTTTATGTCAATATGGGGCTTCCTGGATGGATACTCGCGTACTTGGGAGGTTGCGACTTTCGAGCTTTGCATTGGAGCAATGGAGACACAGACTGCAGATCAGTTTAATCTCTGTAGTTTGCCAGTGGATGGACAGTAAGAATGGCCAACCTGCTTCGTCCACTGGCGAGCATTCCACATGGACTGGCTGTCAAGGTATTGAAAGTTGTAGCTTGTGTGTTCATCGTGTACACAGTGTGGATGGCACAGCAGCTGAATGCCTACAAGAAGAGAGGTAAGGAAGTGCACCAGCATGACACTGTCACTCTCGACACTGACAATTGTTATCATACGCCAGCTGATTGTATCTATGGAGATGTCCAATCGTGGTTCTCACAGACTACAAAGACGAAAGTTGTAGGTCTGTTGCAGTGAGCAGCTGTCTGGAGGGTCTGCAATAAGCCTTATGCACGTTGTACCGATGCCCGAAATCCCGTAGACCCGGTTGGTTGTTGAATACGCAGGACCCTATTGTGTTTACTGCTATTTCCACTAAGAAATGGTCCCTGAGCGCATTTCAAACATTTTCCGAGAAAGATCTAGCTAGTCACTAGTTCTGTCCAAAGTGACGAAGCTGGAAAAGCAATTATTGTTTGCCATTGATAAGGTGGCTAAATTGGTCAAATGCGCATGTAGAGCACACAATGAGCACCCAACTGGGTATGTACACACCTACGGCCCTAGTACAGAACTTCGTGCATCTGTACAGCGTGCATTAGGACCATATCAAAATCTCAACCGAAATCTCCTCGCTATGATCATAATGTGCAAGTGGACTGAGTCGGCCAAGAACGCATTGTGGAGTACTGAATAGACTGAGGATGTATGAAGAAGCACAGTAGTAATACTTCCTGAAGTAGTGTCTTGGGATTCGGAGTTGCAGCTACAGCTGTTGTCCAAGATGACCGTCTTTTCCAGAGTATAAACTGCACCCGGGTTTTTTGACATGAAATACAGACATCTACCCTGGGCATTGGGGACATCTACCCCGGGCATTGGGGACATCAACCTGGGCATTGGGGACATCCACCCTGGGCATTGGGGACATCAACCTGGGCACTGGGGACATCAACCTGGGCATTGGGGACATCCACCCTGGGCAGTGGGGACATCTCCCCTGGCATTGGGGACATCTACCCCGGGCATTGGGAACATCAACCTGGGCATTGGGGACATCAACCTGGGCATTGGGGACATCAACCTGGGCAGTGGGGACATCTACCCCGGGCATTGGGGACATCTACCCGGGCATTGGGGGCATCTATCCTGTATATCACTGTTCATTTGACCATCGTGGTGTAAGCCGCACCGACCTTTTTGGGTGAATTATGAGTGTTTAAAGTGCGGCTTATACTCCGGGAAATATGCGGTGCATGTTCACGTACTTCCGGCACCCGTGCGTCCACCATGACGTGCACTTGTCTATCATAGCAATAACAGATGGGAAGGGAAACGAGGTCAACGGATGATCGCCTGAGCCCTCGGCATTCGAATCGTGTTTTGGTTGACTCGATCGAAGACTTTTCTTCGATGTTTGTACTGTTGAAGACGCGTCGAGCGCGTCCCAGTAGGGATCACACTGTACAACAGTACACAGTCAGGTCACCGTGTTTCTGTAGCCGGACCCCCCCCCCCCCCCCCCCCGTGCATGCTCACTGTACGTAGACTCTACTCTGTACAGACTGTAGACTGTACTGTACTAGTCTGTAGTGTGTACAATCAACACCAGCTCGAGCACCGTACCGTGCAACCGCTTTTGGACAATCGTTTCAGGCCGCGCGCGCCCAAAGCCTAGTCTAGCTAGACCGGGCGCGCCCTGTCTTTTATTTTTCGAAACCTAGGTCGAAATTTTTGAGGGGGGGGGGGGCGCGCCCCCCGCGCCCCCCCCCCCCCCTAAACCCGCCACTGGCGTGCATTAGGACCATATCAAAATCTCAACCGAAATCTCCTCGCTATGATCATAATGTGCAAGTGGACTGAGTCGGCCAAGAACGCATTGTGGAGTACTGAATAGACTGAGGATGTATGTAGAAGCACAGTAGTAATACTTCCTGAAGTAGTGTCTTGGGATTCGGAGTTGCAGCTACAGCTGTTGTCCAAGATGACCGTCTTTTCCAGAGTATAAACTGCACCCGGGTTTTTGACATGAAATACAGACATCTACCCTGGGCATTGGGGACATCTACCCCGGGCATTGGGGACATCAACCTGGGCATTGGGGACATCCACCCTGGGCATTGGGGACATCAACCTGGGCACTGGGGACATCAACCTGGGCATTGGGGACATCCACCCTGGGCAGTGGGGACATCTCCCCTGGCATTGGGGACATCTACCCCGGGCATTGGGAACATCAACCTGGGCATTGGGGACATCAACCTGGGCATTGGGGACATCAACCTGGGCAGTGGGGACATCTACCCCGGGCATTGGGGACATCTACCCGGGCATTGGGGGCATCTATCCTGTATATCACTGTTCATTTGACCATCGTGGTGTAAGCCGCACCGACCTTTTTGGGTGAATTATGAGTGTTTAAAGTGCGGCTTATACTCCGGGAAATATGCGGTGCATGTTCACGTACTTCCGGCACCCGTGCGTCCACCATGACGTGCACTTGTCTATCATAGCAATAACAGATGGGAAGGGAAACGAGGTCACCCAAATGTCTCCTTTGCTGACAATATTTGCTTTGTGGACTGGTTCGTCTTGGAAGGAAAATTGTCGGTTATCTAAGGTGGTCATATTGCTGCATCTTGCAGACTTTTGCGAGTACAGCTGCAGTCTGTCACTTATTTCTTGCTTCTATTTTGGTAAAGAAAACAGGGCCAAGAAACTACAAGTTACGCTATAATGGCCACTAACACCACCAGTTTGAAACTCGGATGTTGAGCCAATAATAAATGTAGAAAGGAAAAGGAAATACATGTATAGATACGAGTTGAGAGTAACTCTCCGTCGCTGTAACCAGATACTATATACAGTCAGAAAGTGCAACAACTAGGCACACAACTGACCAAGTACTGAGACATTCGACGTCCTGACACCTAGTTTCAACACATCTCCGTAGCGCTAACCGACAGCCTTCCAACTTGGAAGTGTATCTATACATGTATTTCCTTTTCCTTTCAACACCACCAGTTACTAAACAACTTGGTCTTTGCTATAATTTTTTATAGACAATATGCAATTGATGATGATCCCGTCTCCGCGTATTTTAGTACCATCTAGCTTGACCTCACTATTCCTGTGCAGAATAAGGTGGGATCAGTCAAACACATGGGAATGCATGCCTGTGAAGGTGTGCTCGAGATGAGTGCAGGGTATACTGGTGCACTGGCTGTGCACCTCAGCTCATGGTATGTTCGACCTTGTTTGGTGCAGAAAAGGCCGAGTGCAGTGGTGTTGTGAATGGCTATACGCAACATGGAGCAGGTGGACTCAAGAGACTCAGCTGCTCTCCCAGACACTACTCCTCACTGTGAGTTAGCTAATGGTGCTGCAGTGGGCCAGCCTGCGTTGAGAAGGATTGTTACATATGAGTGTATTGTAAATCTGTTATCACTTTCGCATGACGTCTACTAAGTAATGTTAGAGCTGCACTCTTGCGATGGGCAAACATGCATGCGTGGGTGTGTGGGTGTGGGGGTGGGGGGGATAGATGTTTTGTACTCTCCAGGCTCAGCTTGCAGTGCTCAGCGTATGATAACACACCATGGCCATGCAGACTGCATTCATGCACACACCGCGGTCATGCAGATCAGAAACAACTTACTGTGGTGCGCTTTACTCTCCTTCTTTTCCTTGTAGGATGGCAGCGGAATGTTTTCGTAATTCTCGAGTTCAGTTCATGGGAAGTTCCCAAATGCGGACTGTGTTTTCTAAGACTGTTGATTATGTGAAGACTGCCCCAGATCATCCTGTGTATATTTCAACTAAAGGGACCGCATTGAAGGTACAGTGTAATAGTTAAGAATAACTTGCTTGTAGGAACATTCATTCTTCCTGTCATCGTGTTCATAGTACCTATACTAGTAATGTGTTGTCTACACTTCAAGTAGTGTTTTAGCACCATACCATACCACAGTGCACCGCACCACTAAACTATACCCTACACCGAAGGTCGTCTGTAGTTGGTAGCTGTACTCCTGGTCGCGTGACTGCTTGATTTACACAGCAAATCCACACACCAGCACATCGACTTATCTGGCTTTGGCACTGCCACCAAAGGAGAGACATAACCGCCTGGCAGGATTTCTTCGACCATCTCCACCACTCCTTGTCTCAGCCATGGCTCAATTTGGTCCCGGAGACTAGGCATTAGGGCCGGTGCCACCCGGCGTGCTGACTGTTGCCTTGGACGGTGATCATCGGCCATCTGTATCGTGATGGGCCAACGCAAAGCCGGAAGTGAGGGTGTCTCCTTCGTCGTGGCGGCATTCACAGTGGTTTCTGGCAGCGATAACAGACCCAGTTCAATGGAGGCACTCTCGCTCATGATGCAACAGCCGGTGACGGCATGCGTACTGATGAGTCCTCCGCAACAAACATAGTTCCCGTAGTTTGTTTCGAGTCATAGTGCGATGTGCACTCAAAAACACCGCCGGCCTTCAGGTTCTGTGCTCCTAGTGGTTGTAGTTCAAACGGAGCAGGCTGCAGATCATAACCAGTTGGAACCTTGTATCTCGGTAAGACAGATATAAAACTGCCACCAAATGACCTCGACAAATAAGAAACAACTATTCTGGCAAACACACAGCTCTCACAACAACACTACACCATACAACACTACACTCGCTCCTGAAACATTGCTTTGTACAGTCTGCACCGGCGTTGTTCTTTGCACCAGTTGTTAGTGCATGTTGCTCTTCAGAGTGTGGCAAACTGTCCAGACTGTGGCACGCTGTTCTACAGTGTGTCTTTACACAAGGTGCAGGCGTTTGTTGAAGGATAGCGTACACACTTGTAGAAGTAGGTTTATATTGATCAGACTAGAATTCAGGACCCAGCCCAAGACCCAAGAACAAAAACACACCAAGACCTTTAAATAATGTATTTCACAGTGGCAGGCTTTGTTCAGGATCAATTAAGTAGGATGACTTGAGGCGAAAAGTGGTCAGGCCAGGCCCTCAAGTATGACCCGGCTGGCTTTTCAGATTGCAGTGGTTCATTGTGTGTGTGTGGGGCACTTCGCATTTCTTATAAATAAAGACAGCATACATGATAAAGTAGGAACAGAAAGGAAAGAAAGTAAGGACCACACATTCCCAGTTTTCGATCAATTGCTGATCAATTGCACCCCCCTAGTTCACACATACGCACAGAGGAGTAAAGAGCCACATGAACTGTTGTTTGGAAGACGCTAAGTTTTCTCGATACAGTCAGACCTCGCTTAAAGGGGAAGTTAAGGCAAAAATCAAAATTTCACCAGTTGTAGTCTTCGGGGTGCTGAGTCGAATGGTCGTGGTCCGAGGAAGCTGAGACGCTCCCTTCCTACTTTAATCCCAATCAAACTCGCGCACTTCCACCGAAACTGGGTGACTGCGCCCTACGAGATGGGGATTTGTATGCAAATTGTCACTAAAAGCGCCATTTCGTTCTTATAAAAGCACGGATGACCGCGATTGGCCCATATGTTGTAGTCTTTTGGACGCTGAGTCGACTGGTTTTGGTCCGAAAAAGCTGCGATGCAGCGTTCCTTCTTTATTCCCAATTGAACAGGATTGAACAAGCGGTCACGTGCTCCTGCGTACACCAGTCACCTGGTCACCGTGCCTACTTACTAGCCTGTTTGACCTTTTTTGGGTGCAGTCCTGTCACTCGAGTTGAACTCGAGTTGAACCTTGGTGTGAAAGTTCTCGCCTGCTGGCGTGGTGACCAGGTGATTTGGGCACCCAGGAGCACGTGACCGCTTGTTCAACCATGTTCGATTGGGAATAAAGGAGGAACGCTGCATCGCAGCCTTTTCGGACCAAAACCAGTCGACTCAGCGTCCAAAAGACTACAACATATGGGCCAATCGCGGTCATCCGTGCTTTTATAAGAACGAAATGGCGCTTTTAGTGACTTTCTGCATACAAATCCCCATCTAGTAGGGCGCAGTCACCCAGTTTCGGTGGAAGTGCGCGAGTTCGATTGGGATTCAAGTAGGAAGGGAGCGTCTCAGCTCTCTCGAACACACATTCTGTATAATTATATGCATTACATATGCTGTACATCGGTAACCAACGATTTTCTTCCGGATGGCGAGGGATCCGGATAAAAGAGGAGCGGATAAGTGAGGTCTGACTGTATTGCCGATCTCCACTCCTGAGATGCAACAGAGCAAAACAACTGTGATTTACAAGCATAGCCTTTCTGTGCACTGCTTGACTGCACTAAACTGCATGTATGTTCCATTCATGCCCGTTGCCACTGCTTTGGTTGCTCTCTGCTTTCCTACAGCGTAGGAATCATGAATACAACTTCACCGATATACCATCCAGTTTTGTAAGTTTCTGCTGTGCTTTTGGATTTTGGATTTTTCCTTTGTGGAGGCTGATGCCACTGTCGAGCCCAACCCTTGGCTTTTCTCATCTCCTTGTTTATGTCTCTTCTTGTAAAGCCTAGTTCACATTCGACGTAACGCTGACAGAACGGGACGTAAGGGCCTGTCAAGAAGGCTGGGGCGAGCTATAAAATCTTGTACGATTCGTACGACACAACGTGCTGCAGTCGTTGCGTCGTTCGAACGGCGAACAGCAAACGGCGCGAGTCATAAGGCACTGTCCTCGACGGGGTAACTTTTGGACCTAATTTCTTGTTTTTCGGAGGTCTTTCAATTATTTATCCTTGAATGAAGCGGAATCAAGTTCACAATACCAGTTTTCATGAACACCAAAAAAGTAGTTTCGAAAGGTGTGCCATTCAAAGAATCGCTCCAGGAAGTGATAAAACAGTTTGTCTGTCACGCTCCTGAACTATCCCTAAATACCATAAGTGACATCAGACCTTATCTTCCTAAAATTCAACTCAAGTCGTGTTAGCCATTCTGCGAGTTCTCATGGGAAGCGCAGTGTTGGAAGTGGTAAAAATCTCCAAGTACGAATCGGGAGTAGTCGGCGCATGACGTCGTCTCCTGTTCACACTCAAAATGCGGCCATTTTGTATGCTTGCGTCCCCGTCTACGCCCGTCTATGGTATGTAAAGTTGAACGGATCCAACTCTTCCCGTCGCTTCCCGATCTGTACGGCAGTACGGTTGCGTTCCCGTTCCTGGTGCTCACATTGGACGCCGTCAGACTGTCCTGTCTCTTCCCGTCGATCCTTACGTCACGTCCCGTCGCGACCCGTCGAATGTGAACTAGGCTTAAACTGCCTACAACAGCCTTTTGTGATATTAAAAAAAGTTCATCACCTTCAAGACACGGTCATGTTATGTAAGTACAGTCATGTAGCTCATATCAAAAAGGTGAAGTAGATTTTTAACCAGTTTATGTATGTAGTTGATGGCAGTAGAACGCCGCGCCACGATGTGTGCCGCGATAAGTGGTCATCATGCAACATGTAGTGCTGCTAAAAACTAGGTTTGGACTACGCAATGATGACAATGTGCGAGGGAAGCTCTGAAATATGGCCAGGAACAGAGTGTACTAAAACGCTAGTTTTTTGGTCCTCTTAGTCAGAACCAGTTAGAATCAAGGTTTTGGTGCATTTGTTGAGTCTTGACAAGTTAACTCTTTGAATCATTCTAAACGGCACCTCTCTTCTGTTCATGTGTACTTGTTCTCCGTAGCACTTCACGTATTTACCCTTTGTCTATCCGAAATGGGCAAACGCGATGAAAGATTTTGATGTAAGTAAGTGTGCATTGTATCTATGGATTGCATCTATTGAGTAAGACACAACTATGCCAGTGGCTATATTGTATTCGTCTTGAAGTGACTATTGCTCAACTCCTAGAAAGCAAACACGTGCCACGTTTCAACACTCTTGAGAAGCAGTATCATTTCAGTTGATTATAATCTTACTGTGTTCTCTTATGTACTATGGTAGGAAGCATCCCAGAAGTCAGATTTGATCGTCATTAGTGCTGGTCTGGTAAGGCAAACTGATCATGATTGTTTCATTTGGTGTGCCGGCTGCCATTGTCAATTCATACTTGCTATCAGAACCTGGCTTGACATGCGGGACAACATGCGCATCTACTAAACCAGACTTTGAAGCAGAAGAATGAACAATGCACCTCCTGGGGCCTGTGTTACTGTACATCTCTTTCAACATTGCTTTTAAACAATGTTGAAAGAGAATGAACTGCAGCTGCTAGCCAGTCTGCGTGCGTATGAATGATGGATGTGCTCTTTGTGCTATTGTAGTGCACAAATGCTAGTAATTATATGAGACCGTCCTATTCTTGTATATAGTGATGTGTGAACATGTGAATGTGAGCAGTCATTTCTATCACCGCGTAATATTGTGGATCTTGGTATTTCTGCCTTCCTGAGGTCTCCTGTCAGCTAGCATCTTGTAGTGATATAGAGCAAGGGTTCTGACGGAATTTGACTGCACTGACTGTGTAAGATGCCTTTGTCCGTGGCAGCCGACTGACCATATCAACTTGCTCTTTCCCATGCTTGTCTTACCTGTGTGCTACTAGTGGAAGGGGAACGCTGACCCATCTCTTGCCGACATGCAGAAATATATCAGTAGGTACAGTATCAACTCTGTCATCACTCTCCAGTTCCTTAAATGCATGTGATATAGTTCCACTGTATATGTATTGGGTGTTCTGTATTGGTTGCAGTGCATGTCTGCATGATGACCTGCCACTGAGTGTATGTCCCAGCTACCAACCCTAAAGTTGTGCAATGTGCTGTTGGACTTGTCATCTGGTACTGCATAGGAATTGATAAGCCAGACTAAAGCTATCTGCAACACGCACATGATGTGTGGCCTGAAAGCCAGAAACGTACGCACTATGCAATGCTATGGTCTCTCACAATGGAGTAAGGACTGGTAACAGATACTAGAATGTACCAGGCATTCCCAGGCTAGATGATCTTGTGCTGATTGTACTGTACTGTAATGCAGCCATTGGTATGTTAGTAGACAGCCTTTTCTGCTTCTCTTTTCTTGTTACCAGGGATCTTGAAATCGACTCTCCCGGTCGTTTCATCGATTGTTCAATCATCCGGCACGAAGCTAATTTGGATCAAGAACCGTAAGTCTGTGATGCAGGAGAAGTGCCAGGTACTCATGTGTTTGTCTTGCGAAACAACATCCAGTAGGTATCATTAAGAGTACATAACCTCCCCAGCGCTTACTAGCTCCATCCGGGTTTGTAGTGTACCATGTCAATGTCGATAGTCCATATTAGTGCGGTGGACGGTGGAGTAAAGTATAGTGGAATGCAGTGGATTTGATGAATAGGAGTGGAATGCAGTGGAGAATAGCATAGTGTCTTCCTTCTCCATATTCATTCAAGACACTCTCAGCAAATAAAAAGAAGTATAAAGAGCACTAACAGAAAGAAAGTGGCAGACTGACGGTTCGAAACTGACACTACATTGCGTACTCTGCATTGCGTACCGGTACGGACTCTGTGCTGTTGACGTCCGGTTCTGTTGCAAGCTGCCTGCGGATGCTACGGTGTGAGGTCGTACGGGTTTTTTCTGGGCGACTGGGTTTTCCCCTTCCTCACACTGCCATCCATGGCGGAAAACTCACTTTTCCTGGAGGCTATCTCCGCTTCAACAACACTGAGCTTTTCCAAAACACTTTCTAGGTTCCTCTAGGGTCCAGCGGATTCTGCCGGCAGAAAAATTGGCAGAATTCGGTACTTTTTATGGTAAGTTTCATGCATGTTTGGTATGTGGATAACGAAATGGAGCAGAATTCGAGGAATTGCCCGCCATAAGGTTTGTATGGTTCTGCCAATTTCACTGCTTTTCGAGCAGAACCCGCCGGTCCCTAGTTTCCTCTGCCGACGCTCCTTACGGTCACTGTTCTCAATGGCATGGTGGGTATGCAGTGTACGCAACACCTCTAAAGCCGTGTGCTCAATCACGAGGATGGGGCAGAGGGTGTTTTTGACTTTTTGTGCGGTTTGGTTGTGAGTGTCTGTGTGGAGAATCAAGTTAGTGCATGACATTTATCCGTCTGTCTGTGTTGTTATGTAGCTCTGAATGCAAATGACAACGCTCAGCAGATCAAACAGGTATCTGATATCTGGTAAGTAAGTAAGCAGCATGTGCTAGTCACGGGTAAACATGCTTTCATAATTGTTTATAACACCTTTCATCTTCAGTCACCTGCATGTTCTAACATCCTGGCTGCTGGACAACGGGTACTGATGATGTTCTGCTTCGTCTCTCCCCTACATGTACATGTAGGTCACGTTACCAGGCTGATGACATGTATTTGCTGGACCCACGCCGTGTAAGATTAGTACACGGTGATGTTCACTATGGTGATGCAGACTATGACACGGTAAGCATCCAGCACGTGTGCAGTCATTCCAGGTTTGTTTTTTGTTTGCAATCAAGTAACCTGCGGGAGAGGAGAAATGTCCATGCTGTATACATCACACATTGTGCAGCAAAGAGTAACATTGAGGACAATTTATGAGCAACAGCAACAATGACACTTTGGCAACAGTGATTGAGATCAAGTGTATCTGGCGAGTGATTAAATTCTAATGAAGGAGGAAACGGGATCCAAGAGAAAGTTATAAATTATATCCAAATTATATACAAATTGACCTTGATGAAGATAGCACAATATGTTGTGACCCCTGTGGCACTCCACATGTGCAGCTAGTAATTGAACCGAGGGACTGACCAATGCAGACACGCTGTCTTCAGTCTGAGAGGTATGAAAGCCAATTTAAGGGACCGCTGCAAGGCCATGCCTGCCACTCCGACATTGAACAGATCAAGGAGCAGTTCAAGTGATCAGTTGATGGCGCTGAACATTGTCGAAAGCTTTGGACATGTCCAGTAGGCAGACGCCCATGTACACTCATTTGTCTCGGGCAGTTAGGATACGGTTCCTGATCAGAGTTACTGCAGCATCCTCAGTGGAATGCCACCACTGCGGAAGGCAAACTGAGTGGGAGGTAACAATCCGGTGAGGTTTAGAAGTGATGTGAGCTCCTTCTGCACCGCCTTCTCTGACAACTTAAAGAGGATGGGAAGCAGCGTGACGGGACGGAAGTGGGTAGGCACTGTGGGGTCCCCAGATTTGAAGAGTAGGGTTACAGGGGCAAGCTTGAAGGCAGATGGTACTGTACCTCAGGACAGTGAGGCATTGAATAGAGCAGCAATTGACGGTGTGACAATGTCGGCACTGCACTTCAGAAGCACCCCTGGGATGCCGTCACTGCCTGTTGCCTTGGTTCCATTGATGCTTTTAAGCAGTCACTGAACAAGGCTGGTGTGCACACACTTGAAGGCTGATAATCTGTTCATTTGTAATGGGCCTTGTGGCATGGGGAGCACTAGAGGTCGTTCATCATCGATCACCACATTATGAAAGGCTGAGGCAACATCCTCTACATCGCACATTGGCTCGACCTGTCTACGAATCCGTGCATGAGGTGACGGTGTTGATGATATGCCACAGCTGGCGGGGATGGTTACTATTTTCAGCACATTGGGTCCGACTCTGTGGCGAACTGGTTACGTTTCTTCCAAAAGGCATTTCTAGCATCTGCACGAGCACGTCCGAGAAAGCAGAATAGAGGTGGCTGCTATCCTTGTTTTTAAGCCACTGTCGATGAAGCCTATTCTTGCGGTATTGCAGTGGATATAGTTCTCTATCAAGGTAGGCAGGGGTTAGCTTTCTTTGCAGTGCACTGCATATGGGGCATACCTGTCAACAACAGCCATGATTTTGGAGTGCCAAGCTTTCCACATCTTAACTACACAAGAAGTCGTGGGGAACAGGCCAAGGTCTGCATTTGCAATGTCTTCGCAAAAAAGGCTCAATGTCGATGGTGTTGACCAATCGACCTTGGTACACCTGAGCCTCTCTTCGGTGAACCAAAGTCACTGCAATGCTGGCAGTCTTGGCGAAATGATCGCTCATAGTACACTCCTCTACTGAGTACGTTTGCAGGATGTCTGGGTCAGTGAGAACCAGGTCCAGGACAGAGCCCAGTGATAACCAGGTCCAGGACAGAGCCCAGCGGCGTCTGTGGGGTGACTAGGGTAGCTGTTTTAATCGCGTTTTCGAGACCAAGCACTCGGCCGAGATCATACAGGTGGTGTAGTTGTGGGCTTGGGGAAGTGGGATCTGCGTTTACATTGAAGTCACCAACGACTGTGAGTGCAGTGCTGTATATAGCTGCTTTGTGCACCGTTTCCTCAAGTCGAGTCCAGTACTCCAAGTGCTCGTCCTGACGTCTGTAGACACAAATGAAGAGATGAGTGGTATTTCGACTTCGACAGTCTGGATGGCTCTTGACAGGCAGTGTGGACTTGTAGTAAATGCAGGTGCCTCCACCCCGACCAGCAATGCAATCTCACTGAACCATACTGTACTCTGGTATGCAGAATTGTTTTCTTTCTTTTTTACTATGTTCACATACCCAACTCGTAAAATTTATAATAATGAAAGACAATGGTACTGAGACAAGGACTAACGTGACAATGAGTAGGGGCTGCACCGAGACGCAGCAGTGATGGTGGGGCATTGATGGCTCTGCCGACCTGAGGTCTCGGCATCACGGCCAGAAACACGCACCAAAAACAAAAGATAGAGCTGTAAGGGTCAGCAAACTAAAAAGAAAGCAAGGGTTAACAGCAGCTAGTGTGCAGCGTAGCATAGTAGCAATGGGAGTCGTTGACGGGGCACTAGAATGTAGGTGGGTCGACAGGCAGAATGTCCGTGGACCATCGCCAATCCTGTCGGCGGAGGTATTTGTTGACGCTGCATTTAAACTTGTGAATATTTGTGCGAGTTGTGGCGGAGTCTAGAAAAGCTGGCGGCAAGGAATTCCACAGCTGGATTGCACAATACGGGAAACTGCGGAGAATGGTGTATGGTGCTTGACGCGGTAGGGGATTTCTTAGCTGGTAACTGTGGCCGGTGGCCGTGCGGAGATCGTTTCGAGTGGGAGTGGCGTCACGGGGCTCCAGCCTCAGTGGGAGGTTTGCTAGCAATTGAGTCGGACCGGTGAGGAAGTATAGTTTGTATGTGTATGTTAGTGCAGCAACATATAGCTGTAGGCTGAGGAGCTCTGTCCCGAGACCAATGGTGCGCAATGCACGGCGTCGGATGCTGTCTAGGCGTGCAAGATGGGAGGGAGCAGCTCCCATCCAGACGAGCGGAGCATACTCCAAAACGGGCCGTACAAACCCCTCGTACACTGCGAGGCGGCCTTCTCGGGAGAGATAGGGTGCAGCTCGCCGCAGGAGGCCCAGGCGCTGTTTGCCACGTATGGACACTGCGCGGATGTGCTCTGCGAAAGACAGCTTCGTATCAAAAGTCACCCCCAAGAGCTTTATTGTGGATGACTCTGGCACAGGGTTGCCTCCAAAGAGGAGAGGGGGCAAGGCTAGCTGCACTCTTTGCAGCGTGACTGTCATAGCCTGGGATTTCGACGGCTCAAACGCTACACGCCATTCCTTGCCCCAGTCTGACAGACGATTGGCGGTGTCCTGAAGCAAGGCAGCAGCAGTGGGGAGGTCGTTACGGAGAAGAGTGTACAATGTCGTATCGTTAGCATAGGCTTCCAGCTGCGTGTTCCCAGCAAGGCATGTTGATACATCGTTAATGTAGACGAGGAACATGGTAGGCCCCAGAATGCTGCCTTGTGGGACTGCCTTGCGGGGGGGGGGGGGGCTGTCCAGCCCCGTGGCTTTTGACTCGTCGAGACGGCGCAGGAGGTGGTGAACATTCTCGATGCGGAAATTGGACGTGGGTGAGTGGTGGATGTGGTGAGCAGGCGCTGGGGTTCCAAGGGAGGCGCGGTGTAGGTCCCTGTCACCCAGGCTGCACTTGCCAGCAAAGAAGTGACCAAAGCAGTCAGCCTTCTCCTTGCTGGTGATGTGTTCCTTCCCGGCAATGTCGAGGAGGAGTTGCTGAATTCTGTTCCCCGACATGCTATGGTTGATCATGATCAAGAAAAGAAGTCAATGATGTGGCCTCTCCGTGTTTTGTTGTTGCTGACCGGCCTGTACTCAGATCACCCAGGCGTTTTGTTGTTGCTGACCCTATACTCAGATCACCCAGGCGATCATGAACATCTATTGCAACTCTGGCATTCCACCAGCAACCCCTCACCTGTGCTGCCAGCCCTGGTCCCTCAAACTGACTACTGTGCAAGTGATGCTTCTAGTCTTCTGTATAATCGGGTAAGCTCTTGTGCTTGAGTGTCATGCTACAAGATTCAGATGGAAGAAGTCGTTAACACCTGTGGTGATGTGAAATGATCCGCACGAACCTTGCATATAGCAGTGCTTTCCTTTCACCTGTTTTATCCTTTTTTAAATGTTTTTTCTGGTTGTATGACATTATTGCCCATACAGTGCGGTATACTGGACCGCTGAGCAGCTGTGGCAGGCATTAGCAAGATCAATTTCACAGCCGACCAGCAGCAACACGACACCAACGAGTAAGAGCGGTAAGTTTGGGGAGGGGGTGCATGTGTGCGTATGTGTGCGTATGTGTGCAATGTGTATGTGTGCAATGTGTATGTGTGCAATGTGTATGTGTATGTGTGCAATGTGTATGTGTATGTGTGCAATGTGTATGTGTGCAATGTGTATGTGTATGTGTGCAATGTGTATGTGTATGTGTGCAATGTGTATGTGTGCAATGTGTATGTGTATGTGTGCAATGTGTATGTGTGCAATGTGTATGTGTGCAATGTGTATGTGTGCAATGTGTATGTGTGCAATGTGTATGTGTGCAATGTGTATGTGTGCAATGTGTATGTGTGCAATGTGTATGTGTGCAATGTGTATGTGTGCAATGTGTATGTGTGCAATGTGTATGTGTGCAATGTGTATGTGTGCAATGTGTATGTGTGCAATGTGTATGTGTGCAATGTGTATGTGTGCAATGTGTATGTGTGCAATGTGTATGTGTGCAATGTGTATGTGTGCAATGTGTATGTGTGCAATGTGTATGTGTGCAATGTGTATGTGTGCAATGTGTATGTGTGCAATGTGTATGTGTGCAATGTGTATGTGTATGTGTGCAATGTGTATGTGTATGTGTGCAATGTGTATGTGTGCAATGTGTATGTGTGCAATGTGTATGTGTATGTGTGCAATGTGTATGTGTGCAATGTGTATGTGTATGTGTGCAATGTGTATGTGTGCAATGTGTATGTGTGCAATGTGTATGTGTGCAATGTGTATGTGTGCAATGTGTATGTGTGCAATGTGTATGTGTGCAATGTGTATGTGTGCAATGTGTATGTGTGCAATGTGTATGTGTGCAATGTGTATGTGTGCAATGTGTATGTGTGCAATGTGTATGTGTGCAATGTGTATGTGTGCAATGTGTATGTGTGCAATGTGTATGTGTGCAATGTGTATGTGTGCAATGTGTATGTGTGCAATGTGTATGTGTATGTGTGCAATGTGTATGTGTGCAATGTGTATGTGTGCAATGTGTATGTGTGCAATGTGTATGTGTGCAATGTGTATGTGTATACCGCACGTAACTTACTAGTACAGTAGGTATCGGTTATAGCGTGGGTGTTTGAAAAACGACTTTCTATTCTTATTTCCGATATTTCTTACACACGATAAATCAAGTGTGACATATCATGTGCATGTGCGCAGAGGCAGGAAGATCATCGTACATACAAGGTAGTGCTGCTGTGCATGCGGCTGGTCATAGTCACATAGGCTTACCATGTGGCTATGCAACATGAGTTACATGACCACAATAGTTGAACCTGCAGCACTAGGACCCAACGCGAGTCAGATCAGAACTGCTTTGGACGGATGTTATTACTACAGGCGATATACTTTGTACTGATCTGGCATATTTCGCTACACAAAGTCCATTCTTAGGAACGATATATGCTACTGTACGATAAAATTGCTTGTAAGAATAAATGTGCACATGAAATCCATGTTATGATTATGAAAACATGAGAGTTCATTCTTGTAGGCAGTATATTCTTTTACACGATCACGCTATAACCGATACGCACTGTACTTGATTGTCTGTGGGAACAATGTTCGGTAAGAACCTGTTCTTTCTTCTCCATTCTTTTCCATGTTATACTCAGGTCATCTCCCGGCTGGTGTTTCACCACTGTCAGCCATATGCCAGTGCATCACATTGCTTGGAATAGTGCTTCTCTACAGCTACCTGGCCGGCAGGACACCACTATTGACAAAAGGGGAGAAGCAATTCAGCTGGACATCATTTGCCGTTCCATTGGCAATTTTGGGAATTCTTGGCTTTGTGACGTACCAACCAGTCAAAGATGCGTCTGTTCTAAACCGTCAGCAAACCTGTGAAACACGAGGATGGATGCAGCTAGTATTGCTGGTGTATCATTACACGGATGGGATCCAGGTCAGAGCTGCCTGCGAGATAATATTCTATACTGAAATAGTAGCTCATTCTCTTGAACTTCCAGTATGGTAGTTATACTGAAGCAATACACAACTTCTTCAAACAGCTAGATGCTTTGATCTGAAATCCATTCGTACTTTATTCAAGGATTCTCCAAATTCAAATGGATACTTATCATGGGGGTGGATGTCCCAGATCTACGGTGAAACATCAAAATTTACTCTGTATTGTCTAAAACCGTCAAGGAAGAATCAAAATGACCGCTGGTTTAGCAAGCCACTTAGCTTCCTCCTTTTGCGTGGTGATGTGTTTGTTTTCTTGCAGGTTCTTGGTCTGTACTTCGTAGCGCGACTGATTGTAGCAGTCTACATCTTCCTAAGTGCCTATGGACATTACACGTATAGTTTGAAGCGTGGAGCAAGCAGTTGGTCTCGTGTAGCTGAGGTCCTGTTCCGTCTAAATCTCTACACCGTTCTACTGTGCTTGACTATGGATGTACCGTATCTTCACTACTATTTTGTACCACTGATCTCAGCATGCTACTTACTAGTACTACTGGTTGCTGCCATACCTCCAGTTGGTGAGTACAACTTAACGTTAAGCTCCAAACTGTGATTATCATGGTAATAAAGGAAGTACTGTGTTGCTATCTTAGAAGTGTCTTGATCCTTGAGGGTTAGTGCCAGTGGTGGCATTCTTGCCGATGCCGAAAACTCACTCTGACTGGGTCTCACTCAAACTGGGTATTTGTTTAAGATTCTCAGGTGTGCAATATTGTGATCACTGACCACACAGGCTGGCAATACGACACACATCTACTTAACCTCCTCCCGTACGTTCTACAACCTTTTCCAAGCACTTATTTTGGCCATATCTAATGTTTCTGGAGGCTAGCCTAGTGCGCGACTTAAGTCTCCGCATGAAATTCTTTGTTCCCATCGGGAGTTAAAGAACTCCTTTAGGGTTAAAACAAACACAGACTCTCCCTTCCGGTCTGTCTGTTTCTCGTCTGCCTGTCCCTGATGGGAAGCATGGAATCAGGATACCTCTCCTTGGATGCAGGTGATCAAAGCAGTGTGTCTTGCAATGGTCCTCGGCGTTTATCGAATGCTACCGGTAAGTGCTCATAGTGAAGAGTGTAATGCGTTAGTGTTTGACAAAATTAAGCTGTATACACCTATGCCCGTTGTACAGATGTACGAAGTTCTGTACTAGGACCGTAGGTCCGAGGGGATATTCGTTCGAAGAAAACACCATTCGTTACATCACTAAAAGAAATCCCTATCTTTGGTAGATTCTGTGCAGTGACCTTGATGGGTAGGATAATGCATAGCACGTCTTTTAATTTTAAAAGTATGAATATCGCTGACCGTCGTGTGCTACTTACTGTACACCGTGGCATTGCTGTACTAGCAAGCTCAGCAATCAAACATCTCTTTTATGATCTGTCTTACTGCTTGATGACTGCCCAGGGTCCGTTCAACACAGCTATTATGTTCACACCCCTCCGATATCTACTCCTGGATGACAATCATTCACTTCGAGAGTGGACGTTTCGTTTCAGTCTGGACATTCTAGCTGTGCCCACAGGGATTGTGTGTGCAGTGTTCATGCATCGATTCCCTGATAGAAGTAAATGGATTGTCTCTGGCAGCAAGACTGCTTCAGTGATGACCTTCCTGTCTGCATTGATCATAGTGAGTATTGTTTCTGAGTACATGTACTTGGTTCTGTTAGTGGGTCGATGCCACCATATTCTGCAATCTTTTAAACTCTGGTATTTGAACGCCTACATCCTTGCTGTACAATCGTCGAATGTTGTTCTCATGCCAATCTGTTTCTATATGTCTGCTTGTCTGCTCGTCTCGCCTTGTCCTCTTGCACAGGCCCTGTACTGCGGATTAATGGCAATGAGCTGTACTAGTAGAAAAGCATGTTATCCGGTCCATACGTACGCATCACCAGTCGTGGTAAGCAACGCATGCACTTTGAAGTTATCCGCCTGTCTGGAGATAATGATAATTATAATTATACCAGTACACATACAAACCGATGGTTCCCGTTGTTGGGGCTCGGCTACACGAGGGAAGCATGAAGACTTTAAATGACTGTCCTTACTTTGTTCAACATGTGATTGCAAAACCAGTTCTGTTGCTCGGTTTCCTTGTTTGCTCCAGCTCGTAGGATTTGTTCTTGTACGCAACACGTGGGAACCACTACGCAAGCATTACAGCCAGTTCTTTGACTGGGTGGGAGTCTACTCACTGGAGGTAAGCCTGCATTAACAATTCCCATAATTTTATTCAATACAACACTGGGGGCTGGTAGGCTGAGGCAGATTCACTAGACAGCAGCTGGCCATGATCAGAGCTATTAGTATTACATTGTATGTCGTCATACTAAGCCATGCAAATGGCCTTCAACTCTGAATATATTAAAAAGCCACGCAGATGTCTACCAACCAGATTGACCGACATTATAAAACAAGATTTGAAGAAAACCAACCGCACTGTTTCTGAAGCCTTTGTCTTAGCCGAAAACAGATTCCTCGGAGATAAGAATGCATGCACTCAGCAGTGTTATTCCAAAAATAGATCATGACATTTATGAATAGTGTACCTGAATTTCTCTATTGTGTGATTGACATTGTTTCCCTTGTCTTGTTTTCTTCAGCTGTTCTTAGCCCAGTATCACGTCCTGCTGGCTGATGGCCGCAGAGTGCTTGTCCTGGTTGAGGGTAATCCAATCCTCAACATCTGCGTTCTAACAACTATCTTTGCATTGGTATCACACACTGTAGCTGAGTGTACACAGATGTTGGTCAGTGCAATGCATAGCCTAGCGCCAGAGAAAGACGACACCCAGAGCTAACAATCAGTATTGTGATCATACGTCTGCATGTGTACATGAACTTCCCTTGTTGTCACTAGTTGCTACTACAGAGTTCAGTGCGCCAGCACAAACGATACAATCATGTACAGGCGCTCTTGGTGAAATCTGACCCAGAGTGCATCTTTGGGGCCCTCGACTTGCACGGCCCTTGACGCCCTATAAGGGGCACGAGTGCGGCTGTATGTGCACATGCACAAAATACCACAAATGCAATGATGTAATCGGAATTGGTCCAGGGTGCCAGGTTTGCACTTTGAGCCAGATTTCACTGAGCGCAACTGTGCATGCATACTAGTACCACAGTTCTACACACAGCAACAAGCTGCAGCTCATGATACTGATATACAGGCAATTATTTCTATTAGACTGATGTGAAAACTTCAATGCAGCATCATTTTATTTATATTGTTGAGAGATTTCAAATCTCTATTATCTAGCTGGTCTGGTACAGGCGAAGTCCTCATAAAACGCATCCCACAGGACCAACGGAATCACCTGCAGGTGTTACACAACACCACCCTGCATACAATCATATTATGTGCTAAGGATCTGAGAGATGCTGTGTACCAGCCATGTGTTATTCATGCGTATTTTTTAGTAATTGTTTACCCATTGATTATGTCTGCTGTACAAGGTACAGTATCGCCTTATTATCGTCTGTACGTTGGTCCCATCATGTGGTCGTTGAAGTTTACTTTTAAAATGAGCAACTGAGAGAGAGAGAGAGAGAGAGAGAGAGAGAGAGAGAGAGAGAGAGAGAGAGAGAGAGAGAGAGAGAGAGAGAGATAGAGGGGGGGGGGGGAGGGAGACAGAGAGGGAGACAGGGAAAGACAGAGACAGAGACAGAGAAACTGAGAGGGAGAGGGAGGGAGACAGGGAAAGAGAGAAAGGGAGACAGAGAAACTGAGAGAGATGCCGAGAGAGGAAGGGATGAATAGTAACTATAAGCGCGAGTGGACTTCATGGCAATGTGTGCTATAATATTGCCTGAAAAAATGTCTTGCCTTATAGGGCTTGAAAGTGATGACGTCAAAACGGCCAGGGAGTAGTAAGTTCACATCAGATTTCTATTTTTGGATCCACTAAGGTGTGACTTTGCTATTGCCTAAGTATGTGGGTGCATAGTAACCCCCTCATGTCGCATGCAGGTGTGACTTTTATTTCGCCACCAGTTGTAACCCCGCCCCCAGTAGCCAAATCAGTCAGTTTCACTGGCTACATCACCATGCTGTGGGTAAGACCGCTTGAAATGTGCTTGGATCCATACAAAAACTGGATCCAAGTGGATCCATTTTTTGAATTTTTGAAATTGTTGCTATGCTGTGACGTAGCACTTTCAAGCCCTATTGGACGATGCAACACAAAATTTAATTTTGTGTTGCATCGTCCAATAAGGCATGATGTTTTTCCAGGCAATAAGCACAAAATTAATTGCCGTGAAGTCCAAATGAACTCTTCTAGAAACCAAGGCAATACCGGTAGAGGTGGCACCTAGTAACAGTAATACTGGACATGGATATTGAAATAAACTGTACTCAGCAGGGAGTAGTATGTATTTCACTACTCCCTGCTACTCAGTGACTTTTTACATTTTACAGTCTACGTTTTATTATTATTATTATTTAAAAATTCGACGAGGAGCCAATAATTTTAATATGGCAATAAGTAGGACGAGCTGAAGCGACATGTGGACTACTTTATTAACAATGTAAGCGATGGAGACGATGCAAGAAACAATCTAAAGGGTAAGGAAAATACATGTAAGAAGAAAAAGGGCAATGGAAAAAAAGATGATTCGAACAAGTTTTCGTACAACACTCTTCAGGAATCACCGTTGTACTAAAGAACAAAATGAGAACAAAGGAAATAATATAGCAATCAAGGTAGGGTGACACGATACAATGACAGCACTGGAATATCGAGGTGCGATTTCTCACAAAAGCGTGCAGAACACAAGGGTATACAAGTAAGAACTAAGCGTGACAAGTGTGTATCAGTAACAAAAACAAAAAAGTGAGAACGAATGATAATAATAACAATAATAAACAAGAAGGTGACAAAACACATTTAGGCACAAGTGGCAACAACGTTGCCACACTACACAAAAGAACATTATTTGAACAATTTTAGGGTAATAACACTATCTTTCTGGACACACAAATTCGGCTTATGAATGCGCTGACAAACAGCTTCCAAAACTTGTAACTGCAAAAGATAACCATGACGAGCACGGCACAAAACAGAAAAACAGGAATCAGAATAAGTACAACAGTCAGTACTAGAAACCAAATGATTGTATACTGAAGACTTATTACGAGACGGACGCACACAATCTCGACTCACGCGCACACCCTCACACTAACTCTCACCCTCACTCAGCTCACCTTCTCCCTCCCTGTCCGAATCAGAACCTGCTCCGTCATCCACAACGGTTCGACTCTCCTCCTCACTTGCATCGTCCTGCGTCTCACCTTCACCACCCACGCCAACCGTGAATGCCGTTGCCTTCATGTCAGTCGTCGTCCTTTCCGATTGTTTCCTTTGTATTTTTACCGTGAATTCATAGGTCCGGTTGTAATCTGCTGTAGATCTCCGTGGTCTGTCATTTGCTGCCTTGTTTTGTGGATTAGTTGTTGTTGTTGTTGGATGTGAACCTGGTGTTGTTGTTGGATGTGAAGCTGGTGTTGTTGTTGCAGCCATGGTTGTTGGTCTTTTTGTTGAATCCAGCTCTAGTTCCGGTGGGACAAATCGACCGCCGCGGGTGCTCTCCACCAACACATACCTCGAAGGAGGAGGGTCAGGGGGAGGCAGAGGTGCTGTCACCACTCGAGGCACAGCCCCATGCAAAGCACCCAGAGGCACAGACTTAGGCACACCCGAGGGCTGCACCAATGGCGGTTCCGCACGCACCTCCACAGAGCTGCCAAGCTCAAGCCCGTCCAACACAGATGTCAGAGGGGGAGCGGCAGACAGCGGCAGGGAACTATCCTGCCGTGTAGGTGATGGGTGTTTCCTAGGCCTCCCGCGTTTGGGCCTCTCAGATTGCGCACTGGGTGGAAGGATGTGAAGTGGAGTGTGTTGTTTGATACGTGCGTTCAGGTGCTGAACAGTCCTACCAACATACCGACTAGCACAATGTCGGCATTCGAAGTTGTAGATAACATGACTGAGGTGGAGGGTTGGTAGGACGTCCTTCCGCACCGTGAACGCACGCATTGTTGTGAAGACTGGCACAAAATGTACTGCATAATAAGTACGACGGACGATAGACTTGACTTCGCGACACACTTTGATCGATTCCTGCCCCTTCCATGGCAAACATAGATAGACGGGACAGCGAGGTGGACCAATCAGCACCGATTTCGGTTTCTGCTCCATGGACAGAAACTTACGCAACAAGAATTCCGGATAGCCATTCTTCAAGAAAACAGATCGAAGAAAATCGAGCTCGGCCTGCAGCTTACTGGGCGAACGTTGCGCACGGTCCACGAGGTTACGAACTAAGTTGACCTTGTATTGAGACGAACAATATGAATCGAAGGCAATGTACTGACCAGTGAACGTAGGCTTACGATACATAGAAGTCAACATTTCACAGCCAGTCTTCTCTACAAGCACGTCTAGAAATGACAACTTACTAGACTGCTCGTGCTCGCGGTTTAGGTATTTGTATGATCGTGCACGCTGCTTTCTATCCTCTCACGACTTCTTGAGATTCTCTATGCTCCTTTCGGAAAATGACCAGAAACAACGTATCCATCTAATCACAAAACATGACAAGACCTACAATTGGCTAAGACAGAAAAGATATGGACATGTCACCATCGATCCTGATACCACCATAATTAACATGACATCACTAGAGCTGACCACTCTTCAGAAAGAGCTCCTTTGTCGTGGAACCGATTTCGGGATTCCACCAAAATCAAACAAGAAGGAAGTCATCATGACCGAGTTTGAGCTCCTTTACCGCAAGTTATTACGCTTCAGACCGGTGTCCGAGTCACAACAGTCCATTTGCGCCGCAAAGATCCGGGCAGAGGCCGAGGAACACGCTGATGCATTATTTTTTGTCTTCACAAGTATACTTTCAAGCCTTCTCGTCAGGTGAAATACAGCCAAGGGAAAAGGAACAGGAACAGTGGATTAAATACAGTAAGAAGGTGGTAAAACAGCGTAAAAAGAAAGAAAGAAGATAGCTAAAGTAAACAGCGAAAATTGCAATAATGACACAAAGGTGCAAATGCGAGAAAACTCAATACGCGTGACATGTAGTGCGACAACAAGAGACAACCACTGGACATACATGTAACTAACGAGGTTTTGACGACCTACCTAACAGCCTAAGTGTGAATTTGATTTGTTTCTGCTTGCAAAGGTTGGGTTTCTTTGTGTGGATGTATACAGCTTCCAAAACATTCAGCAACCTAGCACTGCGTACACGTGACACAATCGAAAAACAATCATCTGAATACACAGCACGACAATCAGGATGCTCAAACAAATGACTAGCAATGGACGACTCATACTTATCAGAACTAACATCAGAACAATCAGCATGTGCGGTGGACACATCCGATTTCACATGGCTAGTCGAGTGGACTCTAGCCGTTGCCTCTGTCTGTGCTTTAGTCGCTGCCATCGCCGCCGTTGCCGATCTTGTCATTCTTCTGGTTGATGCGGTTCCCGTCACTGCCACGCCAGTAGGTGTCTTGTCCGGTTGATTTTCTGGTGGTCTAGTTAATTGTGAGGTGACGTTGCTTGGTGTTGATGCCGCTGCGTTGGACCATCTTGTACCAGGATGATTCTTTGCTGGACGTCCCCTCCGTGGTCGAGTGGATCGTGCGTGTTGTGGAATAAGGTGTAGCGGTGCGTGTTGTCGGATGCGTGCGTCCAGATGTTGAAGAGTCCTACCTACATATCGGCTCTCACATTGCCGACACTCGAAGTGATAAATCAACTTGGATAATTGGCCTGTAGGTAGGACGTCCTTCCTCACCGTGAACGCACGCACCGTGGAGTAGATGAAGCAAATATGAACATTATGGTAATTGGACTCCACGGCAGACTTAACCCGACGCTGAACCATACGTGATACTGACTCGCCCTTCCACGGTAAACATAGGTATACTGGATTAGTGGAAACTTCAGCATTCTTCTTTGGACTGGTCTCAGTTACATACTTCACAATAACAGACTTGGGGTATCCATTGAGACGAAACAGCGCACGTAACTTCTCCAACTCCTGCTCCAACCTTGAAGACGAACAAAGGCGACGTGCACGATCCACCAAATTACGTAACAAATTGATCTTATACAGTGTCGCGCAACCTTCTTACTGTATTTAATCCACTGTTACTGTTCCTTTTCCCTTGCCTGTATTTCACCTGACGAGAAGGCTTGAAAGTATACTTGTGAAGACAAAAACTTTCAAGATGTTTGTAATGAGCCTGAAGTGTGTCCTTTTCATGAGTATTATCGCATTTTTGTCTCAGAGGAAACTGATTATTATTATTATTATTATTGCAAAGCTTTCCTTTTGATCTTGTCTCTTATTGTTGTGACCTTTCCACAATATTGTGTTGCATTGTCAAAAAAAAAAAAAAAAACCATCTAGTAACAGTGCTGCGAGTGTGGCTTGTAGGCTGAGGCTGAGTTAGGGGTGAAAGGACTACCGATATTATAAGTCGACAAGTCGGCTGGCCAGTCGATAGGCCATTCAATAAGGTTGAGTCAATAGAAGGAAAACCATAAAACTGTTAACTTTTAAAACAACTCGCACTTAGGAGTTAGGGTCGTCGGGTCGTCCAGTGTTTGTCGCACTACATTGTACATATCACGCTGCGCTGAAAGGGTTTCTTCACACTTTCACCTTGTTGTCATCCTTTGGTATGTACGTGTATGGCTCATGCATTTCTCGCATTTCTCCGGGAGATCAAGGCACAAAATTAAAAGTAGTTTACTTGTGATTGTTGTGAACCGTCACGGTTTTCATTTTGCAGAACCTGAAGTGTGTGGTTTAGTTATACTTCGAAGTAAGAAGCTAGAGAGAATCCAACGAAACGCTGCTGGGCTACTTCCAGCACTAGTACCACTCGGCCTCCCTCTTTGCATACACCTAGCCATTCCGCACACAGTCTAGTTAATTCTACACTGCACCAAGTGGCCCATGACACTCTCTTCTTCAGTTTCAAAGCTTAAGTACTAGCAGGTAATAGTTGCCCATGTACACCATCCATGATCCACTACAAAGACTCGATCGTATGCCTCATGGCGTATCAAAATTTTCATATTCTGACGTTCGCAAGCTAATGGTGTTTAAAAGTATTAAACACTGGCTACAGGAAAATCTTAAATTTTTAACAAGATAGGAACTCATCAGTACAGAGGAGAATCAGCTACCCGTACCGTGTTGAGTGAAAGGGCTGAGTGAAAGGCCTGAACTAAACACTAGGAAAGGTGCTCATCGCCGAAATCGCTACCACTATCTCTTGAGCTAAACAATGCTGTTTTATTATAGAAGATACTTGCGCGTCCCCAAACTCCCACTTGTGACCAACCAACGCGAAAGGAATGGTGCACACAGGACAGGATAAGAAACCTTTTTTACCGGCAAACAAAACACAATTTGCAATTTATGGAAGAGTAGAACACAATTCAAATATTGAAAACAATTGCATGAAAGGAAAAATGTGGAGCCCTCCTCAACTACAGCAGAATCAGTCAAAGAAGCGAGCACTGGCTAAATGTGCATGATGGGTTTCGGCACACTCGCACCAGGCATCCTCAAACTGTAAGTAAGGTATGACCGGCACGATCAAGTGGCCGCGGGACGGGTGCTCACTAAAATCGAAGTGAGGGCAAGATCACGGATGCGGCGATCGCGCGACGAGCTAGCTATCCTCGCACTTGGGAGTGAGAGGCACTGAGACTTCCCATCTCACTCTCCGCGCTAACGTAGAGCTGCATCTGCCAACTAGCATAGCGGTGACCTGGCACGAGCGAAACTTATACTTCCTCGGCTTCCCTCCCAGGTAGTAGCTGCTACATGGTTGAGTTTCTCAACGTGAAGATAAGAGGTCCAGTCGTATCGTAGATCTACTATTACTAACTCACGAGATGATTGTACATTCATGCAACTAACTGTTACTTTCTTGATTTTGAAGTGTTTCACGCCAAAGCAACCATCAGACAACTAAAGATGTCACAACTTTCTAAACACTATCCATCCAGTCAGGTGATAGCTCAGATACTAGTATGCGAACTTTACTTTCCATAGCACTACGACCAGAGCTGCAGCATAACGTTAGAAATATTTGGATTGTGTGTCGTATGCGGACAACGGTTTGAAATCTGGTCATTGGCATTTGCGCTTCCCCTGCTCCAGCCTTATCTGCTGGTAGCAGAGTCCAGTCAGGATCGAAACTGGGAGTTTTTGTTAGCTGTCAAGTTTGTGGTGTATCTTGTAGGCTAGACCAATGATGGATCGTGAGACAGCTGCCAAACAAGGTCTCCCAGCCCCGCTAAGCACTCCAAGGAGTAGTCCAGTCAAGCAAATGGCTGTTGCAGTCCCCAATCGTGAATGGTTACCGCTGCACTCAGCCAGATTCCTACAGCTAATGAAATCACTGGCTATGGTCTATGTGATGGCTTACCTCATCACACAGCGACATCAGTGGCAGAGCATGATCAGAGGTAAGAATTTGGTATTCTTCAGTAAAATGTTATTAAACCAACACATGACTGTGTATGTGCCGCGCCTACTTAAAAGTCGTTGTAGTCAGTGCAGTAACCATGGTTATCATACCAATGTGTTAGTGTGTTAGCCACATGTGTTAGTCACATCGTTGAGTTTGTAGGGGGGGGGGGGGGGGCTATGCATAATGTTCACTGATAACGCTATTGTCGTAGGCACATGGATAATATTCATGGTGTGTGTGTGTGTGTGTGTGTGTGTGTGCGCGCGCGCGCGCACGTGTGTGTGTGTGTGGGGTGTGTGTGTGTGTGTGTGTGTGTGTGTGTGTGTATGCTCCCTTCATTCCCTTTTCTGCAGACAAGAGCAAATGCGACTGCATACTGGATGGGTCCACAGTTGGTAGAGAAGAAGGACAACATGACCAGTTGGACTGCACACCCAGGCGTTTTGACAGCCAGTATGTTGTTATCTTGGCATTCAGACCTCTTTTTCTTTTTTGTAGCAGTAACTTATTAGTTATTACCGTTTTGTCCTGAACAAATATACAAATACTATTACTCCATACCGGATGCCGTCGGCAACATGAAGCAAGAAAACAGAAATAAATAAGGAAAAGAAAACATTCGACAAATGAAAACTACTTTGAAGTACAATAGTCTCATGGTCTCAGTGTTTCCGTGCTGTATGCATCTGTGCCCTATACTCAGCTTTCATTGGGTTCCTACCAATCTCCATCGTTATTTCCTGTGTCTTTTTCTGCCCACGTCTTCTTCCAGAACAGCTAAGACATGTTTGCGCAATTCAAAAATTCTCTTTATCGGTGATTCTCGGATCAATTTGCTCAAGAATAGGTTTATTGAGTTACTGCACCCGTATCCTAAACCAGAAGACAAGAAACTGCACGCTAGGCATCGCAGACACATACATGTGAGTACTAAGTTGTGGGTGGGGTTTATTGTGTGGTATTTCTTCTTCATTTCTCCGAAATGCACTCTCTGCGCAGCTCATTGAAGAGACCAATGATGGCCTTTCAGCACCGTGATAACAAGCAGCTGCCAACTGCTATTCTAGTACATGTACTGTATAGCACACGCTATTCTCACGCACACTATTGTCACGCACGCTATTGTCATCTGCTGTTTGCTGCACAGAACCTGAACACGACAACAATTATCAAGGATGCTGCGATACAAATGGTAAGTGCGACTAACATTTTGAAAATCCAAGTTTCCAGTTGCTTTGGATTTGCCACAGTTTGAACTGTTTTGAAAGAGTTCGACCAAACGTGTTGATTTGAACTTGGGCATGGAAGTGCTGCTCTGGATTGAAAGGTTGAAAAAGACAAAAGAAAATCATAATTTTGAAACCAAGTGGAAGTTTACAGCTAAATCACCGTACTGTATTTGTTCTACGCAACAGTTACATTGTAGCTGCCTCAGTATCTTTTGGATGTGGGTGTGTGCTGTGTGGTGTGTGCTGTGTGCTGTTTGTGGATGCACCCTTATCGATCAACGCCGGGCCACTCTGCACTACCAGGAGTTCGTTTGGGACGTCTTCATCGGCGAGTCATGGCTGGCCTTGTTCAGGTATTTGCGATCAGTGAGTTTTGCTGCTGCTGCACGTGGTTATACTACTAAAGTCTAATATAGGAGCATGATGAGTCGCACTATAAGTCTATAGGCTGGCAGTGTTTTCCTACTGTGCGCTATGCAAAATGCTTGCACCTACGGCCCTGTGTGGGCGTATGGACGTAAGCATTAACAAATGGCCATGCAGTAATATTGTGCTGCTCTCAGCAGCTGCTGGTACTAGATGCCCATTCACCATACCACTTTTTGCTATGCGACATGCGGCATAGGCTGTTTCGTGTATCAAGATAGCATCAACAAAAACACGTCAAATTCGGCAATTACCGAGTTTAGGCTGTATACATGTAGCTAAATGTTCACTTCACAAAATTCACATACGGGTAAGGCAACAAAGAACAAACACGAGCGGGTAATATTGCACATTCAACTAAGCCCATTATTTGGTATGCTGACACCTCTCTGTCTACTCCCTTTATACCTAGGCTCAATAGTATGTGAATGGTTATGTACTCTTGCTACGTAGGCTTATGCACGTTCTTAACCAGTCTACACTGCAATTTGAGGAAACTTTTAAAACGTTTCACCAATATTCGGTATTTGCCTTGGCCCTAGTCCTTTCCTTAGATCAGAACTTGTGCTGTTTTTGTTTGTGCATCGGGAATCTGTACTTCACTAGTACATAGCAGAAGGTTTTGGTCTGTGAATTTCGTTCAGCAGTGACTGAAGTATGATGTACTGCGCAGCTGTCATGTGGTATAGCAGAAGCTTTTGCGTAGTTTTTTTGCTTCTCTATTCTGTGTTTCTGACTTGCAGAATCCGTTGGACAGCGCGGACTTGATTGTGGCTGGGGCAGCATTGGTAAGTTTTCCGGAACTTCACTTGAAAGACCTATCACCACAGGATGCTTGAATTATCACAGTGAAAGGAATCATTTTGTGTGCAGTTCCAACAGTATACAGTGTACTTGTACAGTGCTGGCAACTGAAATCCGACCCCCGGAGCGGTGGGTTCACATTCTTTGCGAGGTGAGCACACCGCTGAGTCAGGGGTCGGATTTCAGTTGCCAGCACTGTAGATCTACTGTCTACAAGTATAGTTGCAGTAGAGCTACAGTGCTGGCAACTGAAATCCGATCCCCCTGACTCAGCGGTGTGCTCACCCCGCAAAGAATGTGAAGTTTGTGAACCCACCGCTCAGGTGGTCGGATTTCAGTTGCCAGCACTGTAATAGTAATCTACCCATAGTGAAATGACCTATTTTAATTATTGCAACACCACATGTTTGTCCGATCTGAAAAAGCATGCGTTGCATAATGTACCGTATTCTCTGGAGTATAAGCCGCACTCGAGTATAAGCCGCATCCAGATTTTTGTCACGAAATACAGACATTTACCCTATTTATCATCGTTAATTTGATCATCATTGTAAAAGCCCCACTCACTTTTTTGAGTGAATTGTTGGTGTTCATACTCCGGAAAACATGGTAAGCTTTGTGTGCATGGTTTCGTCTTTAGTGGACAATGCGAAGGGATCCATCACTTGAGGAACTAAACCGATATGAAGGTATGTCACACAGGCACACTCTAAACTATTTGTTAACAGGAGGTTCTGCTCCCGCTCTCTCTTTGTAGTGTATGCATTCATAGTGTGATGCTTGTTTGTCACATACGTTTCTTCATGCTGTTCTGCTGTTTTATTCTCTTAATGTATGTACCAGAAGTAATCACTGATGAATTCTGGAGAAAATCGTTTCTGTCAAAACGAATCCGTGTCTGTTGGTTGTGGATTGGTTGTGTTTGTTTCCCAATTCCATCCGGGTAACCATGGTAACTCTCTGGGACATTGTGCCATTGCAGCCAACACGGAATCTGTGCTTCAATTGCTGTCATTACTGGTGCGAGAATCGGACACAAATTTGGTGTGGTTAAAGCAAGGTGAGTTGTCTGCAGTGAGAGAATCATGGAAACAGAGAATATTCCTTTGCTATCTGCACTATCAATATGACTGCCTGCAGAATGAATTGCTCAACAACTACCTGAACACAGCAGCTACAAATTCATGCTTCTAAAAAACCCGTTCCAGTATTGTGTATGGCCATCATGGGGTGGAGGTGATCGAGATTCGATGACTATGTGTTGCACATGATAATTTTTTCGAACAATTGTAGTATTTGGGTGTGGCCTGCGCATTCCTATTACTTTGCTCATGGTGCAGCATTTGTCAACGAATCACTGCTTATACCAAGAAGAAAGAACATCACCAACCTCCTTATCCGAAAGTACAATGACGCTGTCGATATAAATTGGTGAGTGCTTGCTACGGAGTTGATACAAGTACAAGTAGGAGTCAGCCAGCCTGGCACCAACACTGGGTGACTGCTAGTTTACAGCATGAACATTGTGCTTTCAACAAGTTTCGGGTTCTTTCTTACATTGAATCGTAGATGCACTGGCTATAGTGTGCAGGTGTAACATAAAGGGTATAATGTCATGTTGACTTCTCATCCTTTCAATGCTGTCATTGTCAGTCAATTGTATGATCATTTGTGAGCACTGAGCAGAGAGGAAAGAATAATCATGATAAATTATGTGTTGCAACCTTTACATTCACACGATCATCAGCAAACTGGACTGTGTAGGTTTCGGTGGAATTGAGAGTTGTAACGGAATTCGTCCCTCCTTGCTAAAGCTCTGACTAGCACTGCTTGCAGAGCACCCATTGTGTAGCGGAGCCGCACTCACGGTATGACTCTATCTTTGTCTTCTCTCTTCTCTCTTCAGGCAGCGTTTCAGGACTCCGGGCATGTTTCTCTTCAGTCCCGGTCATGTGCCGTTGATTCCAGATGGCTTGCACTACACTGATGATGCCAATGACGAAGTCAGTACAGTAACTGTTTGCTTGGCCATGACAGTGGGGTGGCATCTTCTGGGCACTATTGTTGTTGTTGCATAAATGTTGCCTTTGATTTCATGAATGGCTGCAGAGTCAATCAGATGTGACACTGATTCTTGAGTGATTGCATTGTAGTGTTGTATAGTGATGTGTTCTTTTACCAAAGTCTGAAAGGGATCTGTGAATGATCGATTTCATTGAAGATTTCAAGATGTTTGCACATGTTAACATCGCCCCATACTACGGGCTGGCTAGAGAAGTACACCCTCCCGGCGAACACCCCCCCCCCCCCATACACTAGCACGTGTCTAGAAGTTTCTTTGGTGGTGTATTGTATGGTAATGTATTGTACAGACCGTCCAAGCCATCCTGAACGTCCATTGTAACTCACAACTACCGGTTACTGACAGGAAGACCTGTTGCCAAGGGTTACTGCACTCAATCACTGCTCCACAGGTTGTGCTACTGGTTATGTTTGTATGCAGGTTAGTTACCATGGATACGAGATGTACATGTACTAGTCAGGTGAAAATGAAGGAATTTGAAATGTGTCCGTTGGCACATCTGTTCCAATGCCTAGACACTGGCAGTAATTATGCTATGTGTACACTTACTTCTGTATTTGATAGTAAATACACCAAGGTGACTGTGCGGGTTATTCTGAGCCTATTCCCTTACCAGCTGTTTGCCGTTTCAATGTAGCTTGTTCTCCTCTTAGCAAAACATCACAATCTATCTATTCAATTCAGTTTAACTGGGGACAAGTGGATGCCTATACTATAGTGGTGCGAGCCTCTACATGTACTAGGTTTAGAGAAAGTGGATACAGAGAATATGGCTCGCAATTTAGTGGAGGTAGAGTAAGGAGAGGAGACGCTTCAACTGATATGGGAGTATGGAGAGGGCCAGAGGTGAGACCGATACGTTGATTCACATTCAAATGATCTGCTGTTGCGTGGCCTGTGTTCCGCTCCTCTGGATGTTTTACGCTTGTTAGGTTATTTTGTGTCTGTGTCTACATGATTACAGTGCCATCATATCGTTCTGGGGACTCTGGTGCAGGCATACATGTAGCTGGTCACGTTCTCTTCTCGGTTCACCGAGTCAAAGCTCTATCCGTGATACAGGTAATACAGGTAATACAGGTACACCTTGTTTCAGCAGCCACTGGACATGTGCTACATGGGAATTCTGACTAAATCATAGGGACTCGGACTGGATATAGGAGATTGACTGGATACAGGGCGTAACAAACATGTATTTTTTACTTTAAAGGAGTACAGAGCCACAGGGATAGATGAACTTGTAACAGGAACAAGAAAAGAATAGGCAGTGAGGCATGCCGTGTGTTACGCTCTGAGACTGGAGGAAGGAGCAATGCCCTTATGATGCCGGGGTTATGAGTTCAGCACCTTCAACTGTACTTGTGCATATTTGGCACATTTAAAAGTTATGATCTGAATCTCTCTCTCATGTGTGTATGCATGTATTGCAGGTCAACAGCACGCTGCATCACCTGTTGTGATGATCTGTCAGTGCATCACATTGCTTGGAATAGTGCTTCTCTACACCTACTTAGCTGACAGGACACCAGTATTCACGAAAGAGGAGAAACATTTCAACTGGACATCATTTGCTGTTCCTTTGGCAATTTTGGGAATTCTTGGCTTTGTGACGTACCAACCAGTCAAAGATGCTTCTGTTCTAAACCGTCAGCAAACATGTGAAACACGAGGATGGATGCAGCTAGTACTGCTAGTGTATCATTACACAGGTGGTAGCAGGGTATGTACCGTAGTGTAGATACAACCAAGCTGCGCGACGCTTATTTACTCTTGGTAGTATTGTAGCATATGGTGACCTTGCAATACCGGTACCAAGCACATGGGTACTGTAGACATTAGGCACTGTTTTGTATAACCTGTGTTAATCAAGCATTGTTCTATGAAAACGGTTACTGTTAGAGAACCAATGTCTCCGGGACCTTCCAACCATGCTTCTACATACTGGTGATCCTGCTTAGAAAGTTCACGTGCCTAAAAAGATCAATGTTCTGGACTACCAGAGGATGATCACTTGATACAGGTTTGCTTGCACTATTGTATTCCTGATAACCAACACTATGACACCTCTTTGCATGTTTGCCAGTACCCGCAGTGCATGTAATGTATTTACACAGTGCTCTCCCATGTCATCAGCTGGTTGTGATTTGCCCCGCATGTACTAACGTAGTGGAGTTCTGGATATTTCAGGACCATGCTATCAGGCCAGTTGGACATTCGCTGGACCGGTGTAGAGCAGTTTAAACCTCCCTTACGCGGCAAGCCTTTCAACTCCGTATTCAGTCCTGACTGTTCTCAATCAAGCAATGGAAGTCACTCTGTCATCAGGACATCTCTGCATACTGGACATAATGTGTTTGGTCACCAAAGTGTCCGGAATACTGGAGAGGTACCACTGCGCACATACGTGTCCTGACAGGGAATATTATAACACATTCAGTACATCTGACGAGGTCTTTTTATATTCTGGGCTGTATTTCCCTCTGCAGGTTCTTGGTCTGTACTATGTAGTTCGACTGATTGTCGCAATGTACATCTTCCTAAGCGCCTATGGACATTACACGTATGGTTTGAAGCGTGGAGCAAGCAGTTGGTCTCGTGTAGCTGAGGTCCTGTTCCGTCTAAATCTCTACACCGTTCTACTGTGCTTGACTATGGATGTACCGTATCTTCACTACTATTTTGTACCACTGATCTCAGCATGTTACTTACTAGTACTACTGGTTGCTGCCATACCTCCAGTTGGTGAGTACATTTATTATTCAATGAACAGAAGTTCAGTAGGTTCGGGACATTTTTGTTCCAATTTTCATTTTCATAATTTCAAAGTTCGAGTGAAATCAGTGTACATGTATTATTTTCTCCTTTTCTCCTGGAAAATTTGGTGTAAGGTAAACTTTAATTTGAACCGCAGTGAAGAGACCGTTTTTGGAGGTTGGAGTTGAGAAGTGAAGTTTCCTAAATTTCTCCTCTTTATGTAATTATGTATTCCTCAGCATGGGATCTGAACAAGTCACCATGGATGCAGGTACTCAAGGCAAGCTGTTTCGCTATCGTTTTCGCCTTGTATCGGATGCAACCTGTGAGTACGGATGCAGTCAACTTTACCATCATCCTGTATAGGATGGTCCGTATTTTTCATTCTTGTCAAGGAAGAAGTGCTTGTGTGTGGACATTGCAAGCTCACAGTTACCCCGTACGGTCATCATGAATCAACTAACGTGTTACTTGGGATATCTCTGCCTTTGTCAGTCACCACAGTGCATCGATAGTTTACCACTAGTACATGAACTTAGTTTTAAAACGCACGGCATACCAGTTGATCACAGCTAAAGCAAGTTCAAGATTGGCTCTTTAGCTATTCTTGGATTTGGCAAATGTTGATGAATATGCTGGTCTATAGTAGTACTGAGTTTGTCAGTTCATCATTCTGTTGCACACAGGATATGTTCAACTGGATATTTTCCTTCCCACCGCTCTCCCAACTCTTCCTGGATGATGACAACTCCCTACACGAGTGGACATTTCGTTTTGGACTAGACATCCTGGCTGTGCCATCGGGTATCCTGTGTGCCGTAATGCTACATCGATTCCCACAAATCAATGGGTGGATATGTTCAAGGAGTATTGGTAATAACTTGATGACAATACTTTCAGCCATGACATTGGTATGCGATTCTCGATTGTACTTACTTGCATGTAACTACTTGTACATGTATCAGGTTCATTGGAAGTTGGAACACGTGCTGACTATAGTAAAAATGACATCCAATGGACTAACGTTACAGACTGATCATTTTGCTGAAGTGAAACATTTTCATCTACACAAGGCAATGTGTGGAAGATTCTTCACAAGAAAGGCATACACTGTACTTCTATGTTGATCCTATACTGAGTCCAACATATAACCGAGGAATTTATTACAGGAGCACATCAGAAGCATGATGAAACATGGAATTTTATGTTAAGTATGCTCACTGCTGCACACTGTGACAGTGTACTTTGAATACTTTTCTGATTTCAATGCTGTCACCATTGTTTCTTTGTCATGACCATGCCTATTCTCTTGCACAGGTAGTGTACTGTGGAATGATGGCAACAAACTGTACTAGTAAACCAGAGTGTAATCTTCTACATACCTACCTATCACCAATCATGGTAAGTAACAACTGAATATCGATACTAACATGCATATCGGTGATGTGATGGGGTACGTTCGTTAATGTGAGCATTATTCATGTATACACGGTTGTGTCTAGTCGTGTTCTGATGCCATACATGTACATGTACTTCACTCGGAAGGAGTAGCAATTAGCAATCCATGGCGAAGGCGCAATGTTTCGGTGCAATCCATGTTTATGTGTTACTTTCCAAATCCTAAACCTCCACAGCTCGTAGGATTTGTTCTGGTGCGTAACACTTGGGAACCACTACGCCACCATTACAGTCAGTTCTTTGACTGGGTGGGAATCTACTCGTTGGAGGTAAGCTGGCCTGTAATAATCATGGTTCTTCTAGCCGAAGGGGTAGGGGGGGGGGGGGGACAACACCCCTTTCCCTACTCTGATTGTGCACCCCGTACTCTGATAGCGTACCACCCTCCAGTCAGTCAGTTCGACTTTTGTGCTTTTTCAGTTCAGATAAAGGAAATGGTGCCACAAATAGATCGGTCCGGCCGGGTGCTTGCTGCGCTCATACGTTGCATTTTGTGTGACAAGACAACAGTTGAACATGGAAAAATGGGTGACTGTTTGTTTCCCTTACACCTCCCCCCCCCCCCCCCCCACACACACACATCCAATATTTCCTGACTGGAACCCTGATAATACAAAGCGGAATCAAAGTGCCTTGCAACGTGTTAGTTTAGGATTACATGTACTGTCAGCACTCTGGGCACATCCTTCGGTGGATTACATGTAAGCATTTGCAGCTCTGACTGTGCACAAGAACACACTGATGATAATACATAGCTGTTGTTCATAGCAATCTATCTTGGAAGGGTTTGCGGCGTTTCACTACAATGTGTGTGCGCTATTTGACACACAGCTGTTTGATTCGTCTTCTTTCCACTGCAGCTTTTCATCGCCCAGTATCACATCCTGCTGGCTAATGATACACGTAGTCTACTTGTCCTGGTCGAGGGTAATCCAATTCTCAACATCTGCATCGTCACAACCATCTTTGTACTGGTATCACACACTGTAGCTGAGTGTACACACATGCTGGTCAACGTCATGAAAGGCCTCGCATCTGAGAATGAGAATGATTAGCTCTGAACATATGCAATACAATTATTCTAGTACAGTGTACTGGAAGAGGATGTTTAATTTATTTAACTAACAAAATTAACGAAGGGCGAAGGCATTTACATCAATCACCACACCACAACTGCGCTCTCCGGCTAACCTTCTTGAAGGGCGAATGGGGAGTAATTGATAATCGCAGGAAAGAACTCATGCATCCATGCAAGGTCACACCTCCAGTCAAGAACGCCTCGCATAAGATGCCGATCGAACTTTTTCGTTCTCTTCTCTTTTTTTCTTTTTTAAAAAAATATTTTGAGTCCTACCCCAGTTACCCAAATTCTTCAATTATCCAAATCAACAAGTCGCTCTGCTTTGTACATCAAGCCGTATGCAATAATATGACGGTGTGAATTTTCGATACCTCCTTTGTCTTTTTATTAAGAGTTCATCAACCTGTGGGTTACTACTGACTTACTGACTGCCTTGGTAGTTTGTAAATTTACTCACTAGCTGCAAAAAAGGCACAATGAAATAGAGTCCAACCTTTTACAGGGCAATATTGACCCCAATACTGAATCACGCACAACAATTGCAACTCTGCCGTATTAACCTGGCTGGAGTTTCAGTACAAATTTTCAGTGCGAGGTTTGTCACGAACAAGACTAAGGTTTTTCGGTGTCAACGTCGCTATAGCCTGAGTATAGGGCCTTTGTAATTACTCCAAATCAGCTGAAAGTGTACAGGGAGAATGTAAATCCCATGCTGAATCGATTGCTACCTCTTCAGTAGGGTTTCCTAGAAAAAACGGAATCCAGGAATCCAGCTTACACTGGCTATCTGCAGTCGCTACAGTGTCCACATAGCCGTGCCCAAATACTACTAGTGCCTCTATGGGTTTGGTTGCTTTCATTATCGTGACCAGGCAAACATCGACTGAGAAGGTGCCGGATTTCTCTACTACATGTACATTGTACTTGAGAACGGATTTATCCACAAAGCCAATAGCGTGAAACCATAAAGAAGGAACCAAAGCAAAAAGACAACCCAAATTCGGCAATAAACGGAATATTGTGTAAGATTGAACACAAAGGCTTGACAAGAAAACTACTAGTATGTGTAGCACGTTTAGCATTAGAAGGAGTAAACTAATCAGGGGCCAATGTATTAACCAGGAAGTGCCTAGGAGCTTGTAGCAGCGTATTAATTTTATCCCATGATCCCATGATAATATGTGCATGCGTAATTGGCGATATTGCGGAGCTGACCGGGATGAAAAAGGTGCTTTGAATGCCCAGAGGGCCAAACGCTTGAGTTAACTTTCAAGACAATTCTACAGATGTGAGGTGAGACCACCAGGTAAAATGTGCTGGTGTAAAGGAAATCTGGTGGGCCCATGATGAGCTGTAATCATGGTAAAGTAATGAAGGACTTCAAGAATCATGCAGTGATGCAGCATGGCGCTGAACTCCTATTGCGGAGCATGGCCGCAATCTTGCAGACGCATGCTACGTGTTCAAGACCGAAGAAATCGTGGATAGTTGCTTCATATCTCATTCCCATGTCTTTTTCTTCAATTTTCACATTTCTTACTGGCTCAGTGTCCGAGTTAAAATTAAAAGTCAGCACATTGACAAGACATTTTATAGTGTAGCACAGACATTTTCGGTCTCCAAATTTAATCCTATTTTTTAGAGAAGAATTTGGATATCTGGCTAGTGGGGTAAATAGGATGAGAAAATATAAAAAATATTTTACTGAATTTTAAAGATTTAAACTCTGATGGTGAGCCAATATAGTTACGATGAAGAAAGGAAAAGGACAAAATATTATGAGTTATGACAAACTGTCCACCAACGTAACCAGATCTTATGCAGTCAGATTTAGCCATTGATTACTCAAGCAGTAAAATATAAATTATTATTGGTAATTATACAAATAATCTACGTGGAGATAAAAGTTTAATAATAGCAATGAAAAGTATGAATGCCGCAGACATCATCACTTAACATGACAATTTGTTCAAGGTTTGGTTTTGTGTGTTTCCAAAATCGATTTTCACGTTCCGATCATCAGTGGAAATACGGAACTAAAGAGATCAAGGGTAAAACAAAGGTTAAAAATCCAAAGAAGTGTGACACATGACGGGTAACTTGTGGTAAGTATTACAAAAAGTGAGAACTAAAATAAAGAGTAAGTGTGACAAACGGGCATGAACAGTGCAGAAACAACTCATGTTTTAGCACTTAGGTTATTTTCGTGAGTTTGCACCCCGTGTTCATGAGTTGTTTCTGCACTGTTCATGCCCGTTTGTCACACTTACTCTTTATTTTAGTTCTCACTTTTTGTAATACTTACCACAAGTTACCCGTCATGTGTCACACTTCTTTGGATTTTTAACCTTTGTTTTTCCCTTGATCTCTTTAGTTCCGTATTTCCACTGATGATCGGAACGTGAAAATCGATTTTGGAAACACACAAAACCAAACCTTGAACAAATTGTCATGTTGCGTGGTGATGTCTGCGGCATTCATACTTTTCATTGCTATAATTATTGGTAATTATTATTCTTATACATCAAGTATTACAAAATAAAAATAATAATAAAATATTGGTAATGGTCACAGCTATTCACTCTCGGTTGCGAGGCCCTTCATGACGTTGACCAGCATTTGTGTACACTCAGCTACAGTGTGTGATACCAGTACAAAGATGGTTGTCACGATGCAGATGTTGAGAATTGGATTACCCTCGACCAGGACAAGTAGACTACGTGTATCATTAGCCAGCAGGACGTGATACTGGGCGATGAAAAGCTGCAGTGGAAAGAAGACAAATCAAGCAACCTTGTGTCGAATTCCATAGGACCATGTAGTCGAACGTCGCACATCCTTGGAGGATAGTTTTGCTCAGGAAGGGCAGTGTGCTGTTGTGTGCTTGTACACACAGTTTGAGGTGCAAACATTTTTCAGCCTTAACAAGCCCACACAAGTGGTCTTGTTGTTGATGAAAAGATTCTTAGAGTCAGCGCATGTGTCATCGGGTGATGTTTGGCTTTGCCAACAGACTACAGACTACAGTCTACCGGGTACTCCCCAATTTCAGCTTCTAATCATCACACTGCAGTAGTGGATCCTATTCCAACTGGATACTTTACCTGTACCGTGTGCATCTAGAGTCCACCAAAATACTGTGACACACGTTGCCAGGTACTAGATTCCATTTAAGTCCTTGTATTATTGCAGGCCCTGGCGCCAGCTTACCTCCAACGAGTAGATTCCCACCCAGTCGAAGAACTGGCTGTAATGGTTTCGTAGTGGTTCCCAAGTGTTACGTAAGAGAACAAATCCTCCAAGCTGTGGAAGTGTACGCAAATGACACATAAACACACCTTTTCTGCATCTCAACTGCATCTGATTTGTACTGGCATTCATTCCTACTCGAAACACAGCAATGGACAGCCGCGTATACATGAATAAAGCTCCCATTGAGGAAAATAATCATCACAAAGTCATTACATTTTGCATTTTACTATCGGTATACTGTTGTTACTTACCATGATTGGTGATAGGTAGGTATGTAGAAGATTACACTCTGGTTTACTAGTACAGTTTGTTGCCATCATTCCACAGTACACTACCTGTACAGGAGAATAGGCATGGTCATGAGGAAGAAACAATACCGACATCAGATAAATTTTAACTTTATTCAAAAGTATGCATAATTGACCAACAATGACATGAATCGCTTCGCGTAACACAACTATGCCTTTTGTGAGAATCATGTTCCACACCTTGGTGTAGAAGAAAATGTTTCATGTCGGCCACATCACGTACCCACCCCAGCCAGACTCTTGATGATGTCATTTTATATAGTCAGCATGTGTTGTGTTAGATTCTAAGTACAGTTACGTACAAGCAAGTAGTGCATACCAATGTCAAGGCTGAAAGTGTGGTCATCAAGTTGTTACCAATACTCCTTGAACATATCCACCCATTGATTCGTGGGAATCGATGTAGCATTACGGCACACAGGATACCCGCTGGCACAGCCAGGATGTCTAGTCCGAAACGAAATGTCCACTCGTGTAGGGAGTTGTCATCATCCAGGAAGAGTTGGGAGAGCGGAAGGAAGGATATTATCCAGTTGAGCATATCCTGTGTGCAACAGAATAAAAATGATTAACTGCCAAACTCAGTACTGTACTAGTACATACCTGCATATCAAGCAGCATCCGCATTCACCAATCCAAGAACAGCTAAAGAGTAAAGAGTCAATCTCGGACTTGCCTGAATATGTGATAATCCTCAGGTGTGTCAAATGTTGTCAGTTCCGTTCAGTGTTGGCTTTACACTTCAACGTGATCTCAGTGCATTATGAGTGTTGTTTGGCACGCACCATGGTGATTGTCACTACTCGTAAAATTACTTCTAATGCATGTTTAACCAGAGTACTACTGAAGTAGTGGTAACGGATCGGTGGCGCGCCAAATTATTTTAACCCTTTGCGGTGCATCAGTCATTAAAGTCTGGTATTATAAAGGAAAGATACTAGGCATTCCTTGTTGAATTATGACTATACGTACAGCTTGCTCCGGGCTACAATGTCCACAATAGCACTGCAATGATAAGCCATGCAAACTAAGGAGCGGCCCAAACAGTAAAGTGATAGAGTGGACTGCATCCATACTCACTGGTTGTATCCGATACAAGGCGAAGACGATAGTGAAACAGATTGCCTTGAGCACCTGTATCCATTGCGACTTGTCCTGATCCCATGCTAAGAAAAAAGTAAACAAAAAAAGAACAGTTGTACCATGCAAACCGCATTTAGAAGGTGAATAATATGCTATGGTGGAATGTTCCCATCATCCAGGCAGAGCTTTGTTTGCATGATACTGAGTAGGATGTCTCAGGATCGCTTATCACGAAACTTAATTGCAGGGAACAAATCATATTGACTTTTGTGTAATACTGGATATGGAATACATCGATCATAATGTACATGTATGACCATGTCTGCCTGTCTGTTACATGCTGTTCTCATGATGTTCTCATATTGTATTCTAAAAGGGGATGGGGGAGGTTTGCTACAGCTTCAGACATTGGCGCACAGCCTCATGTCCCCTTTCAGTCACCACAGTTTTATCTTTCCAATAATCTGCTCATTTATGGCGCCTGAAGTAGACTAACGGAGAGTAGCATGCTGATCATGAATTTTCTATAGAATTCGGGGTCCTCGTACACGTTCCAGGGGTTAAAAGATTCAAACATCCGAATTTCAGGCAAATAGTCAGTTTTTGCAATGAAACTTAGGCTACAACGTTCCCCAACCTAATAAACTTCTGTTAATTGAATACTGTACTCACCAACTGGAGGTATGGCAGCAACCAGTAGTACTAGTAAGTAACATGCTGAGATCAGTGGTACAAAATAGTAGTGAAGATACGGTACATCCATAGTCAAGCACAGTAGAACGGTGTAGAGATTTAGACGGAACAGGACCTCAGCTACACGAGACCAACTGCTTGCTCCACGCTTCAAACTATACGTGTAATGTCCAAAGGCGCTTAGGAAGATGTACATTGCTACAATCAGTCGAACTACATAGTACAGACCAAGAACCTGCAGAGGGAAATACAGCCCAGACCATACAACACAGTTATGTGCATGTAGAAAGCGGAGTGGCTGCAGTGATCACAGTGACGTATCAATTATTTGTTATAATAAACGTTTTTAGTCTGGACATGCACGTGTACTGTGACTGTCATTGGGACCTCCATATTCCGCACACCTTAGTGACCAGATACCTGTGTACAGTATAGAGAGATGTTCTCATTTCTCATTACACACAGGCTCATTACTGTATTTGGAACAGTCACGACTAAACTGACAAAGATGCCTTGATGGTGGAGCTGTCCTACTGAAGTATGTGTTAAGTCTCCCACTTACTGGGAGGTTCTGCCCTAGCTGCTCTAAGCTCAGTCCATGGCCATGCACCTGACCTGACAGCATGGTCCTCCAATCTCTGAATGTCTACCAGTACATGCAGAGCATAGTATAATCCGGCAGTTGATGACATGATAGAGCACTGTGTGGATGGACTCCTGATACTGTTCCCAGTGTAGGGGGGTGTCACAGGGTTCCTTATTAGGAATACAACAGTACAGGCAAACCTATACTAGGCTATAGGAGGTAACCAACCTCTGGTAGTCCAGAACATTGATCTGTTTTAGACATGTGGTCTTTACACATCATGTCAGGATCTCCTGTTTGTAGAAGCATAGTTGAACGTCCCTGATGCTACTGGTCTCTAAGAGTTAGTGTTCTCCTTGAACCACATGTTTGATTCACAGTTGTACAGTTAGACGTACCTTGCTACCACCTGTGTAATGATACACCAGCAATACTAGCTGCATCCATCCTCGTGTTTCACAGGTTTGCTGACGGTTTAGAACAGAAGCATCTTTGACTGGTTGGTATGTCACAAAGCCAAGAATTCCCAAAATTGTCAATGGAACAGCAAATGATGTCCAGTTGAAATGTTTCTCCTCTTTAGTGAATACTGGTGTCCTGTCAGCTAAGTAGGTGTAGAGAAGCACTATTCCAAGCAATGTGATGCACTGACAGACCATCACAACAGGTGATGCAGTGGTACGCTTTAGACCTGTTATACACACATCCACAGAAAAGAGAGAGAGAGAGAGTAATAAGCATAACATTATGTCCCGAAGATGCAGTTGAAGGGGCTCGATTCATAACCGCGACATACCTATTAGTGCACGGGGCATCACTCCTTCGTTCTTTCTCAGAGCATACGTGATCCATTGTGAAAATGATGGATAAAAGTCTCAGAAGGAATACACTATGTGCCGGTTAAGTCAATCCAGCAGAGTTTACAGTACAAGGACATCCATATGTTGGATGCCGTATGCGTCACCCCCTATTAAAATCTAGTCTGATTCCCTATAATTATTATTATCTTTACTATTATTTAGTCCTAATTCCGGCATAGCACATGTCCATCGACTGCTGGAACACGGTTATCCTGCATTACCTGCATCTCGGACCGAAGTCGGGCTCAGTGACTGGAGCAGAGAACGTGAGCGCCGGCGCCTGTACCAGAGTCCTGCCACCGGTACGATGATACTGGAATAGACACAAACACAAACATCATACTACCGTACTGGCAATATATGTTGCCGAGTAACGCGTAACGCAGGGGGGGGGGGGGGTGCGGCGTAACGCGCGACCAGGCTAGTGCGACAAATTTTCGTTGCGTTCGTAACGCGCGTCCGGCGGGGTGCGGCGATCTTTTCATTGCAGTTTGCAAAAAAATGATGCGGCAATAGCAAAAAAATGATGCGGCAATAGCAAAAAAGTGATGCGGCAATAGCAAAAAAAGGACTGCGGCAATATAGACACCTGTGTAACCATGGTAACGGCTCCTGTGCGACTTTGCATGTAACGCCCTGCGTTCGGTAAACATGTGCCAATGTGACGCTTCATGACCTCACTGCGACCATATATATTGCCAGTACGGTAGTACTAGCTACCTTACTTAGTTAGAATATCTAGATAATGTGAAACGTGAGCCATGCATTAGCAAAGCATTTGAATGTGATTTCGTGCATGTCCACAAATCACGCAATTCAGTGCTCTTCTGTCTTTGTGACAATGATTCATTCCGCTCAGTTCGTGTTCACAAATCCCTGGAATGATGACGGTTAATCTACCGATATCCCCTCTGTCCTTCTCCATCTTTCAACATTGAAGCCTCTCCTCTCATTGCTGTATCTCCACTCTGTCACTCTGATGCATGCAGTGCTCTATTCAATGCACAACTCAATTTTCACCCAGCACACTTCAATGTAGTCTTACTTCTAAGTCTTACTTTTAGGGTCTAGGCATTGGAACGGATGTGCCAACGGACACATTTCAAATTCATTCCTTCATTTTCACCCGACTAGTACATCTCGTATCCATGGTAACTAACCTGCAAACAAATATAACCAGTAGCACAACCTGTGGAGCAGTAATTGAGTGAAGTGACCCTTGGCAACAGGTCTTCCTGTCAGTTACCGGTAGTTGCGAGTTACAGTGGGTATTCAGGATGACCTGGATGATCTGTACATGCAGCAACACACAGGGCAAAATTTCCTATGAAATCAACGCCGAAATCGCTACCACGATCTTCTACTTCAGCAATGTAAATGTACTTGTACATTGTATATATGGCGTGTGTTTGTGTGTGTGTGGGGGGGGGGGGGTGATACTTGTAGCCAGCCGTTGGGGCAATGTATGATACGCCCAATCAATGTCATGTACTTTTACGTACATGCACTTCTTGATAATTATATTCAGTTATATCTCTCAAACACAGATCCGTATCAGGAGTTTGGTCAGTATACATCAGCAGAGGAATCAGTATCGCATCTGACTGACTCTGAAACATTTCAACAATCAAAGGTGGCACAGATGATATTATGGAAATTTCAATAGTACCCAGAAAAAGAAACGTTGCTGGGAACGCCACTGACCCCGTCATTAGAATCTTGAGTGTAATGTACGCCATCTGGGATCATCGGCACATCACCCCGACTGAACAGAAACATACCAGGAGTTCTGAAGCGCTGCCTGAACAGAGTAGACATGGAGACATGGACAAAGTCACACCATGAGTGTTCCACTACACAGATAGTGCTCTGGAAATCGAAGCAGAGCTTGTGATTATGGAAAGGAGATACGCAAATTCCGTTGCAACTCTGAACATTAAGCTTACACAGCTCAGTTGCCTGACGGTCGTGCGAATGTGAAAGCCAAAGTTGCAACAAATCTTTCCTCTCTCCTTGCTATGTTGTAATCAAATGAGCAGACAACTGACTGATAATGGCAGCATCCATGGCATGAGTAGTCTAGTCAGCATGACAATGTAGCGCCGTGACAAAATACACTTCAGCTATCTGTGTGATACACCGGAGGATGTACCCAGTGTGCTGACACTGCTCAACACCATGGCGGAGGCAGAGCGTAATACAGAACTTGAGCAACAAGGACAATCAAGGCTTGTTCTGTTCTGTGTGATACACCTACACATTATAGCCAGTGTATCTACCATCCACTGAAAGATTCTAAGATTACAACTCTACTTTTAAAAAGTAGTTGATAGCACATTTCATGCTGCACACTAAAAGCCACCCAATATTGGTCTCATGTTGACCGGCTGGATAGCTGTATACTTACTTGTATCGCCTCCTTGGCAAGCACTTACCAATTTTTATCGACAGCTTCATTGTATTTTCGGATAAGACGGTTGGTGAGGTTCATTTTTCTTGGCACTGATTCATTGACATATGCTGCATGATGAGCAAGGAGGAGCAAAAACGCACCACACGTATTCATTATTATACATCTTTTCTGGAGACAGTTAATTAACTCACAACGGCAAGAAAAGTACAAATGTGGAGCACTTTCCCATCATCATCGGGATTCAAGGAGTTTTCGTGCTCTCTCTCTCTCTCTCTCTCTCTCTCTCTCTCTCTCTCTCTCTCTCTCTCTCTCTCTCTCTCTCTCTCTCTCTCTCTCTCTCTCTCTCTCTCTCTCTCTCTCTCTCTCTCTCTCTCTTCAAGTGAAATACATGTACACGTACAGTATCTACTACAGATACATTAAACGTAGAAATACGATGAAAAAGGAGAGAAGAAAGGTAAGAAAGAGGAGTCGAGAGGTGAGACAACACACAGCACAGACAAAGGGGCTAAAAATGCACAGTGCCAAGACGAACACCCACGGGATGCTGACAATATTCAGTATTGTGTAGCCAGGCATGTCAGTAAACAACTTGGGAGATGTTACAAAGCATGATAGCACAATGTCATGGCCCTAAAATTACTATACAAATAAAATCACAGTTCGCCTGAGATTCGGCTGCAGGCCGAGTTTTCCGCATCCGTAGGAACGCCACCACCCTTCAAGGATTAAGGCGCAGATGCAAACGAAAGACAACATTTGTAACATTATTATTTATTTTTGTTTTTTGTTTGCATGGCAGACTCAGCGAAGGACGTTCAGGTTGGTTATACGAGTTTCATGCCGCGAGGCAATCATCAGACAACTTATACTGTTTTTTGTTTGCATACCAAAGTAAAGTCGCGGATAAAAGCCGGGCTTATAAGCACATAAGCCGGTTTCTGCATCAGGCGTTAATGCAAACCAGGCTTGTATGCAAACCATGCTTATATGCACCACTGATATTTTTTGCCAGGCTTGTATTCACGCTTCTACGCGCTACACGCGTAGATCTACCACTGACTACCGGTATGGCGGCAGTTTTACTATGCACTGTACATAGTGCATGCACTCTTAACCTACCCGATCCGCGCTTGCACAGAAGCCAGGCTTCTACGCGCGACAGGCTTATAATGCATTTGACCCGTTTGATTTTCAGGCTTCTATCCGCGATGTGCTTGTATGCAAACCCGGCTTTTATCCGCGACTTTACGGTAATACATGTACATGGTGAATTCATTGTATGGTCTCTCAAGTTGTTCTATTTTGCCCTCCAACTCATAGAGGCCTTACACAATACTATTAATGGAGTTTTTGAAGGATTTGTAAGGTGAGTTGTTGTGGTCAGATAGTTATTAAGCAAGCAATTTTGCAGGCAGACATATTGATAGTGCAAACAGCAAAGGCATGGCCTCTATTTCCCATGATTCTCCCGCTGCAGACAACTCACCTTGTTTTAGCCACACCAAGCTTGTACCTGATTCTCGCACCAGTGATGACAGCAGGCGAAGCACCGATTCCGTGTTGGCTGCAATGACAGAATATCACAGCGAGTTACCTGGATGGAATTGTGAAACCCTAGGATAGAAGGCAATGAATCTTCCGCTATGGGGGGGGGGGGGGGGGATTCATACCCCTAACCCGAACTTTAGAATTTTGCACTAAGCTAATGTAGTTATAACCATGATTGATTACGACTACACATCAGTATGGTTCAAGGTTATGTAAAAGACCACAAGTACAACTTTGTCCGTGTCCGAGTAAGTATCCGAACTGAAAAATGGAACAGTAGATAACTGATAATCGGCTATGAGTGTAGGAGTGTAGGAGTGTGCGTGTGTGTTGGCATACCTTTGTACTGTTCCAGTGCCTCTGTTGATGGATCAGTTCCTATTGACCACTGTCAATGACAACACGCGTATGCAGCACACAAAGCACACATCCTACAATGCTTTCCAGATAGATGTACATGTACTGTACGAATAATAACTACTGCTAGTACTAATATAACTACTGCTAGTACTAATGTAACTACTGCTAGTACTCGCACGGTAAACATGTGGTGTTACAAGCATAGGTCGAGTTCCTTGTGGGAAGATTACTTTCACACTGTAGGAACTGCCAACAAACTGATGGCGTCTTGCAACATGATAATTCAAGCATATTGTGTTGGTGCTTCTTTCCAGTGATATTCTGGAAAACTCACCAATGCTGCTCCGGCCACAATCAAGTCCACACTGTCCAATGGATTCTGCATGCCGGGGTCACAGAAGATAGGCGCATAAAACCACACAAAAGGTTCTGCTACATCACATGATTGTGCAGTACACCAGCCTACAGTGCTCGATAGGTTCATAAATTTTAATAATGCACAGACCAAACGTATACATATGCAAGTGAAAATTGCCGATGTACAAAACCAGTACAAGTTCTAATCTAAGGGAGTGTCTACAGGTGATGGTCAAGGAAATTGCCGAATATACATGTAGGTGAACTGGAATGCAGTGATGAGACCATAGAACGAAGGTTCCGTTTTCTGCAAACTAAAGGAAATACCGGCTCAGCTCGTGAAAAGGCCGAGACAAAGTGAGCATCCAAGTAATAGTTAGTACCTCAAGAAGTATTTCTTTCCTTTTTGCTGCTTCTGTGATCCCTAGTGCGTTTGGCCGATGCTAGAATGCAAACAGTTCTTCTTACAAACCCATATGATGGGCTTACTTGAATGTGCGCCATTAAATACCTGCTTTGTTCATGCTCGTTATTTGTACATACCGGTATGTACATGCACCTGTATGTAAAGTGAACATTTAGCTACAGGAAATAGCTGAATTTGCCGTATTTTGTTGATCTCGATACACGTATCAGCCCACGTCCATGACTGTATAAACACACATGTGCAAAACTCACCGATTGCAAGTACCTGAACAAGGCCATCCATGACTCGCCGATAAATGGGCCCCAGATGAAGTCCTAGAAGAAACCGCGGAGTACATCCACGAACAGGACACAGCACACAGCCGCATCCAAAAGATTTTATTTTTTTTATTGTTTATTTTTAAGTTCGGCCAGTCGGCTACTATCTTTTCGTCTTGGGGATAAGACGAGGGGAAGTAGTAGTAGTAGTAGTAGTAGTAGTAGTAGTAGTAGTAGTTGCTGAACAAATCGGATTTCCGAGATGCGTTCTGCATCCGCTACGGCCTGCAGCCTGACGGACTCCCCCTGACTTGTGTATGTGGTGCTGCAAACACAATAGACCATGCGATGATGTGTCCGGCAGGGGGCTACCCCATGGCACGCCACAATGAGATCCGGGACTTGTTGGCTGACGTGATGCGTGAGGCGGTCCGGGATGTGGAGGTGGAACCGCCTCTACTACCATATGATGGTGAGCGGCTCCAAGGGAGGACAGCCAACCGCTCGGCAGGCGCCCGCCTGGACATCCGGGCTTGTGGCTTCTGGACGAGACAGCAAGATGCCTTTTTCGACATCCGGGTTACACACCCAAAGGCAAGCTTGCTGTCGCGTCAGGAAGTCATCAGCCAGCTCCGAACGCATGAACGGATGAAGAAGCGCCAGTACGGAGAGCGGGTGACAGCAGTTGACAGAGGTACGTTTACACCGCTAGTTTTTTCTACCTCGGGCATGATTGGCAGAGAATGCTCAATGGCACTGAAGACACTGGCATGCCTGATTGCTGAGAAGAACGTCGACCTACACGTATCGGTTATCATGGGTCAGCTCCGTTGTAAGCTGTCAGTCTGCCTTATGCGATGGGCAGTCACCTGTTTGCGGGGTTCAAGATCGTCATATCGCCGCAACAGGATGAATTTCACGACGATGTGCAGGTTGCGGGCAGCCTGAGCGTGATAGTACCTGACAGACATTTGCCCAACATTGCCCCATGATAATGAATTCTTGAGTTTTTGGACATTGTATTGCAATGCTGCTCCATCTACATGGCTGTATTTGTGTTTCACATCTCCATTTCAAGTTTCCTAATAAAGATTGTGTCAAGTAGTAGTAGTAGTAGTAGTAGTAGTAGTAGTAGTAGTAGTATTTATTATTTTGCTAGGGCAATCCCCACAGACTGTGAGTCTTTTTACAGGGTACCCTAAGTAGCCATGACATGTAGGGGCGTGAGCCCGCATTTCGGAACCAGGAGTTATATGAATGAGGCTACTATAACTGTTGCGTAAAGTTAGTACAGAACAATACAGTGATTGTGCAGTTACCCTACACTACACTTCACTAAAGGTTTACTATTGTCATTTTGTCTTTTCAATCCATGTGCCCATAGCAGCACCGACATACTTCCATGCCCAAGTCCATATCAACATGTTTGGGCCGGACTCTTCAAAAATAGTTCAAATTGAAGCAAATCCAAAGCAATTAGATTTTCAAGTGTTAATCTTCACTCACCACGTGTATGTGTGCAGGTAAGGTGGCGTCCGTGATGATTGTTGTTGTGTTCTGGTTCTGTACAAGAAGTATCAGATGACAATAGCATGTGATTCATACCATAGGCATAGACAGGCCTGCAAGCTATGCACGCACTAGAACGACATGGCACATTTAATAACTGGATCTGACTGATCAGAAGCAGCAACGCTAAAGACAGTGTTACTCGGTTATAGAATAATGTGTTTGTAGTTTTGTACCTTGTGCACTGCAGGTTGAATAGAAGTTTCTCTTTGACAATGAAGCGAAGGCGGCTGGCTAGCCTAGCAGCGTGTACTGCTTTTATAAGACCGGTGACTTTATTATAGTTGGGAAGCATTTCCAATTCTGGTAAAACATTATTCGAAGTATCGGTAATAGCTAACACTTGGATACCCCCTCCCCCCCCCCCCTCTCATTGCCATTGACATTGAAAGGATTCTCCAATGGAAAAATTAATGAAGTGACTATGAATGACTATGAAAGCGCAGCACATCTTTTCATCCGGAGTGCAAGAACTACGCTATCACCAACGCTACCATAACTACTTTGGGGAAGGTGACCAATCAGAGTGACATGACAAACACAGATCGTGCGCCAGGATAATGGTGAAACACCCGACTACTCAGGTGGTCTACCCATGCAAGGACTTACTACAAAACAAGAAAACACCACCTTCATTATTTAGGACTCACGCGCAAATGACTGTCAACTTTAGCCGACCGCTTCTTGACTTTAGGTGCTGGTACAAAATTCGGGTTAATGTAGTCTAAAAATCTGTTCTTCAGGAACCTGATCCGAGAATCACCGATAAAAAGCAGTTTAGAACTGCGGAAACAAGCCCTAGCTGCTCTGCATGCAGAAATGGACAGAATAACACACAGGAAAGAGTGATAGAGATTGGTAATAGCACAACGGCCGCACATATACACCTACGTATAGATCACGTGACAATTGTACAGTAGTTCACATTTACTAGTTGAGGGAAGGGAAAAGGGAAAAGTCTGAAGAAAAAAATTGACTATCACCACCAGGACTCGGACCAGGGACCTTCGCCTGAGGTCAGCGATGTTCTTACCACTGATCTATGGTATGGTGTAGCTGTCATCCCAGCAGAGAGTGCCAGAGACCGTCTATTCTCCAGACTTTGAAACTCACACTTCTTGTGACACTACACAGGCTGGTGGGACGCTTGCCTCACTGTACTACCCTCACACGCCACGCACAAACTAGTACTAGTACGTCGGGACTCGGGAGCACCAAAGTTTCACACATTCCCTAGTTGAGGCAATGGAAAAAGGAGAAATCTGAAGAACGTTTGTTTAATATTTTCAATTATTTTGATTTGGTGTCAGAAGAGGTGAGATGTGGTGCATCTACACCTACGCAAGCACAATCATGTCGCATTAGTAGACGCCTGGCTCCTCTTGCAGTATACCCATCCTGCCATAGCTCATTCATACGTGAATGCTTGAATTAGGACAATCCCTGCATAGGAATGCAATAATTTGACACGTACCCGGGTATAATTTATGCGTGTTAATAGTCCATGGCTAAGCCAGACAGTCATGTAGTGTTTGTTTCACACACACACACACACACATACACACACACACACACACACACACACACACACACACACACACACACACACACACACACGTGCAATAATCCCTTCAAGTATCATGTGATTGCGGGCCCTAGGGTCCGGCGGATTCTGCCGGCAGAAAAATTGGCAGAATTCGGTACTTTTTCTGGTAAGTTTCATGCATGTTTGGTATGTGGATAAAAAATGGAGCAGAATTCGAGGAATTGCCCGCCATAAGGTTTGTATGGTTCTGCCAATTTCACTGCTTTTCGAGCAGAATCTGCCACCTTTTCGAGCAGAATCCGCCGGTCCCTGAAATTTGCGGCAGGAGAGTTTTGCAACATAGTTCTGAATGCCAAGATAACATACTGACTGTCAAAGTGCCTGGGTGTACAGTCCAACTGGTCATGGTGTCCTTCTTTACTGCTACCAACTGTGTACCCTTCAAGTATTTTGTCACACTTGCTCTTGCCTGTATGCAGAGAATTAAGAGAACACACATACACACACCTCAGACCTCAGACCTCAGACCTCAGACGTGCCCATCGCGGAAGCGATTATAGCGAACAGCTATGTTAGACATAGCAACTTGTGCTGGGATTACACCATTCAACAGCTTGCAAGGCTGATGAATTGACCGCCACTATTTTTAGCCTGGTATCCACCACACAGCTGTTTGAAGTGACTTTTTCTGGCCAGTGAATCCCTATTTTTCATTTTTCCTCTTTTTTCTACACACACACACCACACCACATACTCCGGCATACACTGGCTGTTGGTAACCACCCAGGAGAATGAAAGAAAAGTCAGGAAGAGTCCGCACACACACACACACACACACACACACACACACACACACACACACACACACACACACACACACACACACACACACATGCGCCGTAACGCATTATGTTGTTGAGTGTGTAAGGCGTTCACTGCAGAGTGCTTTCATGTCTTCTGTCCTCATGATCACCATCTCGCCTCCTTTATCACTTCCGATGACCACGATATCTTCACGCTCTCGTAGTTTGTTGTTGTTGTTGTCGACTTTTATTTAAAGTCGCAACACAAACAGGCGATGGCGCCATATTTTATACATGTGAGCGACAAAACAAATTTTTGAAATAATAATAGTAATGGGGAGGGGAGGAGGAAAATCACAAGAGAAAGAAGTCCCCGAAGGTAACTGAATATAGCTATGAATAGAATATTATTAAGTGCGCACTCATTACTCCGACACAAAAGGCAAGGTAGGTCAAGACTGCAGAGTTTTCCAATAACGTTTTCTTGCCACAGTCATCAGTTGGAATTACATGTACATCACAATGGTGAATACAAGAGGAACATGTCAATAAATGCAGAAACTGATGTGATGCAGTTAGGTGAAACAGTGCCAATAAAAACTTAGAAGTTGCGACTTCGGCGGTAATAGTCATGAAGTTGACGAAAGCACCACTCCCTGCTCAATACACGGTCGGTGTGTATTGAGCATGGAGTGGTGCTTTCTTGCAGTTTGCCGAGTCGAAGGTGCGACGTGCTCCTCGTGTGCTCCGGATGGCAGTCGTGAGTCAGTCAAGTGTCAAGTTCGGCAAGAAGCGTGTGTTCCTAGTTGGAACAATCAACTTAGTGCCAATAAAGTTGAATTTTAACACTAGCATGATAAAATGGTGCGTGAGGTGACAAACTTTGCTAGAGCCAAGAAACTGGACTAAAACAAACTGAACTGTGAAAATTTCGGAAAGAGTGTTAGTGCACTAGTAGTGACTGTCTGTCTTGCTCATAATGTTCCTCAATTGAACGTGTTAGAAGCTGTATACATTCACCAGCGCACTCCAGATTTATGCACTCAGGTCAGGAGGATACAGTCATTACACACACACACTCTTTCCGTAACTTGCACAGTTCAGTTTGTTTTAGTCCAGTTTCTTAGCTTTGTCACCTCACGCACCACTTTATCATGCTAGTACCGGTATTTAAATTCAACTTTATTGGCACTGTTTCACCTAACTGGACTCGAATGGAGAACCAAGGATAACTTTATAGAAAAGAACAAGGACCAAGGAACTACAAGTACATGTAGTTATAATGTCCACCAACACCACCAATTGCTAAAGCTCGTGCGATAACATTACACGACACTGACCGACGGTACTGACGTTCTACAACTACCTGGCTAACAGCTCTAGCACATCTTGGATGCGCACTGCAACAGCCTTCCAACTTAGTGATAATAATAAGAGGGGAAGGTGAGCACAACCAAGACAAGCACGAGCTGAAAGTCTCAACTGTGGAAGACGTTGGCGGATGTTCAATCATGCATGTCGATGACAATACTGGCAAGACCATTGGACAATACGGTCAAACCACGATTCAAGGACGCAAAGCAACATTCCACACAGGTTGTGTGGCTCAAAGACGCGAACATCAACAAAAGGGGAAGCTATGCGAACAAGGATCATGCAAAACCGAACGCCTCCGCTGGCAGTAAAACAGCATCGCCATCATATTATTGGGCAAGCTTGCCAGTTTGGTATGCAATGTAAAATTAGATACGAACAAAGAACAACAGCAACACTCAACACACACACGCGCGCACACACACACACACACACACACACACACACACACACATACACACATACACAAGCAAAAACGTTCCCACATTTCAGATGATAGAAAAATCAATGCAAATTCTTACCCCTGATCATGGTCTTCCACTGATGTCGCTGTGTGATGAGGTAAGCCATCACATAGACCATAGCCAGTGTTTTCATTAGCTGCAGGAACTTGGTTGGGTGCAGCGGAAACCATTCACGATCACGATTGCGGACTACAACAACCATCTGCTTGACTGGATTAGTGCTTGGAGTGCCTAGAGGGGCTAGGAGACCATGTTTGACAGCTGTCTCACCATCCATCCTTGGTTTAGTCTAGACTATCCCACCACAAAGTTGACAGCTAACAACATTAATTTTAATGCTGGCACTTTTTTAGATCCTGACTGCTGTGCCAGCGGCAGAGTCCTGAGCCAGTAGGCTGTAGAAAGGTGAAGGGCAATTCAAAATAAATCATAACCGATATGAAAATAATGACTATGATGTCCCATTCTCAGTGAAATGAGTGAAATGAGTGATGGGGACAGCAGTATGAACTCAGACAACCCGATGCTGTTCACCGTGTAACCACACAAGCACAAGATACCGATGCTGCAGCTCTACTCACTAACATTAGCTGAAGTAGTAAGTAGGTTACTAAGTATGGCTGAGTAACATACAAGCGTACCACCTGATATCCCAGTGTACCCGAGCCTCTTGTACGGGCACAATGAACACAAGGGCAACCTCAACAGGAAGAAAATGAGCTGAAATGGAGGTAGGGAGCTAACATGACTGTGAAAACAGTCTAATATCGAGGGAGCTAAACGTATGGCGCATGGCTAGCTAGCGTTCAAGTGCAGCCGCCAGGGCAACCGGTGACGCCGGTGGGGAAACATCGTGAGACACGCTTAGGGAACGCGAGCCTGCTATCACCTGCTATACAATTGTGCTTAGAATGCAACCGGCCTCTGGAAAAGGAAGCAAAAGTTATGTGCTCATGCAAGATCCTCAACTAATACTTGGCTGGTTATGCCTACATTTTGATGTCAGAGGCATCGCCTAGCGCCAGTAGCGGTGACAGTGAGAATGTGCCGGTAAATGTCACAAGCAAATGCCTGACATGACGATAGGGGATACTGTAGTACAATAGCTGCCCTCAGACCTCGCTCCGCGTAGTGAGAGGTTGAGCGAAAATCATAGTTGTTCACGCATGCATCGCCGAATTTGTTAGCACCGTACACACTCCCTGCTGCCTGCGCGGGTCTCAAACTTATAATAATAATATTACTCAATCTGCGGACAGCATGCTGTTTCGTTCTTTGTGAACTCATCAGCGCAGCACAGAGGAAATGAGGCCGAACCTGATAGCAATGGAAATAAAAATTTCCAATCAGGCCCGAACGTACCTTGCCAGAGTGCTCAAACTGACAAGTCAGTGAGCTCTGCGTAATGCAAACAGCAAAGGCACTACCCCACATGAAAGTGCTCAACTACTACAAGAGCAGGAGCGAAAATACTATTATTCGGGGGATCCGCGCTAGCATCACTTGAATGTTCAGAAACACTCAAGCTATAGCCTTCGCTTCCGCAGGCCACCACCATGCCTTTTCACCTACAAAATTAATGTAAGTGGCGAATGCAGACCTCACAAGTGAGTCAGGTTGGGACCTAACAATTCGCAAACCGAGCCCGCAGTCACTGGGTCAAAGGGCTGGGAATGAAATGAAATCTATACACAGAGCCGTCCAGAATTCAAGTGGGACTTATCTATCATTGGATTGGGCGGTCGATATGAAAACAAAGTGCTAACAGCAAGAGGACAGTCGTAACTCGGAGTTTTTCACGATAAGACGACCCTCAGACGGCAATGATATTGGCTATGACCAGGGAGTCGTTTATACAACTCTCTGGCTCCGGTGTACACATTCCCTTTTCCCTAGACAACTTTATTATTATTTCTCTATGTCTATTATGTCTCTTTCCCTCAAACCAGTTAATATTTTATTATTATTATTATTTTTTTTATTGGAAAGAAGCCTCTTGTCCGGGCCAATAACACCAAAAAAGCAGATAGATGGGAGCTCAAAAATGGAACGGAAAATAGCAAATAGAATCAAAACTCACGATGGAATCAAACTCACGATGGAATCAAACTCATGATGGAAACTACAACCCAATGAGTTGGAAAACTTATTATTATTATTATTTCGTAATAAGTATTCGCATGCAACGACGCAAATCCACACAATTCAGTAGACACTTCTTTCTATCAAACGTTTTCTTTCCCTTCTCTTCAGGATAGTACAGGGAATGTTGGAAATTTGGAAAAACACATAACTATATAGAAAAATAGAGAAAAAGTCAACACTTCAACATAGGCGATAAAATGACTTAAGTGTGAAAAAAAACTCGAAAACAAAAGCAGCAAGTATTTAGTTGTAGACAAACACGTTGAACACATCAAGAAGCACTTGTCACACTTTCAGGAGGTGTGACACCAAACAACTGCAACGATAACACATTCTCCTTCTGTACACATAGTTCTGGATCTAGTTTACGAATATACAGAGCTTCTAACACAGCAAGATGTAACTTAGACCTTCCACGAGTTAAAACAGAAAAGACATCATCACTATACAACTCACGACAATTAGCACTTCCCGACAAATGACGCTTGATGGACAATGTCCGATCATTTAGCTCTGTCACCTTCGACGTTTGCCGTTGTTCTCTTCCGTTGGGCTTGTTGACACCTCCAACGTCCTTTGAATTCATGGTCGTTTTCGTTTGACTCCTCGGTCTTCCTCGTTTCCTCTTGTTGATCGTTGTTGTCACTTCCAGTACCGACGTATTCAAATCTCCAGTACTTCGTCTCTTCACCTTGCTTCTGGTAACTCTTCCGGTGTCCGTGAGCTCCGGTGTCACATTGGGCGGTTTTCGGGATGGTCTTCCTCGCTTCCTCACGCTAGTCTGAGATGGGTCAAGCTCCCCGCCCGTCGAGGCGGAGGCGCGCATGCGTACATCTACACTGGACGCAGACAAAGGCGTTCCAGTATCGGACTGCACAGCACATTTTGGAGGACGGCCACGACGAGGACGAGTACCACGAGCGTCAACAGGGACAAGACCTAACGGCACATGTTGACGGATGCGTGCGCCCAGGTGTTGAAGGGTTCTACCTACGTACCGATCTTCACATTCTCGGCACTGAAAAAAATAGATAAGGTTGCTTCTACTAAGGGTAGGTAGAACGTCCTTCTTCACACTGAACGCACGCGTCGTTCCAAATACTAAATACAATTTCACGCACGGGTAAGACGAACAGACAATGTTGCGCACCTCCTTCTCGACGCGCGCAGAACCAGCACCCACCCAGGGTAAGCGGAGTACCACGGGGCACCTGTCCGGTCCAAATGGTTTCGGATCAAGCGTCAAGCGTCATTTGTCGGGAAGTGCTAATTGTCGTGAGTTGTATAGTGATGATGTCTTTTCGGTTTTAACTCGTGGAAGGTCTAAGTTACATCTTGCTGTGTTAGAAGCTCTGTATATTCGTAAACTAGATCCAGAACTATGTGTACAGAAGGAGAATGTGTTATCGTTGCAGTTGTTTGGTGTCACACCTCGTGAAAGTGTGACAAGTGCTTCTTGATGTGTTCAACGTGTTTGTCTACAACTAAATACTTGCTGCTTTTGTTTTCGAGTTTTTTTTCACACTTGAGTCATTTTATCGCCTATGTTGAAGTGTTGACTTTTTCTCTATTTTTCTATATAGTTATGTGTTTTTCCAAATTTCCAACATTCCCTGTACTATCCTGAAGAGAAGGGAAAGAAAACGTTTGATAGAAAAAAAGTGTCTACTGAATTGTGTGGATTTGCGTCGTTGCATGCGAATACTTATTACGAAACTGTTTTCCCACCGCCTCCAAACTACTGTTTGAATTATTATTGTTATTATTATTATGTGCTTGTTCGCGTAGACATCAGCATGGCCTGCAGCTGCATTAATGGGCACGCAAATCATGCAAACCAGCCCAAAGTGTTCGCATAAGCCACTTCGAATAGATACAAAAGACCACAACAGTTTCAGAAGAAACGAAGAACAACAGTGACAACAGTGCGCATTTTTCCCAAACTCAAGTATCATAATAAAATCAAGTATCATAATAAAATCAAGTATCATAATAATTATTAAGTCAATATTAATAATAGAGCCGCGCGCTTTCAACTACAGCCTAGCCTAGTACAGGTGTCATCGTTACGTGAGACCACACACGAGCGACGCAAACATGATGCGCCATATCCATAATTATGCACATAGTCAGTGCAATGGCAAGATTGATGGTACAATGTACATGTACATTTTAGTTACCGTCATTGCGTCAGCGCTGGTGCTCCCGGCCAGGGGCATTGCTGCATGCTCCCACCATTAATTTTTATTTTATTTTAATGGAAAACCCGTGACAAACCTTCAGACATGTGAATGTGCACAGTGTTCATGCGTATGTATAGAAGGCAGCACAGAAACGGCAGTGGTGGTGAGGCCTGGGCAGCTCGTCTGACCGTTGGTCTCGGAGTCAACACTGGGCAGACGCACCGGGAGAGAGGGGTATCATTCCTGAAGAATAAGAACGTCTTCCATCTTGTCCATTTCAGGACATTCAGGTCATGGGGGGGGGGGGGGGGGGGTTGAGGCATAATCACAAGTTACTTACTGGCCGCGCTAGCCATGAATGAACTGGATACCATTGATGTCTTTGGTCAGGAGCTAGTATGGCTAAATGTCAAACTGTCAACTGGCCGGCCTGTGTCTATTTGTGCTGCATATCGTCCTGGAACGTGCTCAGACACAGACACCAGCATCTTCGACGTGATCTCATCTGCAAGGGCCTCACCTCCACAGCCTGCCGCAACTCTGCTGTGAGATAGTTGCTGGGGACGTCAATGTACATAACCAAGACTAGAGTGGCTCCACAGTAGCAGAACAACTAGAGCTGGCGAGCATGCAGAAGACATGTGCTACATGCACGGTCTTGAGCAGCTAGTCAACCAACCAACGCGTGACCGCAACACACTGGACCTCATTATATCCGACCTACCCGTAGAATCATTGGTTACTCTTGCCACCTCTTGGCAAATCTGACCATGCCTATCTACTTGCTGACTTCCAGATCCGTGCATCACGCGATCCTCACATATCAAGAACAGTATGGAGGTGTCAGAATGCTGATTGGTCCAGGCTCCGTCACTTCCTCAGAACCACCAATTGGGCAGCTATTGCTCGGACTGATCCAGACCTGTCATGCACTGGCATCTCAGAGAGGATTCTTGAGGGTATGAAGAGATTCATCCCCTCTAAAATTCTGAAAACCCGTGCATCAGATCCTCCATGGTGGACCCCTGAGTGCACTGCAGCCACAGTGAGGAAACAGCGTGCATGGTGGTGCCTGAGAGACAGACGACGATCGGCAGTCAGCGTACCAAGATGCACGGCTCTCAACGATTGCCTGTCTCAAAACTGCCAAGAGTGCTTTCATGACGAAACTGAGACAGAAAATGACCTCAAAGCAGCTGCCACCCAGTGACTGGTGGTGCACCGTCAAGCATGCCTCTGGCAATGGGCATAGTCAATCGGTTCCGACATAACGTGATCCCGATTGACGTGAGTACACAGCCAGTGCATACAAAGCAGAATGCATGGCCCGCTATTTTGCAAGCAAATGCAGTCTCGACCAAGACGACCTGTCAGCCCCATTCCCATTTGTCAGGCCTCGAACTGACCAGGCCCTTTCGGATGTCCGTTTCCGGGTGGCTGCTGTTGAACGCACCCTTCCCCAGCTCAACCCATCAAAGGCAACCGGGCCGGATGGGATACCGGTACGAGTGTCGAAAACCTGCTCTGCTGAATTGGCGCAACCTCTTTCTACATGGTTTACCCAATGCTTCCAAACTGGGATACAGCCCAAGACATGGAAGATTGCCAACATAGTCCCTATATTCAAACGGAAATCAAAGTCTCTACCCTCCAATTACCGTCCAGTTCCGCTCTTGTGTATTCTGACCAAGGTGATGGAGACAATCATCAACAAAATATCACATTCACATTCACAATTCCTCGAGTCGAACAACGTTTTCTCCACAAGACAGTTTGGATTTCGCCATGGTCATAATGCAGCCGACCTACTTACCAGCCTTCACCACCAGTGGCTGCATACAGCCTGGGAGAAAGGCGCAGCACGCATACCCGCCATTGACATAGCCGGTGCGTTTGATCGCGTATCACACCCCGGTGTGCTACACAAGTCCAACGTATACGGCCTACATGGGCAACTGCAACAGTAGCTCAGCAGCCACCTCAGTGAACGCTATCTTCAAGCGGTCATTTGTGGCCAGACATCCTCAAGGCTCCCAATTCAGGCTGGAGTCCCCCAGGGCAGTATTCTGGGTCCGACTCTCTTCCTCATGAACGACTGCGAGGACCACGTACCAGCCGGTGCTGACCTAGCCTGGTTCGCAGTCGACACTACACTGTATGCCATGGCCCAACATCACCCCCACCACCCAAGAAGGTACCACCCAAGCCCTCCAGCTAGCAGTCAACAACATCTCCCTCTGGGGTCAAGAATGGGAGATAAAATTTGAACCAGCCACATCCCAGGCACTGACTGTCAGCTTCCACCGCACACAATGGGACAAGCCACCGATTGATTTCAAGTTTCAACGGATCTAACGTGACGGAACACGAGGACCTCAAAATCTTGGGCATCAGTTTCGATGGTCAGCTTACCTTCCGGCGCCACCTTCGTACCGTAGCCCTCCGGGCAACACAGCGACTTGGCGTTTTGTGTAAGGCTTTCCACCTCTTAGACGTGCCTGGTCGCATCCAAGCCTACAATGCCTTTGTGCGCCCGGTGATGGAGTACTGCCCCATTGTCTGGATGGGAGCGACCCCATCCTATCTTGCAGGACTCAACCGTGTGCAAGCCCGGGCCATCCGAGCCATCGCCCCAATATGTTGGCTGCCGAGTCTTGCTCTTCGTCGGATGGTTGCAGCACTTTGCCTCCTGTACAAGATGCATTGTCCGGATGCACATCCCCTTCTACAGAGGATGTTGCCACCCCAGCAGCCCTAACACGTGTATCATGTGCACATTCACATGTCTGAAGGTTTGTGGTTTTTCAATAAAAAAAAAAAACAAAAACAAAAAACACCGAACAGTCCACTCCACCCGTAGTACGTTTCAGAGATGTAATGCCCACGCACACCAACTGGCAAATGAACTTCCAGTCCGTTCCCGAAACAACCTGTGTCGACCCTACCCTCACGCAGTTTTCCCTGTCTGGAACCAGCTGCCCGCCGGAGTCTTCTCTGGCCAATTCTGCATCAAGAACAAACTGCGTGAGGGTAGGCTCGACACAGGTTGTTTCTGGCACGGACTGGAAGTCTCTTTGCCAGTTGGTGTATAATCTGATTGGTCTGGTCATAATACTGGCGCAAGGTGTGTGCACTGAACTATTGTAACTCTCAAATACTTGTACAAACCACCACCAAAGTAGCAGTGCTGAATGCATGTGGTATGAACCCTTCCAGACAAAACTATCACGAATTAACAGTCAATCACAAGGCGAAAGATAGGTGCACATAATAGGCTGCACTAGAAACTGCACATCACAAAGAATACTGTAGTGGTGAAAAAATGATGACTGTGTGCAATGTAGACGCCAAGTCACAATCAACAAAATCAGTTTGGACGTCTAAAGTCACACCCGAAACGCCCGAAAGTTGTTAACTGCGCGACACATATTCTTCATGGGCCACAAAATAACAGCTGACGGTATGTAGAAAGGAAGGTTGTTGGGGTGAGTGATACTAGATTAGAAACTGTGATCTATTAGAAGTATAACATGTATTATACCTGCAGAGTGGGCGCCTGACAGACAATACTCGTTCCAGCAGAGCATATACTCCGTCCTCATGTCCAGATGGATTCCAGTAACAAACCAAATACCAGTGGTGATAATATATTAATAGTATTGAAGGATTCGCAAACCCCATTGCAGCCACTTCCCATAACTTTTCGCAATCCGAACACTCACACACGGTCTCGCCGCTGCATTTTTCTAAATTTGAAAATCCTTTCTTATTGTAATCAAGCAAGCAGAATGGATTTGAAGACTCAATACCAACTGCATTCATGGTTGAATCAGATCGCGTGGTAAAATAAATAATTATGTATTTAAGTAGTATATATGTCCCTCAAACCGGTAAAGTAGTATTCGCAGCTATTCATTCTCCTGAGCTGTGACGCCATTCATGACGCTCACTAACATTTGTGTACACTCAGCCACAGTGTGTGATACCAGTACAAAGATGGTTGTGACGATGCAGATGTTGAGAATTGGATTACCCTCAACCAGGACAAGTAGACTACGTGTATCATTAGCCAGCAGGACATGATACTGGGCGATGAAAAGCTGCAGTGGAAAGAAGACGAATCAGGCAAGAATCAAATTGCATATCAGCGCACACATGTCGCCAAACAGCCCAACTGCAAAGACATCGTTTGCAATCAACAAGATCCATGTGTTCCAGTGCAAGCAGTCAGAGTTTCAAACGTTTGGCATCCTGAGCAAGTTCACACATGACAGTACTATAATAATTATATATAATATTATAATATAATAATTATAATACTGTCATGTGTCAATATTATTGTGATCCTGTTATTGATGAAATGATTTTTTCGATCCTGTGATGATGGTCATGAGGTCAGGTATTGATTTTCCTCATTGTAATTTCAAATCAATGCAAAGCCTCTTTTGGAATCTTTAAAAAAAGTATTCCAATTACTGTAAAACCAGTTCGGTGGTGTCATATGTTTGGTACTTCCCAAAATCAACGGTTGGGTAGCGCAAAAATTTCGGTAAACCAAGTTTCCCCGCACTTCAATCGGCATGCTCGTACGTATATTTTCAGTGCATTTTATTTTAGGTAAAAATTACCTGTACCGAAGCGACCGATAGTATAACTCCACCGAAATTGTCCGGTTTCACAGTACACACACCGGAAGCAAAGGTCTGTAAGTATTCTGAGTACGTACTTTGGCTGTACCATGATCATCTAGAATTCACCACAATAACACCGTGCCAGGCATTTGATTCCAGTTTTTCATTCATTCATTTATTCCACGTCCCATAGCATGTAATTGCCAATCAAAGGGGAGGAGGTGAGTGCCAACCACGGCCGAGAAACGTAAAGAAATATAAATAGAGAGAAAAGAGGGAGAATGTAGAAGAAAAAGAAAAGGTAACTAGGAGGGGACTATTGAAGTGCTGAAAGCTGGGCGTTAAAGTCTCTGAGGCATGATGCGAGCTTAGCGGCATAAGAAAGACGAAGCCATGCCAAGAAGGCAGGAAACAGAGGTGAATTTCAAGCAACTTGGCTGTTCGTGCTAGGGGTAGGATGAGCGAATTCCATGTTCTAGAGGAGACGAAGAACCAGTTATAGCGGCTAAGATGCGGGGTGGAGGCACAGTTTAATCAATTTTGTATTATTACAGGTCAGCTTACCTCCAAAGAGTAGATTCCCACCCAGTCAAAGAACTGACTGTAATGCTTGCGTAGTGGTTCCCACTTGTTACGCACCAGAACAAATCCTATGAGCTGTGGAGGTTTGGGCAAAAATGGAAAACATTGAACTTTGGTACACCTGCTGAGCAATACTAGCATACATTACCACTGTGTATGTATTTTATCAGAGCACGACAATGGCCAGCCTCATACAACATGGATAATGCTCACTTTGACAATTCCAATCAACCACATCACCGATATGCATGTTAGTATCGATATTCAGTTGTTACTTACCATGATTGGTGATAGGTAGGTATGTAGAAGATTACACTCTGGTTTACTAGTACAGTTTGTTGCCATCATTCCACAGTACACTGCCTGTACAGGAGAATAGGGGTATCATGGAGGTGAAACAACTCACTTGATACAGCATTGACATCAGTTAACACATTCAAAGTTCACTATCATATTAGTGTGCAACACTGACGAAGTGTGACAGTCATAGTATGTCATAATCTCTTATCTAATGGTGCCTATGCGGCGTATGCCTTCGTGTGAACTATGTTCCACAAATTGCCATAATACGGCAATTTGTGGAACATAGTTCACATGAAGGCATAGGAATTATTTGAATTAAAATGCATCATTTCAGTCGAATTACCAGACTGTAGTCCATTGGATGTCATTTTAATGTAGTCAGCATGTGTTCCTGAAGATGGGCCTTGCTTGCCAAAAATTCGAATGATTTATAATTATATTATCTCTCTTTTTTATTTTAGTGATTAGTGTAGCCCAGAGACCATTTGGAGAGTGTCGTGAAGATGTACCATATTTTTCGGGTTGTAAGTCGACCTTTTACGACTTAAAATAGAAGGAGAAAGGGTGGGGGTCGACTTACAACCGGGATTCGACTTATAACCGGGAACTATCAGTATCTTACAAAAAATGACCTGCACTGCATGCACGAGTGCACCATGTTTATACATTTTTGCCAGTTTATTGGCCTTCTTCAAGGATTGGGACGTTATATCCTCCAATAAGGAATGTTTACATGATTTGTTGATGATGTGTTAGTAGCAGGAGGTGGTTAGTAGTGCTTCTTTGGGTGAAAACTTTAAAACGCAGAATTGAGACCTCCAGATAGGGGGGGGGGGGGGTCGACTTATAACCGGGGTCGACTTACAACCGGTAAAATACGGTATGGGTATAGTGGTACAGTGCAGTCTTCTCGCTTTGAGAAAAGCATGTGTTCCAGTGAATCTGAGTACAAGCAAGTAGTGCATACCAATGTCAAGGCTGAAAGTGTGGTCATCAAGTTTCTACCAACACTCCTTGAACATATCCACCCATTGATTTGTGGGAATCGATGTAGCATTACGGCACAGAGGATACCCAATGGCACAGCCAGGATGTCTAGTCCAAAACGAAATGTCCACTCGTGTAGGGAGTTGTCATCATCCAGGAAGAGTTGGGAGAGCGGAGGGAAGGATATTATCCAGTTCAACATATCCTGTGTACAACAGAATGATGAACTGTCAAACACAGTACTAGTACAAGCCTGCATATTTATCCACATTTGACCAATCAGATTATACCTGAAGAGTCAAGCTAGAACTTGTCCTATCAGGTGCGGCAAGTTCAGTACTGTTTTTGCTATCAAATAATTGTTTTATATTGGTAAAAAGTGATTGTACTGCATAATAATGATTATCATTGTTGCTTGGCCTTCCTTCATGGTGCGGTTTTCCGCAAAACATAACGTACTTTGTACAGTGCATGTACAGTGTAAAGCCAGAGTATTATTGGCAGCAGATTGACTCACTCAGATAACTGTTTCAAAGCCAGAGATCATCAGTACCCGGCATGTTGATTTTCTTCAGTATGACCATACTACATGAATGTGAGCTTTCAATGTCCATAACTGTGGCACTATCTTGACAAGGCAAGGCATGCAAACTAAATAGCATCCCTTACAGGATGATGGTAAAGTGTACTGCATCCGTACTCACGGGTTGTATCCGGTATAAGGCGAAGACGATAGTGAAACAGATTGCCTTGAGCACCTGCATCCATGGTGATTTGTTCTGATCCCATGCTGAGTAAACGGGTTAGCACAAAAATATATATTCTCTTCTAGCAGTTGTCCCGTGCGAGCCGCATTTGAAGGCCCCACATTGTGTAAATACAGCTTTAGAGGAATATTCTTATCATTCGTATCGTGATAACCCTGTGCGATACTGGATAAGGGTTACAGTGACGAAAAAGGGTATGATCACGTCTTCCAGTCTATCACATTTTTCTCATTCTCGAAAGGGTGCGAGGGGGGGGGGGGGGGTAATAGGTTCACTACAGCTTCAGCCATTGCCACACATCCGAAGTTCATGGTCACATTCACCACAATCATATCTTTGAGTAGTCTGCTCATTTTCGTAGACTAAAAAAGAGTAGTCGCTGCTGATCATGAATCTGCTATAGACTTAGGGGTACCAGTGTCCGACCCATCCAAGTGAATTTGAAGCAAAATATCCACCTTTTTCACCTTTCCGGGGAAAATGAGATTCGGACTAAAACAGTCCCGAACCTACTAAACTTCTGTTCATTGAATAATATACTCACCAACTGGAGGTATGGCAGCAACCAGTAGTACTAGTAAATAACATGCTGAGATCAGTGGTACAAAATAGTAGTGAAGATACGGTACATCCATAGTCAAGCACAGTAGAACGGTGTAGAGATTTAGACGGAACAGGACCTCAGCTACACGAGACCAACTGCTTGCTCCACGCTTCAAACCATACGTGTAATGTCCATAGGCGCTTAGGAAGATGTACATTGCTACAATCAGTCGAACTACATAGTACAGACCAAGAACCTGCAGGAAAGAAGACAGCCCAGCACATACAAAACGGATTGAATTACTAAAGAACTACTAATTTTTCTTTAATTACTAAAATACTAAATTTGTGATGAAGTTCAAAGGCAGGACATTAACATAAGTACTGTCACTGGGACCTTTATAACGTTATTCCGCACAACGTATCTAGTCATCATATCCATGTGACCGGCATAAAAAAAAGAAGTAAATTATCGTATCCGTTCCCGAAGGGAACTCACAACGGCCGCTAACACCCGATAAACCCTAGCGTGACCAGCATAGGTAAATGTGAACGTCTAGGTATAGATAGAGTTTCTCAATACACGGTGACTTATTGCTTGATTGGGAACAGTCATGTCTAAACAAACGTGTCCTGAATGTTGAGTTGTCCTATGTCGAAAGGTTTGCTTTTTTTTAAAAGAAATGGAGGTTTTCCTCAGGGAGTAGTAAAATACCATACCACTGCTTGGCTTTAATTCACCTACTCTAAACTCCGTGGCCATGCCTCAGATCTGACAGCATTATACTCAAATACTTGGTTATCAACTAGTACATGTGCAGCAGATGGCAAGAATCAGAGGCCATGGGAGAGCAGTATGCAAGCATAGGTGGTAGTGGACCATCGGTACAAGCATAGGTAGTAGTGCACAGTGCCAGTGATGCTTATTCTCCGGGTTTGCAGGTTGCATGGTTCAGAACATGCCCAGGAAGCCAGTGATTTAGATTATTTGTGTGCCATACACTGCTGAACTGCCGTGGGAAGATACCTGCCATATAGAGTCCAGAAAGCTGCCAATAAGGGAGAACACCGTATAATACACCCTCCGCTATGCCGCTGGAACTTGGGAGTATACAGCAAATCTGATCAAGTTATTACCCTCTAGCAGTCCAGAACATTGATCTTTATAGACGGGTGGTCTTTCAGAGCAGGGCCACCTGTGTGTAGAAGTATGGTTTGAAGGTTCTTGACACAATTGTCCTCTAATAGTCAGTGTTCCTTTAGAGCCGTTGTTGATCACAGTTTTACACAGTCATGCTTTAGAGCACCTACGTTTTAGTACATAGATGTTTGTCAGTGCAAGGCGATCAGATACTATTATCTGCTTACAGAACTGTCAACATGACCTACCTTGCTACCACCTGTGTAATGATACACCAGCAATACTAGCTGCATCCATCCTCGTGTTTCACAGGTTTGCTGACGGTTTAGAACAGAAGCATCTTTGACTGGTTGGTACGTCACAAAGCCAAGAATTCCTAAAATTGCCAATGGAACAGCAAATGATGTCCAGTTGAAATGTTTCTCCTCTTTCGTGAATACTGGTGTCCTGTCAGCTAAGTAGGTATAGAGAAGCACTATTCCAAGCAATGTGATGCAGTGACAGATCATCACAACAGGTGACGCAACGTGCTGTTGACCTGTAATACGCACATGCACACATGAGAGAGAGAGAAACAGTAATGTACAGAAGATGCACAAGTACAATTGAAGGTGCTCGAATCTTAACCTGGACATTGTGAGGGCATCTCTCCTTCCTCCTTTCGCAAAGCATACTGATGATGATTCATTGTGAACAGTACAGGTTAACACTGCAGTGCTTGTAATTGTACATGTATACTTATTTAGTAAAAAACCAATAGCTGCCATAAACTGATACATGTATTATGTTAAACTCTGAATGCAGTCAATCCCCTATACACAGTCAATCCCCTATATGCAGTCAATCCCTCATATGCAGTCAATCCCCTATATGCAGTCAATCCCCTATAAGCACTCAATCCCCTATAGTATTCAAATTCCCTGATAATACATTTCCCATAACACATTTCCGATGACGACTGAAACAAGGCTTACCTGCGATAGAACTCTGACACAATGACCCAAGTAAAGGACATGAGCGTCGGCTCCTGTACCAGAGTCCCCAGAACGATATGACAGTACTGGAATAGATACATGCACAAACAGTATTGCAACCGTAAACGTGAATTCATAGCAACCGTAAACGTGTATTCATAGCAACCGTAAACGTGTATTCATAGCAACCGTAAAATGTCATAAGGGAGTACACGCAGAACAGCCACCACCAGCAACACGGGAAGTGAACTGACTGTTGCTGCAAAGGTGAGTTCAGTGCATGTGGATCACTATCGAGCTCGAGGAAAGCAATTCATTGCACACAGTCACCTTGCTGCACTCACTATCCAATACAGAAGTAAGTGAAGTACGCATAGCAGATTTACTGCTAGGGTCTAGGCATTGGAACAAATGTGCCAACGGGCACATTTCAAATTCATTCCTTCATTTTCACCTGACTAGTACATCTCGTATCCATGGTAACTAACCTGCATACAAATATAACCAGTAGCACAACCTGTGGAGCAGTGATTGAGTGAAGTAACCCTTGGCAACAGGTCTTCCTGTCAGTTACCGGTAGTCGTGAGTTGCAGTGGATATTCAGGATGGTTTGGACGGTCTGTACATGTGGTACCATACAATGCAGAACGAAACAATGTTGTATACTAGTGTGTAAAACTCGGATGTGGAGCCAATAATAAATGTAGAAAGGGAAAGGACATAAGTATATAATATTACCTGAAGCCGAGTGAATATGGGCGAATATTCATTAGCCCCTGCACCCGTCAACATGCAAGCACCTCCAAGTGCACCCGCACGCCCAGCTTGGGCACTCGTGCACTCATGCAGACAGACGCACGCGCACACATGCACGCACACGCCACTGGTGTACCCATGCTCTGACACGCAGACACCCGCACAACGTACCGCTCACAATGGCGTGCACAAACATACAATAGACACATTGGGTTGGGGGTTGCCATGATTTCTTTTGGACAATTCAAATATGCAAGAATATGCTCTTTGATAATAATTGATTGAGTAAAGATGCATGCCTGAAACTAGCATCCGCCCGCCAAGGGCGCACAAATGGCCACCGCGGCCCGCCGCGGGCTAAACTAGCATACTGCCCACCGAGGGCGCCCGAATGGCTAAACTAGCCTACTGCCCACCGAGGGCGCGCAAATGGCCGCCGAGGCCAGCAAACCGCCCGCCGAGGGCTAAACTAGCATACTGCCCACCGAGGGCGCACACATGGCCGCCGAGGCCAGCAAACCGCCCGCCGAGGGGTAAACTAGTATACTGCCCACCGAGGGCGCTCAAATGGCCGCCGCGGCCAGCAAACCGCCCGTCGAGGGCTAAACCAGCAGACAACCCATCGAGGGTGCGCAAATTGCCACCGAGGCAAGCAAACTGCCCACCGTGGGCCGATATCATCTTGCCCGCCGAGGGCACACAAACGGCCACCGAGGCCAGCCAATCGCCCACCGAGGGCTCACACGACTGCCTGGCATCAGGCGTCACAACATAGACATAATAGGAGGCCCGTTTGCCCCCCCCCCCAACCGGAGAAACAAAATGCCCCTTCAAAAGGGGTGGGAGGGAGGGAAAAAACTTTGACTTGACGCCGAAACTGCAACTGCAAAGAACGCTCCTTCGCACAAAGACAGCTCAGCAAAACACGTCTCCAAATAATTAGACGCCGGATCCACGATTGTCCATAAAATTTTGCCAGGCCACACACGGCTTAATCACGAGGTGGTCACATGACACGCACTCGCAGCACTCCACCACCAGCATGCGTGTGCATGGGCTAACTAGGCTTTGCTGCGCAAAGCCCACATCTAGTATACAAACCGAGGCGAAGCCGAGGTTTGTATAACTAGTGAATATTTGCCCATATTCACGAGGCTGAAGGTAATATTAGACTTATACCTCTCCATATTCACCCTCTCGTCCCTAAAACCCAACAAACCAGTCCTGTTGGTCATACATGTACATGTACACAGAACTAACGTAAGTCGTTGTTGCTTCACTGAGCCTTAAGACCGACTGGCGTGTTCTTGCCTGAATCGGAGGGCGGCGTGTTCAGAATCTTGTTCAATCGATCGTGTACACGTACTGGTGCATGTGGCATGGGAGGTGACGACCTTGGAGAACACGCTCGGGCCAATCACCATGGGGAACACGCTCGTGCAGCTTTGTGGCGGAAGCCAATCATTAGAGAGGTTTCGTTTCACGCGAAGATTTGACCAATCAGAGAGAGGTTTCGTTTTGGCGAAGATCTGACCAATCAGAGAGAGGTTTCGTTTCACGCGAAGATTTGACCAATCCGCGACCATCGCGCCAATTCGGTAGTCGGTTTATAACAGCGAGCCAAGCGGTTCTACTCTCACTTCTTTTCCTTTTAGGCAGCGCTTCGGAGCTGTTGTGTGCCCTAGGAAAATTCTACGCTAACGTCCTTGAACAGGGCTGTTCTGAGTACAAACGAAATTCCTGGCTTGCCGCTTGATCCACAATCATCGGGCCATTGACATGTTGAGCGTCCAAAACCTTGTTTTCTCGCTGAAACGCTCCGTCTGTGAAGATGCTCACTGTCAGCACCTGGTCACATGCGGATCCAGCGGCAATGGCAAGCAAGGAATTATTTCGTTTGTACTCAGAAAAGTCCTGTCTAAGGAAGTTAGCATAGACATTTTCTAGGGCACTCGACAGCTCCGGTGCGCTGACTGAAGAGGAATCAAGCGCAGCACCGAGTACTGCTCTCTTTACAGTACAATGTCAGTATCGAAAGTGGTGAATATAAGCGGTGAATATTCAGCAATATTCACCACTTATGTAGATGGCCAATTGTATGTGGGTGAATATGGAGTGAGGTATAATTATCGATACGAGTTAAGAGTGACTGTCCACCATTGTAAACATTTAATAGTTGTTACGCTTTCTGACTGTATATCGTATCTAGTTACAGTGGTGGACAGTTACTCTTAACTCGTATCCATACTTTCTTTTCCTTGCTACTAGTGCATGAGTGTGTATTTAAAAATTGAAAACATGGAAAACAGTGGGGCACAAGTTATGCACTAGAGTCTACAAACTAAACAAGATTTTGGACAGTCGGCCTTGCACAATTTTGCACCAGAATTACTGAGACATACCACATCTCACGTGCCCCACTGTTTTCCCTGTTTTCAATTTTTCCTTCGCTCACCATCCGAGTTCGTATTAGTGTGTATTTGTATGGGGGGGGGCACTTTAACCAGCCTTGTATGGGGTAATGTATACATGTACGCACTTCTTGAATTATTCAATGACGTCCCTCATAACCATGCTGTAGTATCTCTCTCAGGGTTGGTAAAATGTTGCATCATGATCACCGCATTGGACTATGTGTGGTCTCTCAAGAGGCGGTGTCGCGTCTGACTGACTCAGCGGTTGTTTCGACAATCAAGGGCACCACCGATAATTTGCAAATCCCAAATAGTATCCAGAAGAGTGAAACGTCATCGGGCAAGCAAACTCAACTGACCTTGTCATTAGCATCATCAGTGTAATGCGCACCGTCGGTGAGCAGTGGTGCATGACCGGGACTGAACATAAACATGCCGGGGGTTCTGAAGCGCCGCCTGAACAGAGTAGACATACATGTAGATACAGTCGCAGCAGTATTTACTACACTGTATCATCTAGCCATTTAATTTGTCTAAGCCTTCACTCTCACTCTCAACATAGCAAGGATAGAAAGTTAGAAACAAATTCTATTGTACATCTATTATCATTGATGCATCTCATTTCAGCCCGCAGTGTATCCTCGATTCACTGGCCAGAGATTCTTACATTGATACCAAGTTTCATTCCATGCAATAGGACACCCAGTGTTGGTTTCAGACCTGCTGGTTTCCTATACTCCTACATGTGTTAGCTCCTGGACAAGTACTCACCAAATACTATCGACAGCATCATTGAGCATTTGGATACGTGCGTTGGTGATGTTCTTCCTGCTTGGCCAGAGCAACGATTCATTGACAAATGCTGCACAGTCAGCAAGTTGATAGAAATTGGCAGAAACTCGCATACTTTTCAAGATTGGTAAATCTATCATTTTCAACTTGTGACCCATATTCCTCAAAACCCATCTCCTCTACCCCATATTGGCAAAAACAGGAGTTTCATGGGAAGCCAGTATTTGCAGCAGTCGTGTGAAAGTAGCGGTTAAATGCTCCGACTATCACGCAAGACATAACTTGTCAAAATATGTTTGTATACATGTAACTGCCAGTGCTCAGTGCAAAGAATAAGATTTCAAAAGTTTTTCACTGACAGAGCAACTATTCAGTTCATGAGCTAGAGGTATACTTGAAGCTACCAGAACAATCACACTCACTTCAACTACCACGAGGAAAACAAAAGACCATGATGGCAGCTTCTATGGAGTTCTGCAGAATAAAAGCATCTGCTTGACACTATTAATTTTTGTGAGTGAAAATACGTTTTTTGCACTTTTTCGCTATAATTATGCTCATCTTTGAAAAAAAACTAGCGTGTTACTTTATCGCAATTCATTACATGTACATGACATTGTACAGGTCAGTGTGTCAGTATTGATACTTCAGACAAAACAACATAATACCTTTTCTTCACTGACACTCCCGCTGCTGACGACTCACCTTGCTGTACCCACACCAAGTTGGTATCTGATTCGCGCACCATTGATGACAGCAGGCGAAGTACAGATTCCGTGTCGGCTGCAAGGACAAAATGTCACAGTGAGTTTCCTGATGGGACTGTCAAAGTTAAAACAAACTTGAATGAAACGAATGGAGACTGCATTTGACGACTTGTACAATAATCCAGTTTTCAAACAAAATATTTTGTTCCCGGGTAAAAGTTCAAGCCCAAGCACAGATTCGTCGTTGGCTGCAATGACACAGTCAGTGTAACAGTGAGTATGGAACCATTATATTAACAGCACGGACATGTGATTTTCATTGAGGCACAAGCAGTGGCTGTGGAGGCACAGAGGTCCGCCAGAAGAAAAATCAGAGAGCCCATTGAGATTCGGGAGCGTCATTCCGGAATCTACTTCGTATGGCGACTGAAGCCACACAAAGATTTTGTTATATACCCACCACATGACTTCTAGTTGTCTGTGTATACATGCAAATTTACGCCCTCGCTTTTACACCGCTATTGTGTGGCAATGTTGTTGTGTGCTTGTACATGCAAATACATACACTCCCGCTTGCTTTCACAGTGCTATTTAAAGCCCGTCCAATGTTTCCGAATGACGTGAGTGTACGTGTTTGGCATACCCTTGTACTTGTCCAGTCCGTCCAATGATGGGTCCTCTAGTATTGACCACTGCAGGCAAGAACACAAACCGAGAAAATGAGCATCCTGCGCTGACTTCCAGATAGTACAAACATGTGGTGTTGCAAATATAGGTCAAGTAATTTGTAGGCAGATTACTATTATACTACAAGAATGGCACACAAAATGGTTTCTTGCAAGATGATAATTCAAGCATGTTGTGTTATTACTGAAGGAGTTCTTTCAAGTGAGGTTCTGGCAAACTCACCAATGCTGCCCCGGCCACAATCAAGTCCACACTGTCCAATGGATTCTGCATGGGCGGACACAGAAGATAGGAACATAATTTATAACTACACAGAAGATACTGCCATATCCACGAGAAACAACGACAGCATCATCATCACAGTAATGTTCGGATATTCACCGATAATGTCATGATATGCACAACCAGTTGCAACGTGGCAATCCGATCAACCTTATCCTGTCAGTCACAGTGTTCGGAGTTGCCACCTTTCCAGGTAACAAAGGGTTGATTCTCAACGCCCGGAAACACAACTTTTTAGAATCTCTCGGAGAAGGTGAGATAGACTGAAACTCGCTGTGACACGCAATGGTACTCCCCTGGCTCAAACAAGCGCAGCCAAATACCTGGTCATTCATCTGAACGAGCATACACGTTATATCAGTGCCAAATCCCAGTGTTCAATGAACCCTAGGGTAGCCCTATGATACACTATTACGAAGCTCAACTGTACATATTATAGCTCGATTCGTCATAATTATTCTTGTAACTGATCTGACACAACTCACCGATTGCAAATATCTTAAGAAGAGCAACCATGACTCGCCAACAAATGGGCCCCAAATAAAGTCCTGGCAGTGCACAGTGGTTCGTAGGCATGAGCACACAATACACATAACACACACACACACACACACACAGCACGCAGCCCACAGGGCCACAGCATGTAGCACACAGTACACAGCCAAATTCATTATTAAATTTTGTGAAAGATAGGAATAGGAAGTGGTTTCAGAGCAGACCGCTCTTTCCCAACATTATCGAACTCTTTTATCGATCAGTTATTACACATAATAAGAACTGCTTGATAAAAGACCATGATCGAGAAACAGAGGGTACCAGGTTCAAGGCTCCTTCGAAGCGGAAGGATTTTTTCCAGCCGTGCTGCGACCCACAGTTAATTGGGAACTCATGGCCTGGCACGAGGAAAACATGGATGAAGTGAATGGGATTTTCGGTCTTTGACCACTTGCCGGTGAGCTGATCTACTCACTTCCCATCGCTCTAGTTTAGGAGCTGCATCTGGGCCTTGATCCTTGAAGGGTGGTGGCGTTCCTACGGATGCGGAAAACTCGCCCTCTAGCCGAGTCTGACGCGAACTGTGAGTTTTTTGATAAAATAGTTCACTATTGTTGCAGAGTGGATGGGAAAGAGCCGTCTTCTCTAACCTACTTCCTATGAATGAAGCTGCAGGAAGGCTCACCACTGCTACTAACGTTAGAAAGATATGAATGCTGCAAAACAGCATTAGGCAGGCATAGTGGGATGGCTCAAGACCATGACTGAGAAACAGAGGGCGTCAGGTTCAAACTCATCCTGCTTGGAAGCCGAATGGGATTTACGGTTTTTGACCACTTGGTGGTGGGTCGGATCTACTCACCTGGTCCAACTGCTTTAGGAGCTGCAGCTGCACCTGGATCCTCAAAGGTAACTGTGGCATTCTTCCTGGAAAATTCAGCAAGACTGGGTCTATATCAAAAAGTATTCTTTCTAGACCAAAGAGTGGTATATTTGATAACATTTAATAACGATAGAAATTTTTACGATACTTCTCCATTTCTCTTTACTTAATTCGGCACGCAGCCGGGTCCCAGTAGTAGTGTACCGTCTGGTTGTTCTCGGGATTCTGTTAGTCTCTTGAATTTCTGCTTCAAGGATGATTTCCATTTTGTCTTGCTGGCATGGGCTGCTGCGTTGACCAGATCATTTAGTCGCTGGTATTGGTCGCTTCTCCGGTGCATGGATGCCTGCAGCTTGTTGGCCTTTGATTTCGAGGCGTGGATGGCATGGTATTCCACGCGTATGAGTTGTCCGAGTATTCGTTTTTCGGTTTCGCGTTGATATCGTTGTGTATAAGCCAGGTTCTTGATGGCTGTTGGGAAGCGGATTGAGTTGTGTGTAGACTGGGTCTTCTGTAAACCACATGTACAGCATGGTGCATTAACTGTACCCTGACGCTGTGTTTCATCAAGAGGTTGCCATTTATACAAGTATCCCTTTCTTCTTTTCAATTGTCCATTTGCCCAGTGTGACACTGACGTACTTTCATGCAAATCCAAACTGCTTTGGGCTAAACTCTGCAAGACAGTCTCACACAGAGGCAAGCGACTAGAAATTCATGCACACCGATCCTTACGCGGTAGTTCCACTCACCACATGTATTGGAGGGTCCTTCATAGTTATTGTCTTGTTCGTGTGCTGTACAACAAATATCAGATGACAATACATGTGACATGTGTGCGTAGTTTTCTTTAGCCTGTGTGTGCTTTACATCATACAAGTATATTAAAGGTTTGCACAAATTAGAAAGACATTCTATATTTAAAAGCTAGGTCTTGCTCAATAGAAGCCACAAAAGTAAAGAGACTATTTCAATTGAAGAATGGACTTGTCCTCTGTGCATTTCAGCTAGAATATCAGTCTCACTATCAGACATGTGGACGGAGTGGAATAATCGCTTCCTGCAGGTGCTTGACACTCATGCACCTCTTAGATCTTGTAAGCAACACAAGCGACGATCGGTACCGTGGATGAACAGCCAGCTCTTGCACCTTTTGAGTAAGCGCAACCGGCTTCATAGAAAGTGGCTGTCAGACAGATCTCAGCAAATGTACGCCACATTCAAAGCGGCGAGAAGGGAGGCGGCCACTACCTGTAACCGGAAGCTGAAAGAAGCGTACTACAGTACAAAATTTCAGCGTGCAACTTGTAATGCAAAACAAGCCTGGCGAATCATCAACCAGTTGACGGGGAAACAAAGAAAATCGGCACAGCTTCAGTGCTCAGCTGAGGCAATTCGAAGTGCTTTCGCCAAGATCGTGGAAGATCCCAGCCGCCCAGTTCATCTTCACCTACCCCAAGGGCCACGAACGGCAACTAGTTTTGTGGAATTTGTTCCTGTATCTATTGCAAAAGTCCGGAAGCTTCTAGAGCAACAGAATCCGACGAAGGCAACTGGCAGTGACGGCATCCCTGCATCCCTTCTTCGAGCTCATGCAGATGTTCTTGCGCCGTCATTGGCCTTACTGTTCAACAAATCCATGAGGGAGGGACATTTCCCAGCTCCTATGAAGGTGGCCAGCATTGCACCTCTGTTTAAAGGTGGAGATCCCAGCATAGCAAAGAATCACAGACCCGTGTCTCTAATGTCGATAGTTTCAAAGCTTTTGGAGCGAGTCATCCATGATCAGCTCACTCAGTACTTGTGCCGACATGATCTATTTCCACCAACTCAGTTCGGCTATCGTTCACATCATTCCACATGTGATGCCCTTGTATTAGCCGTTGAGGGCATATGCCAAGCCCAGACAAAAAAGTACTTCACGGGGATTGCTTTCGTAGATATGTCAAAAGCATTTGATAAGGTGAAGCACCAAACTCTTATTCAGGACCTATTCGAGGTCGGAATCGGTGGAACGGTGCTGCAATGGCTTGCAGACTACCTCTCAGATCGGACACAGTATGTCAAAGTTGGTCAGGTACAGAGCTCACCATACACCAGCTTCTCCGGAGTACCACAGGGGTCAGTTCTCGGGCCTCTGTTGTTTGTTCTCTATGTCCGTGACATTGCGAAAGAGCTGTCTCCTTACAAAGTCGCGACCCTACGATATATCAATTAGATCTAGCGGCATGAGCACGGGTGAGGTGTCCCAAAATCTCTCAAGTGCTGTCCAGCACCTCGCCGATTGCCTTAGGAACCGCGGTCTCATCTTGAATGAAACGAAGACACAGATCATGCCGATATCGCCAGTACGATCCCAAACATTTGACTTGCAAGTGCAATGGACTGCCTCCGCCAACTGTTCGCTCTGCGAAATATTTAGGTCTCCACTTTGATGCGGACATGAGCTGGAACACCATGGTCGACCACGTCGCAAGGGGCGTCGCGTCAAAAGCTGGCGTGCTCAGACGGTACGCTACATTCCTGCCTTTTCAATGTCGCATAGCCTATTTTCGTTCTTTCATTTTATCACACTTTATGTATGCCGCTTCTGCTTACTTACCATTTCTCACGGCATATCAAAATTGACGGGTGAATGGACTCTTCAAGCGTGCTGTACGCACAGTCTGCAGGGTACCTCCGGGGACACCCACAAGCAATATTCTTACACGCATGAACATCCAAACATTGACCACATACGCCAACATGCACCTTCTGGTTTTTATCTGGCGTTGTCTCCATGACTCCTCTAACATCAGTATGTTGTTCGCTAACGTTTTCAGCCGCAGTAATTCCACTCAAACTCGTGGTGGGCACAGCAATTTACTGATTGTCCCAGCCAGCCCAACTGCATACCTTGCCAAACGTGTTACCTATGCTGGGACCATCTTATGGAACCAGCTCCCCGCTGCGGTCAGGCAAGAAAGAAAACGCAATCGCTTTAAGTCAATGGCTCTTGCCTTTTTGCTTACCAGATAAATAAGCCTCTTTATAAATGCTGTATGCACTGCTCTTTCTGTTATTTTCTTCCTATGCAAGTCGCAACTCCTGTTTTGAGTTGTTTTTCTGCTCTCCTTTTCTTTACCTACCAGTTGCTGTCACACTCACTGATCCTTATGCACAGATACACAGCATTCCCTCACTAGTGGGACCATTGTTATTAGGCTAGGGCCTGTTTTGGACTTCCACTCTAAATAAAGAATACAAACAAACTCTGATCACGAGGAGACGCCTGGCTAGCCAGGACCATAAGCAATGATATTAATGTTGACATTAGCGGTAAATGTTCACGTGTCTGATAAAGATTTCAATGGCAAGTACTAGGAGCTACCTCATCTGCCTCAACTTCCCCTCCCCCCCCCCCCCCCCCCCCGTCTGATCCTACCACGTATGTGGACTCTCCCCCTCTACAAACACACACATGCAAACACACACACAAACACCTACATGTACATGTAGGAGCGCACACACCTTTCTTCCCCGCCCTCCCCTCCCCCCCCCCCCCCAAATCACATGTAATAATCCGATGGAGCATGTCTCTATTTTTCATGACTGCTCAGGTGGTACATCTGGATACGCACAGCTTTACAACGACCCTAACAAGACAGTGTAACCTGCATTATAAGTTAAAACTCACATTCGGGTGTACTTTGGGTTTAACAGCACTCTTCCAAATCTCTCGTTTTGAATCCAGGTTAATGGAGTGTAGCACAAACTTATCCGCCAGTGCCCGAATCCGAGAATCACCGATGAAGAGAATTTTAGAATTGAGAAAACAAGTTCTAGCTATTCTGGATGCAGACGTGGGCAGACAACACACAGGAAAGAGTGGTGGAGGTTGGTAAGAAGACAATGAAAGCTGGTGTTTTCTTCTATTTTGCGTATGATCATCTTAGAGCAATACGTGCAAGTTTTAATTTAAGACAAGACCATAACTTCATGTCCGGGCTGTGATACGTTATCATGTGATTGTGTCAGGACTCAGGGGGGATGAACAATGTACAGTGCTGGCACCTGAAGTCCGACCCCTAAGCGGTGCGCTCACATCGCAAAGACCCAATACGTAAAGTAAAACTACGACATAGAGACCGCTAGAATGTGAACGCACCGCTAAGGGGTCGGATTTCAGTTGCCAGCACTGTAGTTCTGAATGCCCAGTAATTAGATAACTCACTGGCTGTCAAAATGCCTGGGTGTGCAGTCCAAGTCATGCTCAGGCGGTCCTTCTTCCCCTCTGCCAACTGTGTACCCATCAAGTATTCTGTCGCACTTGCTCTTGTCTGCATTATGGAGTGAAGCCGGCGCGCATACACACACAAACACGCACACACATACACATACACACACGCACACACACACACACACACACACACACACACACACACACACACACACACACACACACACACACACACACACACACACAAAGGCTGCGTGTGCACGTACAAAAGCTGTTACATGTAGTATCCTCGCACATCATCTCACCATCTCCGAGCAATACGAATCCTTACCCCTGATCATGGTCTGCCACTGATGTCGCTGTGTGATGAGGTAAGCCATCAAATACACCATAGCCAGTGATTTCATTAGCTGCAGGAACTTGGCTGGGTGCAGCGGGAACCATTCACGATTGGGGACTACAGTAGCCAATTGCTTGACTGGACTACTCCTTGGAGTGCTTAGCGGGGCTGGGAGGCCATGTTTAGCAGCTGTCTCAAGATTCATCATTACTACTAGTATAGCCAAGACGATACACCACAAACCTGACAGCTAACAACAACTCGTTTCCATTACGGCTACTGTAACCGTGTGCCACCAACATTAGTAGGTGCTCAGTGAGAAGGGCAATGCATGATTGAAATGATGGAGGAGGTGAAATCAGCCATTCTCAGTGAAATGAGCACATGTATGCGGACAGCAGTGTGAACTCAGACGAGTTTCCACTGATTCTTCCGTCCGCACATATAACTCTAGTACATCACACGATCACGAGATGCAGCTACCGGTGCTGCGCTCTATCTCTAGCAGTTATCCTAGCAGTTATCCTAGCAGTTATCCTAGCAGTTATAAGCAGGTATTAGCTAGGTTACCGGTAGTTACAATGTAGAGTTCACACATTCACGTGATTACCTCCTCAAGGTGTTGAGAAACACAACCTGCTTATGACGTTTCGCTCATGCCAGGCCACCGCCATGCCCATGCATGGCTGATAACGCGGCGAGAGTGAGATGGTGCCTGAAACAGTGAAAGAGGTGCATGTGTGAAAACAGTGAAAGAGGTGCATGTGTGACCAGGCCCTAAACTAAAGTAGCACAATGAAGTGCCCGGTCATGGGCGATAGCTGGCTATCTGCATTCATCTTGCCCTCACTCTGAGCAGTGTGTATTCCTTTCTGTGAGAGTGTATGGCATTCTATGACAGTGCTCGCTTCATTGCATTTTGCTGTATTTGAGTAGGGTTCCCACTTACTAGTATCACATTCTTCCTTTCATGCACAAACAAAGCCTAATGCCTGTGCCTTTTTTGTACATGTAGCTACCTAGCTGCAAGTACCGTTACTTGCAGCAGTGATACGACAACGAGTTCTTTTCTTCGTGTGTCCATGCAAGAAAAGGGAAACGGTTTCCACTGTACCCTTTGCATAATGATGTCGTTCAGGTGGGCAAAATCAATTCCCAATACATGTAGTCAGACTCTGTACCTGACGCAGCTTCACTGTGCTGGTTGGAAATATTATTGTCTTTATCGTCTATTATTAGGCTTGCAGTTCACTAGTACAGTAGTGGAACGGACGGACATGGCAAACGCAATCCAACCCTGAACGTCATGACTAACCATGAATATAAGGTACCATACTAAACTTGTGAATCTTCCGATCCGGATCGCTAATACATACCCATAGTCCTACTACACTGTCATCGGGCAACTGGCCCGCAGCTGGCGCGATTTCTAGTAAAGATATAATCTCATTCTTTCAACCAGCATTCAACCATTGCTGCAATCTAATCTTCTTGTGTGCTCCAGATGACAGTCATGAGTTAGTCACCGAGTGTCAGTCAGTCGTCAGGAAGTGCGAGATTCAGCCATACTGGTAGCAGTCACCTTCTTCCGCTGAAGACACAACAGTTCAAACAATAGGGGGACAGAGGAAGTGTTTTTACTCAGTGTTTCACGCACTAAGCGATCATCAGAAAACAGTTTTCTGATGATCGCTTAGTGCGTGAAACACTGAGTAAAAACACTTCCTCTGTCCCCCTATTGTTTGAACCAGCTCTACCACTCGGTATTGAGCACTCTCTTGGACAGCCTGGAACCTCTCTGTTTTGACACAACAGTTCAGATTGTTTACCAAGGTTTACCACGAGGGGGTGCGACTAGAAACGGAAGCCAAGTCAAGGAGTCGTGAAATTATTTTTAAAGCCCCGCGAGATTTCACGACTCTCTGATCGGAAGTGACAAATTAGAAATTGTCAACGACCCCCTTTTTGCATCCCTAGGTGTCATCCCTAGGTGTCGTGATGGTTTGGCTCGGATAGCACTAAAAAGAAGAAACGCATTGCTCTTGAGCTCCAATTTCATTAGCCTTCTTGCATGTTTGCCGAGTCGAAGATTCATTGGACTTCTCGAGCTAAACTGATGAGCTGCGAGTTGCCCGCAGTTGAGCTGGGAGTGGCGCTTTCTTGCACGTTTGCAGAGTCGAAAATTCGATGGACTTCTCGAGCTAAACTGATGAGGTGAGTGAGTTGCCCGCAGTTGACCTGGGAGTGGCGCTTTCTTGCATGTTTGCCGAGTCGAAGATTCGATGGACTTCTCGAGCTAAACTGATGAGGTGTGAGTTGCCCGCAGTTGGGCTGGGAGTGGCGCTTTCTTGCAGGTTTGCTGAGTAGAAGACTCTCTGACTTCTCGTTTGCCATAGACGGCAGCCGAAAGTCAGTAGAGTGTCAGTCAGCGGAAAGCAGGAAGCGCGAGCTCCAATGTTACTGGGAAATCGCCACCTTCTTTACCACCGAAATCGCCACCAGTAAGACCGAGTCCCAAACCCCTGAGTAACGGACTTCTGATAATGCATAATACTAACAAAAATGCAATGGAAATTCCTCACACTGACAAGACATGATAATTAGAGTGTACAATTTAATGTACAGAGCACAGCTAATATGATTTGGATAATTGGAGAATTCGGATAGCTCAGATAGGATTTAAAAAAAAATAGTAGGATTCGTTAGGATAATAAAATAGTTGGATTTGTTTTCTAGATTTGAAAGTTTAAAAACATCTATAGAGGTTGTGTGATCACATCAGCAGCTGAAATGCTTAGGCAAAGGCCCAACACAGCGATGCACTTGGTCAAGTGAAACAGCCGACTCAAAGCCATAATACTTAGCGCCCAGAAGCGAATTCGCTATAATAATTATACTTCTCCAAAATGGCATGATTTTGTAGAACCTCCATTCTCCAGTACTATACTAATTCACTATTGTACTACAATAATTGTATTGCATATGTTCAGACCTAATCATTCTCAGCTGCGAGTCCCTTCATGACGTTGACTAACATTTGTGTACACTCAGCTACAGTGTGTGATACCAGTACAAAGATGGTTGTCACGATGCAGATGTTGAGAATTGGATTACCCTCGACCAGGACAAGTAGACTACGTGTATCATTAGCCAGCAGGACGTGATACTGGGCGATGAAAAGCTGCAGTGGAAAGAAGACAATTGGGAAACTGTGTGTCAAATTCCATACGAGCATGTGGTCAACCGTCACAAACCCGAAGAGGATATCAATTTTTCCTATCAACAAGAGCCATGTGTTATACATGGTTAGATTAGCAAAACAATTTCAGCCTAAACAAGCCCACACAAGCGATCCTGTTGTTGATGAAATGGTTCTTAGATTCAGTGCACGGCGTTGGTTATCGGGTAATGTTTGGCTTTACCCAAAGACTGCTCCCCAATTTCAACTTTCTATAATACACTGCAGTAATGAATCCTATTTTCAATTTCAGCTGTAACGTCATACTGTACGCCTGTATTGTCTGTGTCTAGGGTCCACTACAATAACACTTTTCCAGGCACTTGATTCCCCTTTGTATGTTTACAGGCCAGCTTACCTCCAAAGAGTAGATTCCCACCCAGTCAAAGAACATACTGTAATGGTTGCGTAGTGGTTCCCACGTGTTACGCACCAGAACAAATCCTCCCAGCTGTGGATGTTTAGGCAAACAACACATAAACACGCATTTTCTGCATCTCAACTGCATTTGCTTCGTACTTGGCAATCATTGCTACTACATTAACTTGATGTTATCAAACACAGCATAAAACATCATTGCATACCTGAACGAGAGAGCTTGGAAGCTCAGGGCCCTACGCTATGCTTTTATGCCTTGATGACCTAGACAAAAAAAAGCATAGGGATGTTATAAATTCTTTAAAAAAATTCCTTTTTTTAAGACATAACCTGGGATTCGAACCCGCACTATCGCGCGCCCTGCATGCATCCCCCGATACACTTCGTATACATACTAATTCTTCCAAGTTGTTTCACATTGTGATCTTGCATTTGAAAACCCTATTTGAATATGCATTGTGGCCAGCCGTCTTTGATGGCACGGTACGGTAGGAGATTGGTACGGTACAGGTACGATCGAGGGTAATACGACACCGTCTCCCGTACCGTACCATAAAACACAGCTGGCCACATACAGCTGCCCGCAATATTCAAATAGGGCTTTCAAACGCAAGATAATAACGTGAAGCAACTTAGAAGAATGGGTATGAATGCGAAGTGTATGGGGGAATGCATGTAGGGCGATAGTGCGGGTTCGAATCCCAGGATAAGCCTGAAAAAAATAGTAGAATTAAAAAATTTATAACATCCTAATCCTATGCTTTTTTGCCGTCAGATACGGATAGCGCCAGGCGTGACACAAACAAACAAACAAACAAACACACAACACACAAATACCAAATTAAAGCTGTGTGGACCCTGGCTAGCGCCAGACGTTACTGAAGTAACGTCTTCTGCATAGCTACGGGAATAATGCACACATTGACGCGCCTAATCATCACACCACAGATATGCATGTTAGCATTGATATTCAGTTGTTACTTACCATGATTGGTGATAGGTAGGTATGTAGAAGATTACACTCTGGTTTACTAGTACAGTTTGTTGCCATCATTCCACAGTACACTACCTGTACAGGAGAATAGGCATGGTCATGAGGAAGAAACAATACAGCATTGAAATCAGAAAAGTATTCAAAGTACACTGTCACAGTGTGCAGCAGGGAGCATACTTAACATCTTACCCCACCTGAAAATTCACTGACTTACGTTGCTCACTGATCAAATAATCATGCAATCTTTCCTCTGCTGTCTTAAATCCTACTCTATTTTTCTTTTTTTTTCTTTTAATCTTTTCCTTACATTTGTGTGCCTCTGACTTTAGTCGATCTCATGTAATAAGGCAACACTGCCTGTTTGTTATTCGACGTTAAAATAATAAACCAATCCAAAATCCAACATATAATGACACGTGTAACAATGCTTGTGATGTGCTCATGTAATGAGTCTCTCGGTTACAGAAGTATGCCTTTCTTGTGAAGAAACTTCTGAACATTGCCTTGTGCAGATGAAAATGCTTCATTTCAACCAAATTACCAGTTTGCAATCCATTTGGATGCTTTCCCATTAAAATGTAGCCAGCATGTGTTCCACTGGACCGAGGTACAAGAAAGTAGTACATACCAATGTCATGGCTGAAAGTATTGTCGTCAAGTTGTTACCAATACTCCTTGAACATATCCATCCATTGATTTGTGGGAATCGATGCAGCATTACGGCGCACAGGATGCCCGATGGCACAGCCAGGATGTCTAGGCCAAAACGAAATGTCCACTCGTGTAGGGAGTTGTCATCATCCAGGAAGAGTTGAGAGAGCGGAGGGAAGGATATTATCCAGTTGAGCATATCCTGTGTGCAACAAAATGATGAACTGCCAAACTCAGTACTAGTACAGGCCATACTGATCGGTATTTTCCGAATCAACATTAGCTGAAGAGGCAATCTAGAACTTATCCAGTACACGTATAGATGTGATTCGATACAGTATCGGATGTGGACAGTTCAGTTCAGTGTTGCTTTTAGCCGCCAAATTGGTAGAATGTGACCGTAGAACACACCAGTGTTGCTCAGTTCACCCCCAACGTGTGGTCGGTTCACCACCAAGGTGATTGCCACTACACTTAAGAATATGTGTACTGCATGCAACACCAGAGTACTAGTGAGAATAGACTACGACGCACTGAGGTAACAGAGACATATCCCATGTTAATTAAACTCTGACCGTACAGAGTTGCTGTGAGCTTCTTTTTTTTTTGGAGCTTTCCACACCAGGATTTCCTTGACAAGGCATGCAAAGTAAAGACCATCCCATACAGGATAGTGGTAATGTGGACAGTAGCCGTACAGTAGAGTCGCGCGCCCAAAAACGTTGTTTCCAAGGGCTTAGCCTGGGACGATCTTATTTTTCAGCAACCTGGATGCGTTCTTTTAGCACGCTCTTACTTCAAGCAGAAACATTTCGTACTGGATCATAATGTATCCCGAATTCTGCCAGAAAACCAACACCGCCATTCTTAGATTTAGGCTGTAGCGCTACTCACTGGTTGTATCCGATATAAGGCGAAGATGATACTAAAACAGATTGCCTTGAGCACCTGCATCCATGGTGACTTGTTCTGATCCCATGCTGAAGAAACAAGTATACAGGAAAATACCCTAACATTACTGCTAACAGTTGTCCCATGGGAGCTGCATTGGAGGGCTTCATGTAGCGTAAATTTAGCTAGAATGAAATATTCAAATCATGCAGATAGACGGCTATGCTATGAACAAATCCATTGTCCGTGTTCCATTTTCACTCTTGGCTGTAGTTCACCTGACGAGAAGGCTTGAAAGCACAGTAAAACCTGGTTTAAGCGACCACCCCACTGACGGTACAAGCAAAAGCGGTCGTTAAAGCCAGGTGGTCTTTAGAACCAGGTCTCACAATGTCGGTGTAGAACTGTCGGTGCATGGAAAAACGGTCATTAAGAGCAGGTGGTCGCTTACACCAGGTTTTACTGTATTAAGAGGGCTTTCCTAGGAAGGAGTTATGGAACGCCTTTCGCATAAACAAATCCAGCGGCTTTGAAGAGAATATTACCAGTATGAAAATCAAATCTGGATCACAACTGTCCCCAACTTACTAGCCTAATGTCCATTGAATACTGTACTCACCAACTGGAGGTATGGCAGCAACCAGTAGTACTAGTAAATAACATGCTGAGATCAGTGGTACAAAATAGTAGTGAAGATACGGTACATCCATAGTCAAGCACAGTAGAACGGTGTAGATATTTAGACGGAATAGGACCTCTGCTACACGAGACCAACTGCTTGCTCCACGCTTCAAACTATACGTGTAATGTCCAAAGGCGCTTAGGAAGATGTACATTGCTACAATCAGTCGAACTACATAGTACAGACCAAGAACCTGCAGTGCAGAAGGACAGCATTGATCCGCATACTTATAACATTCCTATTCAGGACATGCACACACTTTGATACGCTGTCATGGGGACCCCTGTGACCAGAAGGACAGCATTGATCCGCATACTTATAACATTCCTATTCAGGATATGCACACACTGTGTTACAGTGTCATGGGGACCCCGGTGACCAGTATAGGTCCATGTACAGGTAGAGGTAGATTTCCCCTACATGTACAGAACCGATCACTTATGATATAACTTGGCTGGAAACAATCAGAACAAGTAAAATTTGTCTTAAAAGTGGAGTTCAAATCTGTTGAAAGGCTTTCACCAAGAGAGGCTTTACTCGGGGAGTAGTAAAATACCGCACCACTCCTTGTTCCCCACGGCCATGCATCTGGTCTGCCAGCATTGTCCTCAAATCCCTTGCTATCTACTACATTGTAGTACATGTGCAGCAATTCTCAATATGCAGAGGACATGGTATAGCACTAGGTCACAGAGTATTGTGTACAAGTGTGAACCGGTATGTATTTCAGTGGTTGACGGTTGACTGTCTCATGTCATACCTGAGAACCAGGCTCTCCTGACTACATTAGTTTTCACTATTTTACTGCCGAACAGTGCATGGCAGCTGTGGGCAGATACCTGCCATATATACAAGCAGTCCAGAAAGCCGCCAACAGCCGAGAACATTGATCTTATAGACAGGTGGTCTTTCCAAGCAGGATCATATGTATGTACAAGATTTGATGGTGCCTGACACAATTGGTCTCTAAGAGTTAGTGTTCTCCTAGAGCAATGTTTTATTATCACCGGTTATGCACTGCGGTACCTACCTTGCTACCACCTGTGTAATGATACACCAGCAATACTAGCTGCATCCATCCTCGTGTTTCACAGGTTTGCTGACGGTTTAGAACAGAAGCATCTTTGACTGGCTGGTATGTCACAAAGCCAAGAATTCCCAAAATTGTCAATGGAACAGTGAATGATGTCCAGTTGAAATGTTTCTCCTCTTTCGTGAATACTGGTGTCCTGTCAGCTAAGTAGGTGTAGAGAAGCACTATTCCAAGCAATGTGATGCACTGACAGACCATCACAACAGGTGATGCAGTACTGCACTTTAGACCTGTGATACACGCATGCACAGAAGAGAAAGATTTTAAAAACTTTCCAGAATAAATGAAGTACACTTTTCTCACAGTATATGTGATTCATTGTGAAAATCACTGGTTAACCATGTCCAAGTTAAGCCATTTCAGCAGAAAATACCCTAGTATACAGGCATACCGAAATAAACCACGAAATGTTTGACCCGGTGTGCAGTCAATCCCCTATGTCTAGTCAGAATTCCTGCATAGCAATTATCCAGTGGTTGCTGAAATAAGGTGTGCCTGCATTACCTGTATCACAGCACGAATTCCGACAAGGTGATCCGAGTAGAGAAAGTGAGCGTCGATTCCGGTACCAGAGTCCCCATAATGTTATGACAGTACTGGAATATATGAATACAAACACAGCAGACCCATATAAGGGAATACACAGCAGACCCATAAGGGAATACATACACAGCAGACCCATAAGGGAATACACAGAAAAAACAACAACACCAGTAACGAGGGAATTGTTGCCGCAGAGGCAAGTTAATAAGCGCCTGTGGGTTATTATCGTAACAGAGAAAAAGAATTCATTCCACACAGTCACCTTGGTGTATCTACTATCAAATACAGAAGTAAGTGTACACATAACATAATTACTGCCAGTGTCTAGGCATTAGAACAGATGTGCCAACGGACACATTTCAAATCCATTACTTCATTTTCACCTGACTAGTACACCTCGTATCCATGGTAACTAACCTGCATACAAATATAACCAGTAACACAACCTGTGGAGCAGTAATTGAGTGAAGTAACCCTTGGCAACAGGTCTTCCTGTCAGTTACCGGTAGTCGTGAGTTACAGTGGGTATTCAGGATGGCTTGGACGGCCTGCACATGAAATAAAATACAATGCCTCACCAAACAAACTTCTTGTTTAGAAGAGTATCTCTTTGTCGTTGTTACTATAATCGAGTGGCACATTCGCACTACAATTCTACGAGTGCTAGTTTGAAATTACGTTACGAATTGTTACGTTGTACAGCAGGTACGAAACAATTAATATTTACATACTCACCGGTTTTCGTTTCGGAGTCCCGCGCTGTGACTCAGCTAATTTCTATTTCGTTTGCCTTGTATTGTCTGACTAGGGGCGCTGTCACCCCGTCGGGTGCAAGCACCCTTGGACAGAAGCACTTCACTTCACGACAAGTGTTCATTTTCGTTTTCCTCTTCTGCTTCTAGAATTCTGTTGCACAGTTTGAATGTGTGCTTTTTTCGTACTCTGCTCTCGATCGAACCATGCGCGGGTCGATCTCCATAATTATTTTATCTTCCGTTGCCATGACTGGCATTAGTACGCGTTCTGTACTCACTCGCTGCTTGGCACGCTTGCAGCGCGTCTTTTTTCTGTTGCCACCCAGTGCCTGCGTGCACGGTACGGGATTTGCGATGCCACATCAGCGTTGGTGTGTCGTTGTGCTTCGTTGTTGTTTTGTTCTTTGCTGAGTGTGGTCGTTAAAACTGAGCAAGAAGGGGTCGTTGACAAGGCGTGGTTTCGATGTGCATGCCCTCCTGTCAACTCCAAACTACTTCTAATAATGTATTAGTGTGCGCACGTGTGTGCGTGGGAGGGAGGAATGTACACATGTACGTTCTTCTTGAAATCTTCACTGATGCCCGCCCTACACAGATCCCTTTCAGGATTGGTAAAGATACACTTCACCATGCAGCACTACATGTGATCACTCAACAAAGCAGTGACACGTCTGATTGAGTCTGCAGCCATCCTCATAATCGATGGCAACAGTTGCTCACCAACAAAAAAGCATACAGAAAAAAATGTCACTGGGGAAGCAAAAGTAGTCTCTGGGCAAGCAAGCATTGGGCAAGCAAGCACTGACACTTACCCTGTCACTGGCATCAGCACTATAGTGCATACCGTCTTCATTCAGTGTCACATGACCGGGACTGAAGAGAAACATACCGGGAGTTCTGAAGCGATGCCTGAAGAGAGAAGATATAATTACAGACACGGTCAGACCAATGAACAAACTAATTCTCGATATTGGTTATCAATATCTTTATTCGCTGAGCTTTCACTCCATGCAGGCTGTGTTTGGCACGCTACTGGTGTGCAACTGTGTGGAGTCAAGAAAATTAAGAGTTTAAAGTTCCCATGATTGAGTTGTGTGATGATCACGGGAAACTCGGAGTTGACGAATTTCTCCTCTATCCTTGCTGTGCTGATCAAGTAACATGGCAACTGTGATGTTTTCACATTGACACCAATTTTCACGCTGTACATAAAGTCACGGAGTATTGGTTTCAGGCCAGCTGCTCGGCTGGCTTGCTAGCTGGTCAGCCATCTTGTGCCAAACACTCACCAGATACTATCAACAGCAGCATTGAACAGTCGAATACGTGTGTTGGTGATGTTCTTCCTGCTAGGCCAGAGCACTGATTCGTTGACAAACGCTGCACAGTCAGCAAGTTGATAGAAATGAGCATAAAACCACATATTGCAATGGGTCACAGTATATCTACCATTTTAAACCTATATTTCATCCAGCCCCATCACCTCTACCCCATACAAACAACACCAGGAGTTTCATGAGAAGCTGGGATTCATAGCTGTTGTGTACACAACACACTCTTGAATGCATACTATCGCCGCAAAAACATAGTTTTTCAAAAATATGGTCATAGCCGCCAGTGTAAAGGATGAGGTCTCATCACCCCAGCTCCAGGTAGTCATATTGAAAATGCAGGCAACGAAGGCATGTTTACATTTCCCTGATCGGTCCCATTGCAGACAACTCACCTTGCTTTAGCCACACTAAGCTGGTGTCTGATCCGCGTACCAGGGATGACAGCAGGCGTAGTACAGATTCCGTATCGGCTGCAATGATATAGCATCAAAGATAGTGCTCTGGATGGATGTGTAAAACACTAACTTGTCATGAAATAAGTTTTTTTTATTTAAATCACGGTTCGCATGAGACTTCGCTGGAGGCCGAGTTTCTGCATCCACTGGAACGCCACCATCCGCAAGGACCACGGATCAAGGCACAGATGCTGCAGCTCCTAAAGCGGTGGAAGGTGTACCAGGCCCACCCGTCAGGCGAAATAGCACGTCATAGTACATTTGAGATCAGCGGGAAGAAGATGACGACGTCCACTAATTTAGTATCTGTGCACACGAATCTGCTGTGTGTGTGACTCTGTGTGTCAGCTATGATATCATCTTCTGTGGTTCTATGCCTAGCATGTACGTCTGAACCATCCTGCAAAGTTTGAATGACGTTGGTTGAGCGATCGCTCCGCGAAACATACTTTTTGAAATTCTCTTCATAGTATATCTTCCACCATTGAAATTTCGAATTTCTTCAAAAAAAGTGCTGAGAGGGGTGGCTTGCAACCTCGATATGGCTTGTTCCAGGCATGCTTTGGAGCCATCTTCTGTTGAAGTAGTGGCGGGGATCTGCCCTGCAATTGCTACAACAAAAAATGATTCGATCTGAGAAAGGGTGAGACCGCGAATCTCGGTTGAATATTGAGTATTTCAAGCCTTTTCACGACGAAGATGGAGTTCTTTTTGGAGATGGACGTCGCGGCAAAGGACATGGTGTCCGACTTCTGGCGTCTGGTGAAGCCAGGGATCATTTGTCCAGTCAGGTCGGCATCCTAACCGTCGGTAAGCTTGTGTTTGGATCCCGTTCTGCTCGATGTGGTAGATCACAAACAATTTGATATCGCACAAATTGATCTCAGCATCGTTCGTACGGTATTTTATATTCAGAAAATCCCAAAGTGTCTCTGTGTGGCCGTCCTATGCCACGAGAAACTCCAATCAGGCTCCTATGTCCTCTGCCTTCATGATTGAACGTCCACTTCGTTTGAACAACGAACACAACAATCGAGGACGGCTTTGCAATGAAAATACAGCTATACTGGAGCTGAAAAAAAGAAGAAAAAAACTTGCTCAGGATGAGACTCGAGTACACGCATACTCTCCCAGCAGGTGAAACGCAAATTTTTGTGAAAAATGCGTGTCGCCGACTGACCAGTAATTTCGCCTGACGACCAAGTGCTCAAAGACCGAAGTCCCATTCCCATACACTCATAACTTGTCATACTAGTAACATAATTTGCTTTGGCCTTTGGGGCAGACCGTCACAACTCCTCAACCTGCCTGCTTCCCCAGTATTTCTGCGGTTGTAAACCCCTTCCCAGCACTTCATAAGCACATTTGTCAGCTGTTGATGGGTAACGAGCATGGCCATAACATGTAAGTTAGGAGTAGTCGGCATGGAAGTTTCACCATCCATTGAGGTGGAGGCCTTTCTTCCTGATATCGTTGTTATGGAGAGTTTTGATTCAAAGCAGTCTGGAATCTGTGATCTTATTTTCTGACGTGATTCATGACACATGTACTACTCTTGAGTAAGTCGCATATTAAACTTCAATAATATTAAACTTCAATAATATTAAACTTCAATAATATTGAACACAGGAAGATAATCGCTACAGCTGATAACTTGATTGACAACACATATACATGTAGGTTGTAGAAAACGAATTTATGGTAGTTATTCCACTCCAAATTTTCAAATTATTTGTTTCCACTTGTGACTTTGAAGAATCCGACTCAGTATCCCAGCCAAAACATAGGGACAGTGTACACGTGTGCATGTTTGGCATACCTTTGTATTGGTCCAATCCCTCCAATGATGGGTCCCTTCGTATTGTCCACTACAGGCGACAACGTAAACAGAAAGCAAGCTCCTGATCCTCTACTGATTTTCAGATAGGACAAACATGTGGTGTTGTAAATATTGCTCAAGTAACTTGTACGTAGATCACTATTATACTGCAGGAACGGCACACAGATTTGTTTCTTACAACATGGTAATTCAAACATTGTGTTCCAAATTCATAGGTCCGGAATTTGAGTGGTCCAAGTTTTAAAGTTCAAATGAGGTGGTTGGAAAACTCACCAAAGCTGCCCCGGTCACAATCAAGTCCACACTGTCCAATGGATTCTGCATGCCGGGGACACAGAATATAAAAGCAAATAACTATACACACCTTAATTAGCCCTATACAGTTGAAATAAGAAGACAGAACCATCATAAAACAGAGAGGTTCCAGGCTGTCCTGCTCAATACCGAAATACAGCGCTAGTTCAAACAATAATACGAAGATGAGAAAAGTGTTTTATCTCCGAGTTTCACGCACTAAGCGATCATCAGAATGTTTTCTGATGTTCGCTTAGTGCGTGAAACTCGGAGTTAACACACTTTCTCTGTCCTCTTTTTGTTGTTTGACAGAGCCATCATAGATTGTCTGGGAATACAACTACCAGGTATTACGGGTATTGCACCTCATGTTGACTTCTCTACATTATAAAAGATGCGATTCACAAAAACAAGACAAAAATCAAAACTCACCGATTGCAAATAGCTAAACAAGGCAGTCCATGACTCGCCGATGAATGCATCCCATATAAAGTCCTGGTAGTGCACAGTGGTTGATAGACATGGGCACATCCATGAGCAGCACACAACACACAGCACACAACACACAGCCACATTTATTTATCACTGGCAGATAAGGTAATATGGCCACTAAAACCACGCAGTGATTTAGCGGCAAACTTTATGAATTTTTGCGAGCGCGCAAAAATAAGTTAACACAGAAGGCGCATGCGCCGCACCGGACACTTCACAGTTTGCTTCCTGCTCAGATTTGCATGGCTGACTGGTGACTCTCTTCAAAGCGAGCCTGGCAAACAGCGATTGACAAACCACTCCTATCCCCACAACTCAATGCTGTGTAGTGTGCATGCAGATGGGTGTGTTAAACACATTTTTCATCAAGGGTTACTACTTCATTACTATCGTTTGTCTTTTCAATCCATGTGCCCAGATCAGCACTAATAATATACTTGCATGAAAGTCAAAATCAAAAAGGTCAAACTCTCTTTCAAAACAGTTTCGAATGGAGGCAAATTGTTCAACAAAACTAGAAAAATGGTACTTCGAAGTATGCATACGGATCTTCATACGGTAATCTCACTTACCACATGTATAGCAGCATCCTTGATAATTGATGTCCTGTTCTGGTGCTGGAAAACAAATATCAGATGACAATAGAGGAATTTTTTTAAGTAAAATGTGTTCGTGGAAGAGAAAAGGACATATGGATACGAGTTAAGAGTAACTCTCCATCACTGTAACATGATACTATATACCAGTATCATGTTACAGTGATGGAGAGTTACTTTTAACTCGTATCCATATGTCCTTTTCTCTTCCACATTTATTTATGGCTCAACATCCGAGTTTTAAAATGTGTTCTTTTGACGATATTTTTAAGCCAAGTGACAAACTGGAAAGGTATAATTATCATATCCAGGGTATGTCTTATCCAGGGTATGGTTTGTCCAGGGTATGTTAGATCCAGGGTATGGTATGTCCAGGGTATGTAGCATCCAGGGTATGTTGTATCCAGGGTGTTTTACCCAGGGTTTGTCATATCCAGGGTATGTTGTGTCCAGGGTCCGTCCTATCCAGGGTATGTCCTATCCAGGGTATGTTGTGTCCAGGGTATGTTACATCCAGGGTACTTGATACTAAAGTATGACATCAGTGGAATTTCCTCTAGCACTGACTGATGTTGCAAGAGTGGTAAAAGAAGGACTGCCGGGAAGTCAAGTGGTTGACACATGCACAAGGATAAGGGTACATAAACAACAACCCTAACAAGAAAACACCGCCTCGGACACAGGACTCACGCGTAGGTCTCTGCCAGGTATCTCAGACGGCTTCTCGACTTCTGGTTCTGGATACGGGTTAACATACTCTAAAAACCTGTTCTGCAGAGCCCGGATCTGTGAATCACCGATAAAGAGAACTTTGGAATTGCGGAAACAAGTCCTAGCTGTTCTGGATGTAGACATGGACAGAACAATACCGTGACAGGAAAGAGTGATAGAGATTGATACTGAGAAGACCATGAAGGCTAAGCATAGGGCACGGCTGCATGCATAGCATAGAAAGACGGAGATCACGTGACAATTGTACAAGAAGTTCACATTTGTTGGATGATTTGACTTGGTATCAGGAGAGGTGAGAAGTGGTGTAATGAGCACAGACACAATCATGTCGCCGTTTTCCATTCCCTCCAATAATTTCCTTTTCGACTTGTAGACGGAGTCGGGCCAGGGACTGTTCACTTCAGTCAAAGGTCTTACTTTGCTTCCGCTTGATATCTCACCCTTTCTTTGACATAGGGGTCAAGTGTACAAAGGTATATTCAAGAAAATACCACAGTAAATCTATGGGTCTTACGACGGTAGCCATTCAGTCTGTCTGGTTGAACTACAACCTCTCAAACAGTTTTCTCCTTCCATTTTCTGACTGGGATAAAGTGACGTGTGATCAGGCTGTGCCAGGAGAGTAAAATAGTTCAGAATGGCAAGATAACATACTGGCTGTCAAAGTGCCTGGGTGTACAGTCCAACTGGTCATGCTGTCCTTCTTTCCTGCTGCCAACTCTGTACCCATCGAGTATTTTGTCGCACTTGCTCTTGCCTGTGTGAAAGGAACGAAGGAAGCATTAAACACGAATGCAGGTACACATAAGCCCACGTCCACACACTGTAAATAATACAAAAATGTCAGTGCAGGAAAGGTTTGACATTTCAATATTCTCTACATTTTGCCAGTTATTATTTTTTGGCATGGGATTAATACCACTACATCACCAAAGCCGATGTGAAAAATTTCATCAGCATTTTAATTTAGACGCTCTGGGTCAGTGCAGAATATCGCCAAAATCACAAAGTAGGTTATATCCTCTCTGCGCACAAATTGTACAGCCAGCATGTTGTATAATTACAGTACACATATCTCAAGTGAGCCGTCCCCTCATGGCTTATGCCAGTTATGGTAGTGCCATAGTGACGCACACAAAGGCCCATGCGCTTATGAGCGAGTTTTTGCGTTATGTGCTATTTTTGCGGGTCGTTTCGTCTCACACATAGGCGCACGCGCTGGAGTTGCTAGTGCACTGGTACCTTGCATAATTATGCAAATAGTGCGATACCGCAATGCATATTGAACTATGTGAAGTTGTATTTCTCGCCGGCCGAGCACAGCGAGATAGGCGAGAAATGATTTCTCGCGAAACATTTTCAGTTGCAAATATGGCATCTGGTGTGTTCTTTTTTGTCGTTTCTTTTCCTGATTTCTTCAGTCAGTTTTGAGTCTCACCAGTGTCCCTGCCCTCCCACGCTTCATTTCTGTGCATCTTATAATTGCTTTTTTATCACTTTGTGCCGTGATGTGCTTGCCATGCCTACATGATGCCTAATTGCCTATTGGGGATATACGCCCGGTTTTTTCCCTCACTACTGCGTCCGTCGGCGCGAGGGTTTTTTCCCGGCTGGCTCGATCCAGGAAAATTAATCTGACGGTCCCAAGTGGTTCTGCATCATGGCCGCTATTTCTGCTATCCGCTGGCACACCTATTCTATCTGAGACACTCTGTTCTCAGTCCTTGCTTCCATACCACACTCGTTATCCAGTTCACATCGGGCTGCGGCCAACTACCCTTCACTTTGTGTGTTGTCGCTATTGCTGTCTATGTCTCTGTGTGTGCCAGTTTATGTGGAGCGAGAACAGGGTGTTTTTGTGGTGTCCGTGTCTCTGGGATGGACTGCATTTAGGTTCACTTATAAGCCCATGCGCTTATTTGTGAGGGTGCGCTTATGCTCAGGTATAGACACATGCGCCTATATGCGCGTCACTACGGTACAAGCAGGGGGATGTACAAAATCACAGTAATGCTTACCCCTGATCATGCTCTGCCACTGATGTCGCTGTGTAATGAGGTAAGCCATCACATACACCATGGCCAGTGTTTTCATTAGCTGAAGGAGTCTGGCTGGGTTCAGGGGTAACCATTCTTCACGATCACGGACCGCAGCAGCCACTTGCTTCACTGGACTAGCGCTCATTATTGATACAGCTCTGGAGATCCACCTGATAAAGTTTACAACAGCATCTCGTCTCGATTATGAATGGACAGTGCTGTGCTGCCAGCATTATCATTATTGTAAGGCTGGAGGTGGGTGCAGGCCAATGCCAATGCCAATGGCCTGACTTCATACTGTTGTTCGCGCATACAAGCACGAGATACAGTCTGTACCAGATCACCAACTCTACTAACCTAGCAAATAAAGCTCACAAATCCGCGTAGCTACCAGCCAGTCGTCTTGTGTTTAGAAACACCACCAAGTTTCACTCGTGCCATTGGGCCACAACCATGTTTGATTACACCTGGGACAGGTTGCTGGCCTAATTAGCTACCGCCTCGTGGCACCATAAAACACTGCAAATACTGGCAATAGTGAGATGTAAGTCTCACAACCAAGTTCCGCGGCGACTGGGACGAAAGCACGTTGCCGATAGCTGCGTTCAAGTCCCTCACTTCGATTTTAGTGAGTTCCCGATAGACCGTAAAGTGGTTCGCGTCACCGCATTGTTTTGCACAGCGCCACTAGATCTACGCGCAAGCTACCGTTACTAGCTGCATGCCATCGCAGGCATCGAACTCGGGACCTCGGAGACCAGGAAGACAGAGGCAAGCCCACAAATCTGTTGGCAAAAACTTAGGAATCAATGAAATCTTTGTTTGTATCTGGTGTGTATATAGCGCATGCCTACTGACAAGTGACATGATTATTAAAGGGGAAGTTAAAGGGGAAGTTAAGGCAAAAATTAAAATTTCACCAGTTGTAGTCTTCGGGGTGCTGAGTCGAATGGTCGTGGTCCGAGGAAGCTGAGACGCTCCCTTCCTACTTGAATCCCAATCGAACTCGCGCACTTCCACCGAAACTGGGTGACTGCGCCCTACGAGATGGGGATTTGTATGGAAAATGTCACTAAAAGCGCCATTTCGTTCTTATAAAAGCACGGATGACCGCGATTGGCCCATATGTTGTAGTCTTTTGGACGCTGAGTCGACTGGTTTTGGTCCGAAAAGGCTGCGATGCAGCGTTCCTCCTTTATTCCCAATCGAACATGGTTGAACAAGTGGTCACGTGCTCCTGGGTGCCCAAATCACCTGGTCACCACGCCAGCAGGTGACAACTTTCACACCAAGGTTCAACTCGAGTTCAACTCGAGTGACAGGACTGCACCCAAAAAAGGTCAAACAGGCTAGTAAGTTGTACCCTGCAGGCACGGTGACCAGGTGACTGGCGTACGCAGGAGCACGTGACCGCTTGTTCAACCATGTTCGATTGGGAATAAAGGAGGAACGCTGCATCGCAGCCTTTTCGGACCAAAACCAGTCGACTCAGCGTCCAAAAGACTACAACATATGGGCCAATCGCGGTCATCCGTGCTTTTATAAGAACGAAATGGCGCTTTTAGTGACATTTTGCATACAAATCCCCATCTCGTAGGGCGCAGTCACCCAGTTTCGGTGGAAGTGCGCGAGTTCGATTGGGATTCAAGTAGGAAGGGAGCGTCTCAGCTTCCTCGGACCACGACCATTCGACTCAGCACCCCGAAGACTACAACTGGTGAAATTTTAATTTTTGCCTTAACTTCCCCATTAAGGCAAAAATTAAAATTTCACCAGTTGTAGTCTTCGGGGTGCTGAGTCGAATGGTCTTGGTCCGAGGAAGCTGAGACGCTCCCTTCCTACTTGAATCCCAATCGAACTCGCGCACTTCCACCGAAACTGGGTGACTGCGCCCTACGAGATGGGGATTTGTATGCAAAATGTCACTAAAAGCGCCATTTCGTTCTTATAAAAGCACGGATGACCGCGATTGGCCCATATGTTGTAGTCTTTGGGACGCTGAGTCGACTGGTTTTGGTCCGAAAAGGCTGCGATGCGGCGTTCCTCCTTTATTCCCAATCGAACATGGTTGAAGAAGCGGTCACGTGCTCCTGCGTACACCAGTCACCTGGTCACCGTGCCTGCAGGGTACAACTTACTAGCCTGTTTGACCTTTTTTGGGTGCAGTCCTGTCACTCGAGTTGAACCCGAGTTGAACCTTGGTGTGAAAGTTGTCACCTGCTGGCGTGGTGACCAGGTGATTTGGGCACCCAGGAGCACGTGACCACTTGTTCAACCATGTTCGATTGGGAATAAAGGAGGAACGCTGCATCGCAGCCTTTTCGGACCAAAACCAGTTAGTCCATCGGCCAAATCTCAGAAAGGGCCTCTTTCGGCGAAGGTGATGCACTGAAGCTCCAACTAAACGCCCTTTGGCACACTAGCTCATGAGACCCCATAGAATACGAATCCGATTGTTGGACGTTGCCAATCCAGTCCAGGATAGTCGAACTGGGTCGAATACCTTCTTCCGATTTTCGTAATTTCGTCCACCATTACATCTTTCTCATCGACTTTTTTCGCTTGGCGAATGTTCTTGAGCCGCTGAGCAGAATCTACGCACGCTCGAACACTTGAAATGCCTGCATGTTGACGGTTCGCAAGATTCTAGCGAGCTTGGTGGATATCTATTATTTATTTTGACATTTTTGGGGGAATCTGAATTAGAACGGTAGAAGCTCATTCGGAGAAGACGGCGTGTTGCCGCTGTCGGATTGTCGCTACTGTGTTTCAGACGTATTTGCTTGAACGTGCTATTGAGGATGGACAGAAGATGAGGTGACGGCTTTCTTGAACACGGACGTTTTGTCTACATTGTAGCTGAAACATCTCATCTGGCGTCTAGAACGCAATTATTATGAGTTGTGAGTGCCAGCTGAGCTGAACACAAGCTGGACACCATTCGTCAGCCGGGAATTTGCATCGAAGCTCTTGATAGCCACGATAAGCATAATTATACAGAGGTAACCTTGTTTGACTCAATACGCATGCAGGTGATACCACTAGTGGCACTACAATGTAAATGGTGCAAAATTGATGCAACAGCGAATATGTACTTCGTACAATCACGAACAATTGTAAGGCAAGTGTTCATGCATGTCATAGAAGAATTTCAGCCCGGAAGTCTTGTTGTCATGGTCATAAATAATACAGGACTTGAGTTGGCTCTGGACATAAACACACTTGTGCAAGTTGTGGTGAATACGGTCATTATTGCGAGAAAAATATTTAGCCATTGTATGTTAACACCTGATACCGCACTACAAGCAATATTTCATGTACACGTATGTGAGACTCAATTGCACAAGGCCGTAGATGCATGTAAGCACACAATGCTGTACAGGATAAGTAGTAGTCGACATGTGGTGCCTTCCTGCTGCACATGCACATGCGGCAAGTTGGCAACGACACATGACCTATCTGCACCGCACAGCGTGAGCTTAGAAAGGAATATTGCACACATAGTGCTATTTGTGTTCCGATATCGTTAAGCCGGTATACATGTACTAGTATCCTTATACATGTACCTGGTCACTCCATAGGCGATGCCGACTGTACAAATCTTATCCATATTACCCGATAGGCTATAGCACACTGCGTCAGATCACTATGCAACAAAACAAGAGCTTTGGAGCGAATATACACTGAAGCAAAGTAGGTTTCAACGGTACAGCACTAGTCACGATGAGGGGAGTTACGAGGATGGTTAGGCCTTGACACATAGATGATGATTGTTAATGATTCATGCACGGTGGAAAATTACCATCAATGGCGATGATATTGCTTTCACAACAATGACATCAGTAGGAGCAGTGACACAACCTTACTGCTCCAAGTAGGATTTACAAGCGAGTGAAGGGAGAGCAGACTGGTCTAATAGCAGACCGGGTCTAATAGTCCATCGGCCAAATCTCAGAAAGGGCCTCTTTCGGCGAAGGTGATGCACTGAAGCTCCAACTAAACGCCCTTTGGCACACTAGCTCATGAGACCCCATAGAATACGAATCCGTTTGTTGGACGTTGCCAATCCAGTCCAGGATAGTCGAACTGGGTCGAATACCTTCTTCCGATTTTCGTAATTTCGTCCACCATTACATCTTTCTCATCGACTTTTTTTCGCTTGGCGAATGTTCTTGAGCCGCTGAGCAGAATCTACGCACGCTCGAACACTTGAAATGCCTGCATGTTGACGGTTCGCAAGATTCTAGCGAGCTTGGTGGAAATCTATTATTTATTTTGACATTTTTGGGGGAATCTGAATTAGAACAGTAGAAGCTCATTCGGAGAAGACGGCGTGTCGCCGCTGTCGGATTGTCGCTACTGTGTTTCAGACGTATTTGCTTGAACGTGCTATTGAGGATGGACAGAAGATGAAGTGACGGCTTTCTTGAACACGGACGTTGTGTCTACATTGTAGCTGAAACATCTCATCTGGCGTCTAGAACGCAATTATTATGAGTTGTGAGTGCCAGCTGAGCTGAACACAAGCTGGACAACATTCGTCAGCTGGGAATTTGCATCGAAGCTCTTGATAGCCACGATAAGCATAATTATACAGAGGTAACCTTGTTTGACTCAATACGCATGCAGGTGATACCACTAGTGGCACTACAATGTAAATGGTGCAAAATTGATGCAACAGCGAATATGTACTTCGTACAATCACGAACAATTGTAAGGCAAGTGTTCATGCCTGTCATAGAAGAATTTCAGCCCGGAAGTCTTGTTGTCATGGTCATATTTATACAGGACTTGAGTTGGCTCTGGACATAAACACACTTGCGGTGAATACGGTCATTATTGCGAGACAAATATTTAGCCACTGTATGTTAACTGATGCCGCACTACACGCAATATTTCATGTACATGTGTGTGAGACTCAATTGCATCCACAAGGCCGTAGATGCATGTAAGCACACAATGCTGTACAGTATAAGTAGTAGTCGACATGTGGTGTCTTCCTGCTGCACATGCACATGCGGCAAGTTGGCAACGACACATGACCTATCTGCACCGCACAGCGTGAGCTTAGAAAGGAATATGGCACACATAGCGCTATTTGTGTTCCGATATCGTTAAGCCGGTATACATGTACTAGTAATACTAGTATCCTTATACATGTACCTGGTCACTCGATAGGCGATGCCGACTGTACTAATCTTATCCATATTACCCGATAGGCTATAGCACACTGCGTCAGATCACTATGCAACAAAACAAGAGCTTTGGAGCGAATATACACTGAAGCAAAGTAGGTTTCAACGGTACAGCACTAGTCATGATGAGGGGAGTTACGAGGATGGTTAGGCCGTGACACATAAATGATGATTGTTAATGATTCATGCACTGTGGAAAATTACCACCAATGGCGATCATATTGCTTTCACAACAATGACATCAGTAGGAGCAGTGACACAACCTCACTGCTCCAAGTAGGATTTACAAGCGAGTGAAGGGAGAGCAGACTGGTCTAATAGCAGACCGGGTCTAAGCAAGGAAGTAATCGGCATCAGAGGTGAGCTTGCACATCAGAAAACAGATGATGATCACCAAACACAGAGAAGTTGGCTATGTGTATGTTTGTGTCACTGTGTGTGCATGTGTGTGTGTGTGTGTGTGCATGTGTGTTTGTGTGTATGCGCGCACATCTGTGTGTGAGAGAGAGACAGACAGACAGATAGCATATGGTGGGAGGGATCAAGGTCTGACCTCAGAGTTAAATGCTGACGGTGTGGAATAGCAACAGTGCGAAATCGGGCAGGGTGGTTAA